ACCCAAGGGAGTCGCCGTAGCATTTTGCGGCGGCGGGAGTTGTCATGTCTGATTAGGGTGTTAGCTTGAGTTGGTGAATATGTTTTGTAGTGCGGCGTACCTTGCCAGACGAATTCGAGACCGTTGTCGAAGAGATACTGATACTGCTCCCCCCACTTCTGCCTCGCAGCTTTTCTGTTCAAATCAGGATAGAATCCAGGCTGTTCATGTTAGTCCGCACTGTCATATCTCAGGATGGAAAGACTCACAGTTCCGAGGTTAGTGCCATAGCTAACACCACCGTGAAATGGATAGCCACTGTTATAATTCTCAGAAAAGTTATAGTCATCCCTATAGTCAGGAGCACCGATGTAGTCTGCAAACCTCTCACGCTGGTTAACATTATTAGGGTCCAGGTTCTGCAGACCACCGTCATAACGCCAGCAAAGAGGTTGATTGTTAGGCAGACCATCCATGTATCGCTTGTCAGCCACCAGAAGACTGTATCTGTTAGTTATTATCATCCAAGGCACCGCTGCGACTTACTTAGTCTCTGGATTCTTCTTATCGTTCACATCCCAGAAGCTGTCCAGTGCTGTGTAGGGACCTTGATCGGAGGGACGAATGGTGAGAATGGGCGTGATGTTGGTGCAGCTCTTTACGCCCTTTGCCTTCAAACCGTTCAAGAAAGACCCCACACTGGGGAAGCCATAGTTACTGCTGGTGAAGGTGCGGTATTTATCCTGTTGTCGTTAGTCAAGTTCAGATGTTTTAAGGGTGGACGTGCCTGAAAGTCGACGTCAAGATGCATTCCGTCTAATGGGATGTCGGAGTCCCTGTACCGTTGTACGACGTTGTTCACTGTGTCTTCGTTGGAATAGCCATAGCCTGACTTGTCAGTAGCTGATCCCTGTGGAAAGGTGCTATGTTTTGTAGGACTCACATGCTTGATGATGTCCAAGAATGAAACGAGGCTTAAGCTTAGGTCGTCCGACAATGGAAGTGTATTGCCTAGTAACAGTCAGTAAAGAGCAGTCCACAAATAGACTTACACTCACCAAATCATCCTCGGCACGTCATCAGCGGTAAGGATCCATGTATCAAAGGTGTTGAAGCGTGTAGCAATACTGATGGTATGCGAATCATTCTTGCCGAGGTCGATAGCAACTTGGGAGTAGTTATCGACCATGACACCTGTGACATTCTTCCGATCCGGAGTACCGTTCATCTCCAGAAAGAAAGGTGTAGAGTGATACCTATTTTCTTAGTTAGAACGTGATCACCATGCTATGAGCAATACTTACAGCGGTTCTCGAGTATCCAGAGCCCCAAGGCCATAAACCTTCGAGTAGTTGAAGTTATCATAACCTGCCTCATTAGCACCCGCCCAATCAAAGCGTTCCGGTTGAACTTACAGAAGAAGTTGAGATAAGTAGGCTTCTTGATAACAGTCCTTCCGCCCTGCTCTCCAAAGCCAAGATACGCCGCTGGTCCAGGCTTCTTGATGTTGAGAACGACATTGTTCACAGCGCCGATGCTTGGATTACCTTGATACGAGAAAGCCTCCTCTGTAGTCTGCCAGATGATCTCTTCGTACTCAGATACAGTGTCGATACCAACGGTCTTCAAAAACGCCGGGTCTGCGTCGAGAGGCTTGAGTTTTCTCGTCGCCTAAACGTGTGAGTGGAGGGGTACAAGAGAGAGGAGGGTACTTACGACGATGCGGAATGGGGAGGCGAAGAAGTGAAGAGCTGTGTTTGGGACGCCAGTGGATTCACTTGTCTCATACTCAACGGTCTAATGGTGTTAGATGGTGGTATACTGGGATGATGGGTAACTTACAGTGAGGACCCAGTGATCTGAAGACTTCTGCTCAAAAGTCGTCTTCCAAAACCATCCCTCCTGAGCAGGATGCGAGTTCCAAGCCTCAGAGTCTCTATACTCCTGCTGAAGATCATCAACCAAACTCGAGAAGGTATCTCTAACGATAGTACGCCTGCACTCATCAGCACCAAGACCTAACAAATTCCACAAGAGGACTCACGAGTTGTAATCATCATAGTCCGTCACAGCAGTGTGCTTTGGATTATATCTGACTCTCCAGATCTGCGGCGATGCAAACTGGACTAGACAGTGAGTGTTTGGCTCACCCTTTAGAGTGATGTGAGCTGCATAGCGGAGAGGATCGCTGGGGGATGTTGAGGTAGTTGATTCAACGCTGAGAGCTTCAGAGGGTTTGGTGAAGTTTGGGACGGTTGGGAAGAATATGTCTGCGGGGATGAAGTTGAGGGGGTCCGTGGGAGTAGCCATGATGGCGATAGTTGGCGACAATGTTGATCCAAGATACGAGGGATTGGGCCTTTAATACCTCAATTCTTCCTCTAGAACAGATCATCGGCAGATTCAAACTCATACTGAGTGAATAAACGAGTATCAAACCATTGTCATACCCCAAATCCACGCCGTCTACATCTTAGCCCACCGATACAACCTCATCCAGCCACGCATCTCACCCGCATCCTCCCGGCCAAGACCGGTCAGCAATCTGCACAACCACTTCCTCTACACGAAGTCGCATCAAACCTCCATAACGACTCCCATAATTATCCCTCAAAAACTGCACGACGCCCAGCAAGGATACTTGCTCGTCCAATCAGCTCCCCCACCTGTAGTTCGTGCCAGAACCATTTGGGTAGCGGTCCGTCCGCTTTAGGTCGATAGTTCCAAGACTATCGATGCGAACTAGAACTGAGACATGCCTAATCAATCGGCTCTCGACCAAATACTTAAAATCGTACAATCTTATCGCGTCGTATAGTCTACTACATCTTATCACGTCTTATCACTCCATCATCATATTTTGGTGTTTCCCCGCTCTCAGCTGCATATATGGCTTACCCTCTGCATCGCATTATTGAAATCCTGCATTTCAGCGCTGTGCTAATTCCTCAATTCGATGCTACACATATGCCGATAGAAAAGTCTCACGTCTAGACCGATGCTAATATTGCGACGTTGGGGGTAGCATTGACGAATGAGTTTGTCCTGATAACGTGCGTGTCGTGTTGACGATGCCTTCGTTCGTAATATCGTACGCCACCATGCGGGTTTTTACAAAACTAGTTCATGGCTTTTTTTTCAGCCGCTGCGGGATTGCTTATCATGAACTGTTTGGTGTGTATGCGCTATTGCTGTGTTGGACGTTTATATCAATATCCTTTCTCCGTCGGGATCCGCGTAACCCTCCATTTCTTTCCAGCAGTCATTGTTACCCTCTTCTCTTCTCTCTGTTACCATCTAAGTAGCCTTTCAAGATGGGTTTTTGGAAGAGACTCACAGAGTTTCTCTTTATTCATCGGTTCACGGACCAGACTAGATTCTCCCATACATACTCCCCTGTTCAAGATCTTTCTCTTGTTGATGCTTTTGATGCAGAGTCTATTGATGGAGCTTGTAACTCGCCTACGAACAGACGTTGTTGGTCAAATGGCTTTGACATTCATACTGATTATGAGGAAGTAATTCCAGAGGGCAAAGTTCGGAAGGTAAGTCATTTATCTGTTGTCTTTTGGGACTGATACTGAAGGGTGCAGTTTCTTTTGTATGTGACTAATGAAAGGATTGCACCTGATGGATACTTGGTTGATCGGATGCTGTTCAATGGAACGTATCCTGGACCTACTCTTGAGGGTAACTGGGGAGATACTTTTGGTAAGTCATGTGGCTGGGCTTCTTTATGTCTCTCTTGTCTAATGTTTCCAAGAAATCACCGTCGTGAACAAATTGACCAACTTCAACGGCACTTCTATCCACTGGCATGGTATTCGTCAACTAAATACCAACTGGATGGACGGCGTATCAGGCGTGACGGAATGCCCAATTCCTGTAAGTCTCACTGTCTACCACCAGACCCATGTACTGATGAGAGCAGCCCGGTGAGAACTTCACTTACGTTTGGAGAGCTACACAATATGGAACATCGTGGTATCACAGTGAGTCGCATGTCCTCAATTCTTTGACAGTATTTAACAGTCTCAGGTCACTTTAGTCTACAGTGTTAGTAACTAAGCCCTTCTATCACCATTTCTTACTAACGCTAGGTTAGATGCCGATGGACTTGCTGGCGCTCTCAAGATCAATGGGCCAACTAGCATGGACTACGATATAGATCTTGGCCCAGTTCTCATAACTGATAACTTTCACAAAACCACCTTCTCCCAAGTCCAGCTCGAATATCTAGGTACTCCCCCTCTTGCAACAGAATCTCATTATCACTAACAGACAACAGGTCGCCCTCCAGCTCCAGACAGTATGCTCATGAACGGCAACGGCAGATACTACTGCTGTCCCTCTCTCGACAAGAACTGCAAGGGTGGCTCCAATCTCACATCCTTCCACTTTGAACCAAACAAGACTTACAAAATGAGTCTCGTCAACACGGCTGCTTCAACGCATACCACCTTTTGGATAGACTACCATGATTTCTGGGTCGTGGCCACTGACTTTGTTCCCATTGTGCCCTACAAGACAGACTTGATCAACATAGCCATTGGTCAGCGCTACGATATTATCGTTAATGCCACAGCTGTCAAGGGGAAGAATAGCAGAAATGTCAACTTTTGGATGCACGCTCGCGATTGTCAGAATGGCGGTGCGAGATCCAATCTTGGCATCATTCGGTACGATGCTAAGTCGACTTCTATCCCTTGGACACCTCCCCCCAAAGAGGATAACATCTGCTACGGGTGTCAGGACGAGCCTAGTGAGAAGCTCAAGCCTATCGTGCAGCGTAACATTACACAGCACAATGATGACTACGTCAAGAACTCTTTCAAGGTTCATCTCGTCGGATATCCCAATGAATTCAAGAAAGATTCCATGATGCACAAATGGGTCCTCGCCAATTCATCTTTCTACCTTGACTGGGCAGAACCAAGTCTAAGTCTCGTCAAGATTGCTTCTGAAAAAGGCTGGAATAATCCTCAGTTCCCTGTTGGGTATGAACCTGTGACTCTTGACTATGCGAATGGAACGTGGGTTGCTTTTCTCATCGAGGGGAAATTCACAGAGTCGATTCATAATTCTACGACAAAGGGTCATCGCAAGGTATACAAGACGCAAGCACCCGTTGCGCATCCAATTCATGTGCACGGACATGACTTTGTTCTTCTCGATTCTGGAAACAAAGAGTTTGATCCAAAGAATTTTACACTTCAGCTGACCAATCCTCCTCGTCGAGATGTTGTACTCCTCCCGGTCGATGGCTACATTATCATCGCCTTCCAAAGTAAGCAATCCCTTTTTTTTTTTTTTTTGAGTGATACGGTGCTAACAATTTTCTAGTCAACAACCCTGGCGTTTGGCTAATGCATTGTCATGTAAGTTTCGCCTAACTAATTCCTCGATCTTGGTCGTCGATCTCGATCCTCGAAACTAACGCTCCCCCCTCAGATCGCCTTTCACGCATCGGGAGGCCTGGCACTTCAATTCATCGAGTCACCTAGAACCATTGGACCCATGTTTAAGAATTCGGGTATCTTGCCTACATACTCCGAGACGTGTGCGAACTGGGCTGCGTATTATACCATGTTTAACAAGCACAATAACGCGACTCAGGATGATTCTGGTATTTAGTTAGTGTAGCGGCGGATGATTAGCGGGCTCGGGGGCATGACCACTGAAGAATTAGGGTACTGCAGGTTTCAGGGTATCATTTTGAGCGGGGTTCGTTAGTTGAATCGAGTGCATAAACTCTACCAAAGAAAACGTCTTTTGATCCGAGGAACTGAAGAAATAAAACGGTTTTTATTAATTAGCGCTTGTCTCGCTCGGCATGAACAATTATGACGACATCTTTGTCAGCCCCTAAAAATGCCTGTCATTCCCGTGCTGCCTGTGTTCAGTTCCTTAATTCTGGGTCATGAGCCCCTCCCTCTCCCCTCCATCAAATTCAATTCCGTTCCAGCTCAATTCATTTCCTCTAACAATTTTATTCTTGCGACGATCCCTTCCCTAAAAGTCTTCCATGCCTCGCCAAATTCATTCCCTATAATCATCACTAAATGCATTTCTTCCCCCAGGCAGACGCCGCGCTCCTCTCCTCAACAGTCGATAAACACACTCTCCCTCCGCGTCCAAAGTCAATCGGCCCCATCTTCGATGCCAACAACTTCAAGGTCCCGATAGAGCCGTGGACTTCCGACGTCGCTTCGTCCTTCTACCCTCCAAAGCCAGATCCGTTCAGTCCGTCGTCGATACCGCAGGAGGCGCATCGTGCGTCGTCTTCGAAATATGTGCGATCGCGCTTGGCGGAGAATGAAAGGCTGAGGCTGTCGATGCTATGGTACTATGCGAGGGATCTCGACAACGAGCCTGAACTCCTCGCGGGGCTGCAGGAGAAGGCGTGTCTTGCTCAGGAGTCGTCGGGATGGGAGTATGCTGTTGTCGGTGTGCTGGATGTCAATGTTTACATTCGTCTGGCCACGGTAGGCCTTCAACTTGCTATTCTTCCCCGTGGTGAAACCCTCTGCGCACATACCGTTACTCAACCACCTGGAGTATAGCCACCGCTGCCTCTCTGACGCCCTTCGCTAAGCCTCTATAGAATGTCTTCCTCTTGCCAAACATGCTCCAAGACTGGAGATTTCGCGAATCACCATACGTCGAACACGGTGGACTCGTCGCATACGCTGGTGTCCCGCTGCGGATGCAGCACGAGTCAGGTGAATGCGTCGGACTCGGTTCGCTGTGCGTAGCGTCAGCGACAGGTCGAGATCCGTTATCCAAGACACAGCAGCTTGCACTAGCTCGATTAGCCGACTGGATCGTCCACGATATAATACAATGTGCACGGGCGCGACGCCAACGAGAACGTCACCGATTTGTCGAGCTCATCGCAGCAGTCCAACAAGAACCCGACGGCGAAGATGTCCAAGAACCGATCCTCCGAATACTCCGACAAGCCTTCCCCGACGAGTCAATAAGTTTGCAGTCCACGGGCACCGATCAATCGACGGTTCCATACCCCGCGACGACATCAGATTTGAAGCACGGGTTGTGGGAAGATGACGAGTACATCGAGGATTTTATCGCAAACTCCAATTTCGACGAGCCACCAAAAGATCGAGTAGTACGCTTCATCTCAGCACAATGCGAAACGAAACTCGGCCCCTCGGTCCTCGTCGTCGCGACAAAAGACTTCCGACGAATATTTGACGATGTCGATTCCTGGTTTGTGCACACCTGCGCTACCATGCTCACCCAGCGATGGCAGAAACGTCTCCTCGCCGAAGTCATGCGAGCAAAAGAGAAGTTCCTCCGCGGTGTATCACACCAACTCCGAACACCCATCCATGGCATCCTCGGCGCCGCAGAGCTATTGACGGAGGATCTCAGGGCATTGACAGTGCCTGGAAGTTCGAAATTCCAGCCTGGTGTAGAGGCTATCATGAAGCCGCTTGCTGAGCTGGGCAAGTCGTCCATCTACCTCGACACAATATCTACTGCAGGCAGGGAACTCATGTCGACTGTCAACAGCATGATCACTCTCAACAGATGGGCTGATATCGCTGCTGCCGAACGACAATATGCTACGCATGGCATCGAGTCTCTGGAGACGTCACTCGTCAAGGCATTGGCAGACTTCACCTTCAGGGACACGCGCACACGAGCACCCGTCTTCTTCCACCACAACCTCACCTCCGAAAGCGAAGGCCTGCGAATCGACATCAACCTCTTCCGAGACAGTATCCTTCCTCTGATCGTAAACGCTCTACAAAACACGACCGAAGGAGTAGTGACAGTCACACAGTCCTATACACAAGATACAAAAACGCTCGTGGTGGATGTTGAGGATACAGGCTGCGGTATTCCTCCTGAGGATCAAGGTCGTATTTTCGATCTGTACGAGAAGGTGGGCGAGCACTCGACTGGCGCTGGGCTTGGCTTGACTCTCTCGACCAAGTTCTCAGCTCTACTTCACGGCTCGATTGAGTTGGTGTCGTCTGAGGTCAATCGTGGTTCTCACTTCCGCGCGACATTCCGCGATATTCGTCCCTCTAGTACTCCCACCGAAACAAAAGCCTTACAGCTCAAGCACTTGCCATTAAGCTACCGACACCTTCCATCCGATTCACCCAACGCGCATTTATCCTCGAATCTAGCGAAATACCTAGCCCGAAATGGCTTCACATCATCCACCGACCCCCAAGATTGTCTCAACATCATTGACTATATACGCGATCCAGCCGAACGAGAGAAATATCATTCAATACTACCAAAGAGACAAGTCGCCCTCTGTCTAGTCACTAATTCGCATGAAACCGACGTTCCCGAATCATGCACCAACATCGTCTTCGTCGACGGGCCTTTCTCCTCGTCTACACTCGACTCTGCACTCCAGAAAGCAGATGAACTGTTAGCACGACTAAAGTCAACACGAACATCCCCACAAGCATCTCCCGCATCCCTCGAAGATCCGAAATCCCTCCTCACACCCCCCGACCCAACAACCGAGAGCGATCAAAAGTCCACCTCAGACGAAGGCTACGACTCCGTCACCGGCTCATCAGTCGCCCACCAAACAACCGAAGCCCTCCTAACCGACTCCCTCGCAAAAGCCGTATCCCAAATCGAAGCCGCAACAATCGACCTCCCCATCCGCCCACTCATCCCCCCCGCAACCTCAAAACCCATGACCCTCATCGTCGACGACAACGCAGTAAACCTACGCATCCTAGAAATGTACTGCAGAAAACGCGGGCTTCCCTACCTAAGCGCCATAGACGGGCTCCAGGCAGTAGAGTTGTTTAAGAAGCAGCAGACGTCCGCGCCGATCGATCTCATCCTCATGGATCTCCAGATGCCGGTTTGCGACGGTATTAGCGCTACGCGGCAGATCAGGGCTATGGAGACGAGCAGCAAGGCGGTGCTGTTTATTGTGACGGGGCAGGATAGCCTGATGGATAGGGAGGCGGCGAGCAAGGCGGGTGCGGATAATTATCTCGTCAAGCCGGTGGGGATAAGGATGCTGGATAGTAGTCTGAAGAGTTATTTTCCGGATCTGGTGACGAGCTAGAAGAGGAGGAGGGACTGGGTTTCTGAGGGGGGGAGTTAGGTTAGAACAGTACACGAATACCCATGTTTGTTTTGGTTTGATCATACAGGGACTGCATTATGTCTGATGTGTTTACATTGCGGTGTTGAGTAAGGAGGCGTAGAGATCACATCGTGAAGTATGGCCTCACTCGATGGATAATTCATTCCGAACACATCTTTGCATTGAAATTACGCACGACGTGTCGGTGTAGAAAGGGCCGCGTATATGTTCCTCCACCTATAGCATCGCATTCAAGCTCGCGAAGGAATAAACTTTCGGTCTTACCGATCTCGCGGCGTTATTATATGTATTATCCGACCTCTACGTAGTATTGTTGTCCTTCTGGTGCGAGCATAGCCTGAGATTTGAAGCTTATCGTCGCTCTCCCGTGTGAGATAGACATGCTGCTCTAGATCCACAGTGAAAGTCGCTTGTCCGGCATTGTTGTGTCTGTGGCCCGGAAGATGCGGAGGGATGACCTGATTGTCATCCTTGTCTGTACGGACGTCCGGGTCGGTAATAAGATGCTGGTGTTATTGTAGATCAGCGCCGGTAGTTACGTGTGCCAATAGCGCGTTATCAGTATCATATCTTTTTGTCGCTCACTGCAATTCATCACAGTGGGTTTTTCACCTATTCTGGCTTTGGGGGTAGCCTCCACGCCGCAGCTTCACACGCGGATGTCTTCAGATGTATCACCCACTATGAGTTAAAGATCATCCCACAATGACAAACCCACCAACATACAATGGACCTCAAGCAAAGAGTGAGTACGAAGCGATCGGTAAAAACGAAAGCGAAGACTCAAGTAATCATCATTGATGCAATTCTCTCACGTTCGACGTTACATCCCCGGATTTAAATCTCCTATCACCAACACCAAGCCTTTCCCGATAGCCAATCTTGTTTTCTCCTCCCTTGGCACTGCATCCTTCAGTGCTCACGCCAAGCAAAAATAGCATCATCACCCGCTCCATCCGCCCCCAAAAGCCCAACTCTTTAAATACCAAGACCGTTCTGACGCACTCAATCTTTTTGCCACTGACGTACGCCACTACCACTAGAATAAAACAGTCTCAATGCCCCCCCTGAGTGATTTAATGCTGCTTTTCGTCTTCTGTAGTGTTTTTTGTAAAAATAAGCTTATTTTTAAGCTTATGCACGCACACAATGGCAACGACTGCTTCGAATAATGCGTTAGGGACGGAGAATATAACGCTCTCGTCTGCTCCGAGCACACCGTCTATGCCGAGCAAGAATGAACAGCCTGATCCCATCGCGCGTGGTCCTCCGCCTCTACCGTATAACCTCCACGAGCACAAACTCATGATCTTTCTGTTCTGGTTCCTCATTTTGACGGAATGCACTCTCATCCCGATTATCTTTTACTTCACAATCTCTAACCTCACCGATTTACGACCGGGCGCTATGTTTGCTATCATAACGGCGATGTTTGGGTTTATATCGGGTGGAGAATACGGTCTTCGTGGCTTACGCCTTGCGTTGAAGCGAGATACTTATCGGCCTCTCAACGGCGCCGGACGATGGAGTTTCGATACGGTGCATTTAGTCCTCGGACCACCGTACTTTGTCATGACAGCGCTTATGATTGGGTTCAGCATCCCTGATCCGCCGATGATGAGGGGTCTGAGCATCATCATGCCAGTCGGTATCCTAATGGTAACAACCTACATGATCTGGACAGGAATAGCGTACCACTTCAACTGGAGACTTCGTTTTCACCGCCTAAGCTCTCACGTCATCGGCGATAAATACCCACCGCTTACATTCACGATAATGGAGGACATCACGGCTTGTGATGGCGGTGGGGGCAAGGAGTATAGAGAGGCTGCTATGGCGCGGTATAACGCGTCACCAAGGTTTAGAAGGATGCTTGTTGAGATGCACTGGGCGTGGGCGATTACTGGGTCGGTTGTGAGTGTTGTTTTGATCGTGTTGGCGTGGGTTTTGCCGGTTGAGGTTGGATATACGCTTGGATGGGCGGTTCCGTCGGTTTGGGGAGCGGTTGGGGCGTGGGGGACTATTAAATGGGGGCAGAGATCGCTACGGATAGAAAAGGAGAACTGGGTGAAGGATCATATGCCAAATGCATAGACTGCTTAGGATAGATATTTCATTAAATATTTGCCCTAGAGATTACAATCTTTTCTTAGGAGAATTTTTACGCCTCAGATGATAAAATAAATAAACAAATAACAATCGGCCCACCTGTAACCAAGAGCTGGAGCTTACTCTATATTGTACCTATTAAATCTCTTTAAATGTTTTCCTACAGACTAATATCCTTTAATGTCATTATAGAGCTCTGGGTATTGCTTTAAAAACCCCGGCGACACCGTCCAGTTACCCAAGTCCCGTATGAACATGCGAAAGTAGGGCGAAAGGTGCAGGTTGCCGGTCACCGAGTTCTGGACATAGGCATCGGACAGCTCCATCGGCCACAAGAGCTTCGTATCTGAGAATGCACTGCGCCAAAAGGAGTCTGTGCAGTATTCATGCTCCGAGAAGACCAACCGCTCTCGTATACCAGGCCTGGGCTGTGCATTAGCTATGAAGCAGACAGAGCGGGGCTGGGCTGGGCTGGGCTGGCAAGGGTCTCGCACCAGAAGACAAAGTCGATGGCGATTGCATGGGGGAGGTTCTGAGATGGCCTTGGGGCAGAATTAGTGGACGTGGACCAAGAAGAGAGAAGATGGTCGTGGCAGTAACTTACCTGGCCTGGAGCCAACGCGGTAGCGCGGCTTTTCTTGGACTCCTTTGGCTCACTAGCATAAGGCGTATCAAGCTCAACATGGCCAGCCGATCGGTGGTACTAGATTTCAACCCTGAAAGCTCGTCTATGCTACGAAGCATACGGCAGGTGTTTAGCTCTCGTGCCGCTGCAGTGACGCTATTCCACCCGTACAGCACGGCGCGAATGATGGAATCTTCGCTCTCTCGGTCTTCCGCTGCTAGGTCTATGTTGGCCAGTGACTGGTAGAGATGATTGAACTGGCGCCAAATGTTAACCCTCGTGCCGAGCATACACTCGCATTTTGGTAGACCAATCTGGGGGACCATGGTGCTGAGAAAGTCCGGGAATAGAGGAGATAGCCGGAATAGAGAAGAATCCAAATCTAGAGACTCTGGATCATGCCAGGCCTGAACATCGTCACTGCTGTTCATTGATGCAGCGGTGTCGAAAGCCTCATTCCCAGGGATTTCTTGCCAGTCTGGCACATCTAGCCGGCTTCGCAAAGACTGCGCTCCGCCATCTTTGCGAATCGCAGAGGACAGCAAGGGCTTTTTCGCAGAGGCCTCGTCAAGATGACTTCGGATGGTAAAGTCAAGAGACTCCAAAAGATTTCTGAGTCCGTCTCGCTCGCCGATCAACTTGGATAGTTGTTCGTTCAGAGATGAGAAGCGAGCATCAGAGTCAGTCTCTTGAAAGTTGGCCACCAATGTTTCGAGGTGGGCCATACGACTTCTTGTTCGCTGACGAGCCAATCGCTGCGCTTTACGATCGAGCTCTCGCTTTCTGGACTTGCGGTCGTTTATCGAAGTTCCGTTCGTCATTGTGTTTGTATGGAGAGAGGGGTTTGTCTAGAATGAGGAGTCAAGATCCTACGATCTGATAGATGCTGCGGGTGAAAAAGAGGGGGAGTCGGCAGACGGGGTAGAACGGCGGAGAAATCTGGGGATGAGGCAAGTCGTCAGTGTCCAAGACCCTTCCCCGCATTGTGCCTACCTACCTAGGCACAAATCTGTTGACACCGCGGAACTTCCGGCATCTTCTTTTTCGGTTAGTATGCACGAGGGCGCGTGAGGTGCGTGACGTGCGTGAAGTAAGCATCGGCTACGGGATCTATCAGCTCAAAAGGACACTCTCGTAAACCCAGTTCAGACAGTACACCAGCTGTCTATACAAGTGTGCACGAGGACGGTCCATCTTAAATGCCATGCCCCGATCGAGCAATTGATACCATCTAACCAGCGCTCACGAAGCTGCCTATACGTGCCTTGATTAATTCACAAATACTCTGTTCCATTTCATCACTATCTCGCAATGACTTCAGTTTGGCTACCTAAAGGACAGAGAACCACGCCATTCACGGGCCCCATAGCCTCTCATCCAAGTTGCCAAGCCTGCAACTTGTATTCATTCGTAAAAACGAGGATCAAGATTCTCCAGCTTGAGATACGGGCTTCGGTCCGCGTCAGGAGACGTGCTCAGGTCGATAGGGGCGAACCCATATCCAAGATACTGGAACCGATTCCGCTGATGTAACAGGCACGATTAGCAAGGACCATCAAGACAATATGCCGGGTTTAAGTTCTTACAGCATGATACTTGATCTCCATATCTTCCCAGCGGGGATCTTGGATGGCGTCTCGGAAGTGAAGGGCACTTCCTGGCCAAATAGCATCTACACGTCCCGTTTTTCTGTTCTTGTCTACTCAAGAGTCAGCATGCATTGCATTTCACGAGCAAGCAACTTACACCACGCGTTACAGCTCTCTTCCCATACGGTGCCTTTGAACCAGGATTGAGTGTGGTCGTTGAACTCATCGGTTACGTCCTGGCGAGGGACGAAATACTTGATGTTGTCTCGCTGCATCTTCTTGATCGCTTTGACGGTGTAGCTGACGATTGCTTCCAAGAGTCCTGTGACGGTGTGAGTTTATGTCATCTGGTGAGGCGATTCTACGAACCGGTGATGCTTCCATTCTCTACTGGACAGTTTGGACCGAGATACACTGGTGCGCATGTTAGATATAGCATTCACACTCCATCTTCGGCATAAGCTTACTCATATAATTCGGTATCTTGGGCGCCATCAGCTAGGAAAGTCAGCTCGCCGTCCCTAGGCTGTATCTCTAAGCACTTACGCCCATGTAACTCTCCGGAACAGTATGCCACTCTTTGCGAAGGTCGTAGTTGTCCAACCCGATCAAGGGGAAAGGAGGTCGATAAGACACATCTGTTGTTACAAATAGTTAAAGACCATGCCATCAATCAGAGATCACCACGTACCAAAACCAGTCGCACATACGATGGTGTCGCAGGCGGTGTATGTGCCATCGTCGCCAAAGACTCCATTCTTGTCAACTCTCGCGATACCCGTGAAATGAACATCAACATTGGGTTCTTGAATACTAGGGCATCTCTGTAAGGTGTAATTCATAGTATGTTGTTGATAGGGTGTACTTACGCTACCATGAAAGGGTCACCGGGTGTGATTCGACGACAGCCTGGGCTCCAGGTGGGAATAATCTTGTCAAATAGCTTGTCATCTTTGATCCACTTTCGAGTTCTTTCAGTCAAAGTCTGCGTGTAAAACGTGATTAGGCTTTTTCTTCTTACAGAACATATGGACTGCAGCTTACTTTTCGGGCCTGATAATACGCAGGTTCATACTTCACCATCATATGCTGCATCTGCAATATGTCAGTCGACATTCACAAGCTTTGGGCAGGCAGGAACAAACCATCATCAAAACACTGTCGTTGGCTTTTGCGTGCTTGAGCATAGCGCCATGGTCCTTTCTGAAGAGGGCCTTCTCCTCCTCGGTATCTGGCCCCAAGAGCCGACGGTCAGCTTACAAGTCCAGTAACGGAGTTTGATGTAATATGGCACTGACATGTATAATCCTGGGGCCTAGGGTCTCCGCCAGAGTCAGGGGGCGCGGCGTAGAACCACGCCGGGGTGCGGAGAAAGCTGTGTACTTTTTTGGCGTGAGGCTGCATTCCCGGTACAACCTGGTACGCGCTTGCTCCAGAGCCAATAACAACGATCTCGTCACTTGCCCACTTATCTTTGGTGTACTCTTCCCACCTGTCAAGGAAAAGTCTTAGTAAGACATGTGACTGGAGAGGGGAAGGGTTGGCGGTCTTACTTTGTCCTATCAGCCGAGTGAACCACTCGGCCCTTGAACGACTCGAGGCCAGGAATCTTTGGGTACTCCCAGCGATCCAAGATACCTACTGCACCTAGGAGAAGGTCGCAGTCGTCGGTGAAGGTCTTTTGACTTCCGTCACTCGCTGTCTGTTCAATCTTGACATTCCACGTGCCTTTTTTATCATCGAATCGGGCTTCGATTACTCTCGAGTTGAAGATCATGTATTTCTCAAGGTCGAGCTTCTTGACGACTTTGGCCACATAATCGCGTAGATAATCTGATCCTGACAGGAACTTGTCCCACTCTGCACAGATGTTAGTGTCCCCTAGGTTCCGATGGCCTGTTTACTGGATCATGCATCAGCATAAGAGATATCTTACCCGGGTCAACGGCAAAGTTGAACTGATATGTACAAGTAGGGGAGTCGCATGCGGCATTGGGGTATCGGTTCTGGTACTAGGAGACTCCCTGTCAGCATAGCCATGAGCTCAACAAGAAGAAAGCCCTTACCCAGGTCCCTCCCACAGTTGGATTCTTGTCGTATATCACATGTTCGACATTAGGGCAATGCTTCTCGATATTGTAAGCTAGCATAACACCGGCCAGCCCAGCACCGATCGTAATGACTTTCAGTCTCCTGTTTCCAGGGTCCCCGATAGGCGCAAAAGGGATATGATATCCAGTCTCTGGATTGTTATGATAGTCGCAGTGGAGTTTCTCCGAAAATAAATTTCCAGGACGAGTGTCTGACTCGGGGTCTGCAAAGAACTTGAGGCCGGGGATCAAGAAAGGTGAGTTGACCCCGCCCTTGGATTCTTCGATGCTTCCCATAGTTAATAAGATGAAAATCGCAAATGATCTCAGTTGTTATCTGGTGGTTGAGTAGTATGGTTATCACATAAATGAGGATGTACAGAGGATTATTTAAGAGGTTTGAATCAGCTTGTTGTTTAAGACTAATCTACAGGCGAATACTAGTAGACCTTGCCGGCAACGACGCGAATAATCTGACTCGTACACGTCTTGCTCGCCGGTCAAAGACCATATTCTGGCCCAGAGAATGAGCCGCCAAACAGGACACGGCTATTCTTGACCCGGCCTCAAGCAAGAACACAACATCAGTATTTTCTGACTCGTTCTGGGGAAAGCTAGACCACTTACGGAGTAGCGGACCTCGGCATCCAAAATCTCTACAGTGACCAACGTAGGTACCTTGGGTTGGAGAGTGCCAAACGATACAGCACCATCTTCAGCGCTCGGAATAAGGATGTATGGATGCCGTGCTCAGTGGGCGGGCTCATAACCGAGGCGTACTGTTAAATATACCACAGTTGGCCAGACTGAATGTCATCTCTAGAGCCAGACTACCATTGGTTACTTGAACTTGCACTCACTCTACTCTCCAAATATTGATCACTTTCCCCGGCTATAAAGTGCTACCATGTCGGAGCCTATTATCCGTGAGCCCGGACTTTCAACGATCCACCCTGAATGGGAAGCAGTATGCACTTCTGATGTTACGCCACCCTTGCATCATCACTAATACAATACTACCTAGTTCGAGAAACAGTTTCCTATTCCTCCCCTACTCGGATCCCCCCAGCAACTTCGCGAATTGAAATTCCCCAAATCCGATAGCCCTCCTATCGGATTCTCTATCAGAGATGTTCAAGTCCCAGGCTATCAGGGCGCTACCAACCAGCTGCGCCTTTATACTCCGGATAATAGCTCCGAGCCTCTTCCAATAGTCATATAGTAAGAGAGAAGGCTCAGAAGTGCTCATTCTCATGCTGATTGATAAACAGCGTCCATGGCGGAGGGTGGACAATGGGAGACTTGGATTCAGAGGATAAGGTATGCCGAACGATGTGTAAGTCTGCAGGCGTGATTGTTATCAGTGTGGACTACCGCAAGTAAGGCCTCCAATTACTCAACGCGAAGTGGAATGTACACTCACAAATCGACAAAGAGCACCAGAAAACACTTTCCCCATTGGCCTGGAAGATGTTTGGCAAGGAGTGCTTTGGGTAGGCTCCCCATGCCATTACCACGACAGGCTGTTAATAGAGCACAGGTTTTTGAGAATATCGACTCTTTGGGGGGTGCCAGTGATAAGATCATCTTAGGCGGCCTCAGTGCCGGTGGAAACATTGTATGTGCCTCCCCCGTACATTTCAGTACCTACCTACTCATGCAAAAGTCCTAACTCTTGCAAGGCAGCCGTTCTCGCACAGAGAGCCCGAAGCGCCGCAAACATTACATTTCGCGGACAGATACTGCGTGTTCCTCTCGTGGTGCATCAGGATGCCCTACCCCGTGCTGAGTTCGACTTTTCTAGCTACACTGAGAACGCCACGGCACCTGTTCTCCCGACTGCAGCGGTCACTCAGTGTCTCGGCTACTACGGGGCTCCTCCAGAGGACATACGCGTGTCTCCACTTCTAGCAAAGGACTTTTCGGGTCTGCCGCCAGCTTATATCCAGGTCGCTGGAGCTGACCCCCTTCGAGACGACGGATTCGCATATGCTGAGAGACTGCAGCAAGCAGGGTGAGCAAACACACAGGCTGTTGGTTGCAGGGGGTTTTCTTTTTGCTAACCTGAGGCTAGAATCCCAGTCAGATTGAGTGTCTATGCGGGTTTCCCACATGCCTTTATGAACCTTCCTTTACAAAGTGCTGTGAAAAGTGATGAGGATTTAATTAAGGCAATCAAGTGGTTATTAGAGATAGAGACTTGATTTTATCGCTTTTCTCTTTTATTCTTTTAAGCTTTTAAGTAGTTGAAACTACTATCGTTACTCCGTACGGTACAGATACCTATTTAGGACGATTTTACAATATAGGGTAAGCTACAGTGACTTGATTCCGTTATCTTATCAGTATGTAGCACCCCATCTCGCTTCTCTTTCCCCTTTCGGTCTTCCTATCTTATCGCATCAAGGAAACGGATATTACTTGGCGTTTCAAGGGGACGCCCATCACGCTATGGCAATCTGACAAACCCACTTTGTTCTCGCCTTGACATTTAACATCAAACATGAGAGAAGCCGAGTTCCGTGGGAAAGTATTCAGCCTTATCCAGAGTCATTCTGCTCAATCCCCCTCACTCACCGCCAAAAATCATCAACACTTGAACTTGGTGATATCTTTGACTTACACGGCTGTATGCACTCCGCATTTTCATCCCCCGCATTCTGTAGTTAACTATTCCCGCGACTCGCAATAGTTTAATTCGCCCGCTTACACCAAATCTGGCTAAAATACAAGTGCTTTCGGACAGTCAAATACCAGGTTTCGTCTGATAGGCGGAATAACACACTGCGTGTGAAACAACATATCAGTAGTTAAATTCTACTGGCACGCTAGTAATATATGACAATCGTTCACCGCGATGGGTTTTAGCCTAATGAGGTCCTTTGCCGTGCCGGGGTTGTTTTTTCTTTTCAGGGACGAATCTGGGGTGTTGACTAGTATTTACCGACTACGGTGCAATTCTATAGGTGCGCCAATATCCTGTCTCATTCTTTTACCTGGGGTGCATACATAGTACACCACATGGCATCGTAGACTAGACTGTTCATAGTAACGGGGCTGCATCAGTCCATTTGGGAACGGACATCATGTGGTGATCACGCTTGTCTCTGGTTCTCTCGTATCCCGCGGGAGAGATGACAGAGTGGATGCTGAAACTAGGCCTGCCAAGATGAAACCCACTATGATTCAGCTTGGCATATCGATTTTCTAGATGAAGCCGAGAAACATGCCGTGTCTACCGCTCGTTTCCTGCAGGACCCCCAAAACAAACAAGAAAGTTTATACTCTCGAAATGGATAGACACAAACGTACGTGTATGTATTCGTCACTGCTTCAGCTTCAGGCAAACGCACGCACGCACGCACGAGCTGACTCGCCTGCCAGTAACAGGTACAGTAGACTAACTCAAGGGGAGGAGGTACTTTTCTCTACTGGTTAAATTAGCGTAAGCCAAATGTACCCTGCGCCCCGATCGAAGCTAACCCCAAAGCAGAAACACTCGGATCCGTCTCCGTGGTTCCAAAAGGAAGCACGCTCGTTCAGACTCGTTCAGCACCCTTCGATCGATCCTTGTTTGGGTCATTGTTCGGATGATCTAGAACAAGACTACGTTGTATCAGTGGATACACCATATTTTCTCCTCCAATGCCAGCTCGATTATTCCCCAGCAACGAATGATCCCCATACAAATTAAGGGCCGTCTCGCCATGCATAGTCCATCTACTATTTTCATATATAACTTACTGACTTCCTCCTCGTCGATCAGTCTTTTCTTCTCTTGTATCATCACAACCTCCTCCTCTCCTCATATTCCCTCACCCTGATATCACCATGAAGTACGATCTCGGCCTCGTCTCCTCGGGCTTGTTGCTCCTCGCCTCCGTCGGCGACGTCTCAGCTCAGTGCGCTCTTCCCACCTCCTACAAATGGACCTCAAGCGGTGTCCTCGCCGAGCCCAAGAACGGCTGGAAGTCCCTTAAGGACTTCACCGTCGCTCCCTACAACGGCGGCCAGCTCGTCTACGCCACCAACTATGGCACCGCCTACGGATCCATGGCCTTCAGCCCCGTCTCCAACATCAACCAGCTCGGCTCTGCCTCGCAGACCGCTACGCCTTTTGCTGCTGTCGCTCCTACTCTGTTCTACTTCGCGCCCAAGAACATCTGGATCCTGGCTCACCAGTGGGGTCCCACCAAGTTCTCGTACAGAACTTCCAGCAACCCATCCAACATTAACGGCTGGTCTGCTGCTCAGCCTCTCTTCACCGGCAACATCGCCAACTCTGACACTGGCCCTATCGACCAGACCGTCATTGGCGATAGCAAGAACATGTACCTGTTCTTCGCCGGCGACAACGGCTCCATCTACCGCGCCAGCATGCCCATCGGCAACTTCCCCGGTAGCTTCGGTTCCGCCTCGCAGGTCATCCTGCAGGACACCAAGGCCAACCTCTTCGAGGCCGTGCAGGTCTACTCCCTCAAGGGCTTGAACAAGTACCTTATGATCGTCGAGGCCATGGGCAGCGGCGGACGATACTTCCGCTCCTTTACTGCCAACAGCCTCGACGGCGCCTGGACCGTCAACGCCGGTACCGAGTCCAACCCCTTCGCCGGCAAGGCCAACAGTGGTGCCACCTGGACCAACGACATCAGCCACGGAGAGCTGATCCGAACCAGCAACGACCAGACCTTCCCCGTCGACCCTTGCAACCTCCAGCTCCTCTACCAGGGCCGCAACCCCAACTCTGGTGGCGACTACAACGCTCTTCCTTACCGCCCTGGTCTGCTCACCCTCAAGAAGTAAGCGGATTAAGAAGACGTGTTAGCACTGCTTTTTCTTCCTCTGGCTTTTGCACGGACGTGGATGTTGGACACCCAGTTTTGCGGTGCAAACGGGATCATCATGGTGATTCGTCCATGACACTCATTCATCTGTACATAGTTATCTGCTCGTATATTATCAAGTCACATTCATTTGAATGGAAAAATGCACATATTGCTCATATATTTGTCTCTATCTTGTCTTCCGTGAAAACTCTGGTGTATGTGTATGCTTGCTCTAGTGACGTCTATGCGGTTGAGGCAATCGGCCAATCGTTATAACCCTCGTCTGGTGTCTCCTCCTGCCCATAAAAAACCCAAGGACCTCTATTATTCCTGGCGAGAGGTATTCCGTGAGTGATACGAGAAACGAGATCCTTTTCAACTAGTTAGACTTGGAATCCTCGGATGTTGTACTACTCACCGGATTCCAAATGAAAGCTCTCGCAAACGTAATCATGTCGAGTTTGCCCGCTCCAATAAGAGCATCAGCCGCTTCAATGGTATAATCATGGTTGGCCATAAGCAAAGTCGGACTACCAGGAAACTTGACGAGTTTCCCAAAGTCAAGTACTGGATCATAGCCAGGAGGCAGAGGATAACCTTCAGGGCGAGGAAGAGGTCCAAAGAATTCTCCTGAACCAGGAGACGTTTCGGCACCACGACGGCAAAGGTTGATAATACCAACTTTTCGCTTAACAAGTTCGGTGATGAGATATGTGTAAGTCTCCTTCATCTCGTCAAAGTCGACAATAGAGTCGTTGAGATGATCTGTAGGGTTAATCTTGACGCAGATATACTCGGGTCCGTTGAAGACGGCGGCAATTGCATCCACGAGCTCGAGGGTGAAGCGGCATCTGTTTTCAACTGAACCACCATATTCATCAGTGCGGCGATTCGCGCGGCTATACAGTCAGTAACAACCTGGTATTAACAATATTGGTATGGCTGACCTGTTGAGGAATTGTTGAGGGAGATAGCCGCTTTGATGTAAGTTAGCAACTGCTTCAGAAGTACCAGCGGATATGTCATATGTTACCCTTGAGCAAGAAGCTCAACGCCATCAAAGTCAGCTGATTTAGCTAGCTCACAGCTTCGTCTGTAAGTATCAATGACAGCTTGAACATCTGTAATGGCTTCGATATTATCCGTATGCCCCTAGTTTCAGTCAGCATCCATTCATCGAACTCATAATAAACTCACAGGCATGCCAGGCAATTCTCTGTATTTCCCTCCCTGGGCTTTGATAGCAGAAGGAGCCAGAACCTTGGCACCCTTCTCCTTCATAATAGGCAGCTGATCATGCTGACACCTCCCAGCATGCCACGCCTGAAAGAAGATCTTTCCACCAACATCATGAACTGCGTCAGTTACGTTTCGCCACGCATCTGCATGCTCTTGGGTGATCATGAAAGGAGCGTGCTTCCAGTCGCAGCCAGTCCAATCGACGAAAGTGCCTTCAGTGACGATGAGACCGGTGCCGTACTTGGCCCTGTCGGCGTAATACTTGATTTGGGCTGGGCCGGGTTTGTTATCGTCGATGCAGCGGTTACGAGTCATTGAACCCATGACGATACGGTTCCTGAGAGTGAGCTTGCCGCCTATGGTGATTGGTTCGAGGAGGTTTGCCATGATGCTGGGAATGTGCTGGTATAGATTGCAGTGATGATTGAAGTGAATGCTGTTGAATCAAGTACAAGATCAGCTCAGTTCACGAGAGAAAACAGAGACTTTAAATACTACAGAATATCTTCTCTAGTATTATCTTATGGGTGACCTTTCAAGGCCAGTTGTGATATCAACTGGGTATTTCTTTTTATGTTATATAGCAAGTATTCACGCTACTGATCTCGGTGACAAGACACTTGATGCTTAACAGCGCCGAAACTCTTGGCTCAAGCGTCTCCGACTCCCCAATTCTCTAACGAATCACAACCTCAACACTCCGCAAGCGGGGCCGCAGCCTGTTCGGAGACTTTCGGCCTCACAAACCTGCGATTGGTTCATCATTAATAATCCCTATCATCGACTCAACTACCCAATCTCAACCATTTCATTCCGCAAAGAAACATTATTAATCCAATTCAACGATGAAAGCAACATCTTGTCTTCAATGCAGAGAGGCCAAGAGGCGGTGTGTAAGGCGGACGATCGATTCGCCGTGCAGTAACTGTCAGCGCAAGAACCTAGCCTGCTCCTCGCACGTCACTACATCTGCAACCAAAGAAACCCAGGAATCTGACCCAGGGTTGACAGATGATTTGGCTATTGAGTTTGTGGAGTCTTATCTGATGCATCTCGACGGCCGTGCTCATAGTATTTTCCACCAGGAAACGCTTCGGAGACAAGTTCGCGGGAAGGAAATCGGAGATGCCTTGCTCTATTCTATATGTGCTCTGGGCTCAAAGTTCTCGCCCAAGTCTGAACATCGCGCCTTGGAAAAGCCGTTGACGCAGGAGGCGAAGAGGCTGGTTCAAGCAGATCTTGAGAATGTATGTATTGAGAATGTGCAGACGTGTATTCTTTTGTCACTTCTTAGCGCTGGGAACTGTCATACTTCTTCAGAGACACTGTTTCTCCGTGAGTTCAATCGCTGGGTTTATAGATGTATGAGTTGCGGATTTTACTGATGCCTTGCAGGAATTGCGATTGGTATGGCTGAGGTTCTTCAACTCAACTTTTCGCCCGATGACCCAAGTATCGCGAGTGAAACAGCTCTTCGAGTTTGGTGGTCACTTTACATACTCGATCGTTGGTGCTCTTCTGGACTTGGAATACCTCGGCACTTGGATAACCCTCACTGTCCTGATTCATCTCCTCTGCCCATCGACGAAACGTCCTTCAAACGCCTCGGCCCTTCGTCTTCAGTCAAAAATCATAGTCGAACTCCTGGTATCTTTGCATATATGGTGACTTTGATCCAACACTTTGGCGAAATTCAAGGCTTGAACCGCGCTATGGCCAAGGGAGATATGGTCCCAAAGGTCAAATGTGATGCTATAAAACTCATAGGCCAGAAGCTCGAATCATGGAAGGCCACTCTGCCGGGGAATATGAAGATGACGATACAGAATATCTACAGTCACCAGCAGAACGACCTAGGAGGACATTTCATCGGTCTTCATCTAGTATTCAACCACCTTTCCGCGCTAGTCTACTTCAACTCTCTCGAAACCAAGGAGCAATCATACCCAGGACAAGAAGATCACGTCGCGCTGTGCAAATCCCACGCTTCGTCTTTCAGCAGTTTATTACATACCTCCCGTCAAATGAGTGGATGTCGGCAGGACTATCCGACTGTTGGACACATGACTACTGTAGCGTCTGCTGTTCTATTGCACACGCTCTTGTTAGGAGAGCCAGAGGATATCCCAAAAGCTCGACAGGAATTGAACACCAATTTTGAGGCGCTGACTGAACTTCGACAGTACTGGCCAGCCACAGAAGCTATGGTGAGATTAAGTTCTGCCATCCCATACATACCGCTGACATGTTATAGATAAATAGACTGATGACTTTTCAAAAGCTCTGTCTGCTGTCGACGGAAAGCCACAAGTTGGATGGATGGATGGTCAGGTTCTTACTGGAACATTCCCTTGGGCTAATGAAGAGGAATTTACCCATCATTCCTCAAACGCTGGACATTGAATCAGAAGATTTCACATCGAGGACGAATGCGCTCCTGCAGGAAGGCCGATACACCGACTTTGATCTGTTCAACCAACCCCAGAGTTTCTAGTCAGCCAACAAAGCAATACCAAAAACAAGGAACAGCCCTCAGGGGGCAACAAAACACCAAACCTTGATGTAAGGTGTTGTCAAAACAAACTTTGCAAAGAGTTCCTAAGCTTAGGATAAATTGATCTAGATATTTGCATCGTTTAGGGTCAAGGTCCTGAGTTTTCTCCCGTCCCCTAGCCAGCTCAACAACAACAAGAACCCAGATCCAAGGCATAAACAGCCCCCAATTATGACAACTTTAAGTTTTCACTCAAGTTTGAGCGTCGCGCTTTGGAATTACTCCATAGATGAGCCCGTTAAACTGAGATCAGACTGTTATTAAAGGCTTGTCTTCGACGCTTGGTCTGGCAATTTCCTGCAGTTATTTGCTTAGTCATGTCTAACTTCTATATACTTCTCTCCTTTCAAGCTACTCTTAAGATCAAAGCTGCTAGATCTTACCTCGGCTAAGTGTATGTGTTATAGAAATCTTAGTAGCATTACAAGACTGAATCCGCCCACTATTTGGGTTTGTGCTTGACGAAAGCCTGTGACAGCATAGTCACCCCAAACAAAACATCTTAGCATGGAGCGGCCGCCGATGGGGTACGGCTTCAGGACTGCTTACCTTCTGTAATACGTAGTAGTTACATGCCAAGAGTAACTCTGCATGAAAGCTGAACTGGGATCGGCATTTTGAGGCCATTGGCAAATCGAAAGACTGAGCAAGTCTCCACAGTAACAGAGACCGACTCTGCCAAGCCCGCTTATATGACGGGCCACGGCAACTTTTCCGACACATTTCAAGGCTGCAAGAGTCGTGTAGGACAGGCAAATACACCTATAAAGTCTGATGCCTAGTCCATTAAAAATTAATACAAGTCTTCAAGCCTTCATCTCCAATAATACTCTATATTCGCTCCCCTAGCATCGTGAGCAGCAACTCCCAACCTGTTTAAAGGTTCTCACAACTGACAAGTCATCAAGTTCAATTGCCATTCGTCCTAATGAAGGCCGGAAACTTCTTCCTTGGCGCCCTTAGCTTGGCTGCAACAACCAAGGCTGCAGAATGCGGTGGCTATGGAGTAGGCAGCGACAGCATTGGAGCCTGTACCGACAGGTCTGGAAACTACAAAGATCGCGAGATCTTCTGCACTACACTGGTTGGACAGGGGAACTGGAAGCGGACCTGCCAGAACGGCCGTAACTCTGGCAAATGCCATTTCGAGTACCAAGGCCCAGGGATGCCTCAGCAGATGTGCTGGGACGCATATGAGAATATCATCAACCAATGTTTCAATCATCAGAATGGCGGGGGTTATCATTACGGCACTTGGAGCCTCAATGGCCATTGGTTTGCCATTGATAGGTGCAGTGCTTAAGGGCATCTATTAACAGCCCCGCCAACACGGCCCTAAGGCTGTAAAATAAGTATTATTTGAGTAAAAGGACCCTGTGTGTATCTTGATATTAAATAGATACTAGTGACTGGAAACAAAATATGAAAATGATATTCTAATAACTGAATTTAGCCAGCCAGCTCAACAACACAGATCCAAGGCATAAACGGGCCCCAATTGTGATAAGAATGCCACAGGTAGCGAATAAACAGCCATTCGTCAAACCTGGTATGTAGCAATACGTCATTCTTCCTGCCAGCATGTCATTCATCTAAAATACCCGAGATTTTAAGCAATGATCACCAATTAGCACGTCTTGGCTCAGCTTGCGCCGCCTTGGCGCTTTGATAACATGCTGAGCCGGGGATTTGCATTGCAGAGGATTCTTAATTAGGGAAACTCCGAGGTTGCGATGAAGTTATGTAGTTGGGGGCCGAAATACGAAGAGTAATTATCTTGCAATTATTGCCCTTCTAACAGCAGTATTTTAATCATTCCAGCATCCCTCTCCAAAAAGCATCAAGGAGTTCAGTTACTTCCTCATTGTTGTAAAGAATGGACAACATATACAGGTGCATCTTTGCAGTCATCTTGTTACACCTCTCAGGTACAGGTTTGGCACAGAATGTCTCCCTCTGCGCCAAGGAAATTCGGCAAGTCGGCGAAAGCTTTCAAATCTACAACTCGACACGCACACTGTCCTACAAGTTCGAAGGGCAGTCGAAACCATGGTACATAACCGCCGCTGTAACAGACTTGCGCCCCCCGTTCATAGCTGGGGTCTCCCCTAGGACCAACCCGGCTCAAGAGCTCAGTGCCTTTGTTAGCATTCCGCGAGGAAATGGTGCAAGTCCTGATGGCAAAGACATCCGGGTATGCTCGCACATGATGATAGGCGTAAGAAAACACTCCGACAATCCAACTGATGCGGAACACTCTTGCAAAGGAGTCATCAGCGATAAGTGTATCAGAGAAAACGAGACTGCAACCATACCGATTCCTGCGCCCGGCGAACTTTGTCCGGAGTTTTCCGTTTTCAGCTCTAATCTGAGCGATGAATGTAGCAGACAAGGATTTGCTGGCATCGGTAGGTATTAGCTTACTCCGTGTCACAGTCATCACTAATAAAGCGCGTGCTTCCTCCCAGCCTCGGCACGGAACCTTTCCTCGACGCGTTGTTCGCTCGATGAGATGCCGTATCTCGATCTTCCGGCTAATTACACGACTTTCGGCACTTGGTGGACAGAGCTAGATGGCGAAGGTGATGTTGATGATTTCGATCTTTATGATGAAAGAGTTCAGCGGACTATTCCTGTGTTGATGTCTGTAGCAAACGGCGATGATAGTATTGAAACCAAACTGTTGTGCATTGCTCCTGATCAGGTTGTTCCTGGCAGTCGGAAACCTGAGTCGAAACTGGAAGAAGAAGATGAGAACACGGCGTCACAAGTTGGAGGTTTGGGGGCTGTTTTCCTTGGTGTTGGCATTGTTATGATCTTCAGTCTTCTGTGAGTCGTAGTATAAGTAGGCTAGCAAATGAACTTAAAGGATTGCTTGGCCCGGATAAAGAGGCAAACGCCAAGTATTGCAATGAAGTCATATAGTTGGGGGCCAAAACATGAAGGATATTTATAAGGCCACCTTGGCCGTCGACTGTGCACGACTTTACTTCAATTATCACTCCAGCATTGCTAGTAAATTATAAAAAATGCTTTACGTATTCACTCTTACATGGTTATACCTTTTGGGAACATGCCTCGCCCAAACTTACTCATCACCAGAAGAATGCAGCCCCAGCGACTTTAGAGGTAAATTTGACGAACGCGCGATCTTCTTCAATGCATCGGGTACCCTGCCCATTGAGTTCAAGGGAGCAAAAGATCCATTTTATATCAGCACTGCTATCACCGACGAACGCAACGAAACCCGCACATTCGACGGCGCTCACTCCAGACAGTGGATCAAGGGCTTCATAAGTGTTCCTCGATACCTCGTTGCTGACAAGTCCGTCGGGGTCTGTTCATTCATGTTCCAAGGACTCAACAGCAGCTCTGAGAACCCAGGCGATGCAGATGAGTCATGCAAAGGCGTCATAAGCGACGCGTGTATCGAGGAATTCGAGAATTCGACTCTCCCGATACGCACTAGTGGAAATTGTCCGAGTTCCAGTGCTTTTATCCTCAGCGATGAATGCAAGAAGCACCTTACTTTGTACCAAACAGGTAATTTGGAGCCTACTTTGACGTCCTACTGTATGGCTAATTCCTTTCTTTCGCTTAGTCGAGGCGCGGAATATATCCACAGAGAATTGCACACTCAGCAATATACCACATCTCGATGTTCCTGTAGACTATTGGACGTATGCCGGTTCAGTCTCGTCTGGGGAGACAGGTAGTGACGACTATGATGACTTTGACTCTTATGATATGAGAGTTCAGCAGACTATTCCGATATTCACGGTGGTGTCGGGCGGTGGTATCAGTGATAGGAAGTTGGTGTGCATTACTCCTGACAAAGTTGTTTCTGGCAGTCGAAAACCCGAGATGAAGCTAGAAGGAACTGAGGAAGTTGAAGATGGAGAGAACGAGAATGAGGATGAGGAAGGGGACGAGAACTCGGGGTCGCGAGTTGGAGGCCTGGGGGCTGCTTTCCTCAGTACTGTCGTCATGATCTTCACTCTCCTGTAGGCTGTGTATGATCAGACTAGCAAATAAGCTTAAAGAAATGCTTGGCACAACTAAACAGGCAAACGCCGAGAACTGCAATGAAGTCATATAAAATGGGGGCCAAAAGCATGAAAGCCTCGAAAGGTATATCTATCTTGCCAGTCCCCTCTCACGGGCACCCTCAAAGCTCAGATTCATCATCGTTGCCAGTTCATGTTTATTCATACAATGCTTCGACTATTCGCTGTCATCTTCCTACACCTGGCAGGAATATGTCTTGCACAGAATTCCTCGCTGCCCAAAGACTGCACTACCGAGATCCGACGAATTGATGAGGGCTACTTGATCTACAACTCTACGCGCACAGCCCGCACCAGCTTCGCAGGGCAGAATCGGCCATGGTACATAACCCTCGCTGTAACCGACAGACGCGGACCAGGTATCGTATTCGGAGGCGTCGATACCAGTCAAGAGCTCAGCACTTTCATAAGCGTTCATAAAACACTTGCAGACCGGAAGAATTCAGATATACGGGTCTGCCCATCTATGCTGGAAGCTTCAAACAGGACCTCCGAGAACCCCCCGGATATGGATGCTTCTGAAAATACATCATACGAGAATCATTCATGCAAAGGCGTCGTTAGCGAGAAATGCATCGGTGAATTCGAGAATTCAACGCATGGCATTCCAGCGGATGCTACCAAATGCCCGAGTCTGTATTCTCTGGACCTCAGCGACGAATGCAGGGCGCTCCTTTCTATCAGTCAAAGTACCTATTTCTGAACCCAGTCTCGGATGTCTGACTATATGCGCTAACTGTTATATCTCAGCTATCCCACGGAATTTCTCCTCGGCGCGCTGTTCACTAGATAAGATGCCATATCTCGATCTGCCGGAAGATTATTTAACTTTCGGCAGTGGACTGTGGACCGGGCTTATCGGTGATGAGGACCGAAAGGATTTTGACAAGTATGATTTGAGGGTCCAGCAGACCATCCCGTTGCTCATTTCAGCTGCTGGTACGAATAGGCTGATATGTATTGCCCCGGACAAGGTTGTTCCAGGTAGTCGAAAGCCCCAGTTGGAGCTGGAAGGTGATGATGATGAGCCAGAAGAAGATGAGAACTCGGCGTCGCGAGCTGGAGGTTTGGGGGCTGCTATCCTCCTTGGTGTTGGCGCCATGATCTTTAGTCTTCTGTAGCACTAGCGAATAAGCATATCAAACTCTAATGGACAATTATTGTTCCTCTACTGAGAAACCAGGATCTTTTGTCGCCGTAATATCCGGGTAGCCTTGGCTATCACATTATTGGTTCCCAACCCCGCGTGCGACAGATAAGCTACGCTAGCTGATTATCTTGTTTCCTCCCAAAATCCCGCAGCAGTTGTTAGTGCAGTATTAACGGCCATATTCATCGTCTCCTCACCTTGTCTACTTTTGGAAGGAGAGCACGCGAGCGATAGATACTATAATGATAGACAAGGGAACTTTTGAAGTCTTGGCAATGCGATAGCGGACATGGCCGCTCTCCGTTGACTTTGTTTAGATAAAAGATCGTCGACATCGCTCAATTGATTGTTTTGGGGCACGTCTTCTCTTGTTTTGACCGAGGCATCAATAGCATACCCTGGACCTCTGTGACAATGCGTCTGTCTTCCTTCATTGCTGGAGCAGCTCTGCTCTCTTCGGGTGCTAATGCCTTGAATATTCTGTTGGGCAATGACGATGGATTTGGTTCTGGGAATTTGCGCGAGATGTATCGCATTTTCAAGGAGAAGGGTCACAATGGTAGGCTCCCTGTGAATAATATCGAGAAACAATGCTAACATAGGCATAGTTTGGCTCGTTGCACCTGCGACAAAGCAGAGCGGTAAAGGCGGTACTTCTGACTTCACCACTGAAGGAAACTTGACTGCTCCATCACAGTACGACTTGATTCCCAAGGGTGCGCCTTCAGTATGTTTTCCCAAGCATGACCTTTCGAATTAGCTTCTGACATGACGTAGGTTGGACACGACCCCAAGGACAGCCAGATCTGGTACTACAACGGCACTCCCGCTGCCTGCACTTTCGTCGCGTTGGACTACGTCCTTCCCAAGTTTGCCAACTTTAGCGTTCCTGATCTTGTCGTTACTGGACCTAACTACGGAACCAACCTGGGAGGCTTCGTGTGGACTTTATCTGGGACTGCGGGTGCAGCGTACGTTTCCACCAATCCAATAAGAAGATACCCGGACTGACGATGTATAGATATGCCGCTACCAACCGCGGAATTCCTGCTATTGCCATCTCAGCAAGCAACCAAGAAGTCCCCTACTTTGAGGTCAAGAACCGAACTAACCCTGCTACATGGGCTGCTCAAGCTTCTGTCAAGTTCGTCGAGAACTTCATCGCCACATCTCCCAAGAACGGTCCTCTTCTCCCCCTAGGCTACGGCGTCAATGTCAATCTCCCCGTCTTAACAAAGAAGAACCAAAACCCAGATTTCGTTCAGACACGATTCACTGGGAACGCCCACGTCAATGAAGCTGTCCTCGACAAAGAGAAGGGTACGTTTACTTGGGCCAACATCAAGCCTTACGCCGCTGGTGTGAATGCCTGCATCAACGGTGATTGCTCTCTCCCCGGTGAGACATACGTCGTTGAGAATGGCAAGGCGTCTGTGTCTTTCTACACGGTTGACTACTCGGCGCCTAGCACGGAGTATACAAAGTCTCTCATCCAGCGAGTTGCGTCATTTATTTCAGGCGATAAATAGTAGTACCATAGTACAGAAGAGAGTCATAAGTTAGAGTGTATCATGCGCCCGATTACCTATTCCCTAACACCGTTTTAAAAGATAGCAAGTTCAAGATTCCTAGAGCGTGCTGCATTCTCAATGTCAAAAGTATTTGTCCCGTTCGCCCATGCTTCATCGAGCATTTCGAAAATAGTATTGATTAGATCAAAGGAATCTGTGCCGAGTAGTGATTTCCTGACGTCGTCGAGGGTTGCTTTCCAGGTTGGATGTTGTTTGAGGAGGGGGACTTCTAGACCGGCGTTGACGACGGCATATGGTAGGCCGTTGTGGACGAGGAGGTGTTGGTTGCGAGGCTCTTCAAAGGCCTTTTGCAGGGCATCTATCGATGAGATGAGACGGCATAGAACGACCTCTGTATCTGGTCCTTTCCCCGGAATACCGTCTTCTCGATCTGGGAGCCCTCGTGCTTTTCGCTCCATTCTTCGCCGACGACGGATTTCCAGTATGCCTGCCAAGCGCCAGCATTCCCAGTAGTGGCACTGCAGCGACTCACCTACCTGTCCCGGCCAATCCCAGAAGCGTGTCTCGGTATACTCTGGATCGTTGTCTACGATGCTCGCAAAGATATCGAGGAGAGAGCGGGGAATGCCTGATACGACTTCAACGCCGGTTGCTCGGCCTTCGTCGCGATCATCTTGAAGACGACGGAAGAGTTTCCAGACGCCGATGGAGGGATTTACTCGACCGATGACGCTGGAGGGAAGATCCATTACACCAAGAACCTCGAGAAGATGCTGGGTATGGAGATCATTGGAAATTTGACCAACGGTGCTCAGCTTGGTCCTGAGGTCGTAGACGTCGACAATGAGCTCGAGGTACATTGTCCACGGTTGGGTCTGCAGTAGCTGCACGGTGTTAATTTCCGAGACTCGCGCCGGGAATAAGCAGATAAGGGAACACGTACACAGAGTGAGCATACTAGCAGGCCAGCGCATATTGTCGCGAGGTGCATTCGCTCATACCGAGCGGAAAGCTCTTGTCGGAACGTCTGCAGTGCCAGGTCGGTGTATTCCATCGACTTGACGGACATGCCCCGATTGCCATCATCCATGTAGAGCTGTATCGCACCAGCGATCATGACCAGCGCCGGGCTCTGATAAGCCATCTGCTCAAAGAAGGGCTTGATCCAAGAGCTTGCTTCCGTAGAGTACAGCCGATTGAGGCCATTGTTCATAACTAGCGAAACAATTAGCATCACCTACAATGGACTACTACCTACCTCGGGTATCAAATGAGGAGTAAAGTGAATGAATGAATGAGTGATGACAGCATACGTACATCTCTGGAATCTCGGGTCTTGCGCATCTGCTGACGGCACGCCAATGGTCTGCGGCGAAAAGGCAGACGACGAGATTGAGCCCGACGCAGGACTCGACGTGTCGTGCCTAGGAGCAGAGGAAGTCTCGGAATCCATGGAAGTGAGGTCTTGACTACTCTCAGCCCCTTGATTCACGACCAATGACGCGTCGGGGACAGAGGCGCCGGCAAATCTGCCTCTAGAAGCGACGCCGTTGACCCAGCGGAGGGGAGTCGAGTAACCCTGGCACCTCATGCCCCTTTGGGAGCAAGCGTGGCACTCCGGGCGAGCCTGGTCGCATTTTCGCTTGCGGGCTTTACAGTTCAGGCAGCCTCCACGAGATCGGGCCATAGTGTCTCTAGATCTTGGTGCTCAGTCAGGGATTAATGGGTGAATGGAGCTGGGAATGGTGGGTGTACGAAAGGAGGCGATATTCTGACTTTGCGGGGCTGGGGATGGAAGTTTATAGACGAAAAGGGGTGAAAGAGGCGCCGCGCGTGTATCGACCTAAAGCAGTTTAGATCATCACAACGGCCCGGACACATTTTTGTTATCGCCCACGCACAAAGTTATTTTTCTCTCTCGTATGTGGGAATAGCCAGAATGCGGGGAGATGGAGGCTGCTCGTGATTTGCAGATACCGCCCAGACAGGGATTGTCAGAGGCAGATAGCGGGAGATTGAAGCTAATCGCACACAGACCAGACCCTTGACCCCCTATACTCCGTATGTAGTCACTGTTGACACGCACTGCCGAAGTTGAGTTTGGAGAGACAACGGCCGACGGCCACCGTATCAAGTCTGTCTCGTGCAGAACAAGACTCATTGCACTGCATGTTGGTGGCTGTACACTACCTTTTTTTTGTGATATCACGGACCGGGCTGAGATAGAGAAGGGGGATATATAGTCCCTGTGCTTGCCTCTCTCATCATACGATTCACTTCAGCATCCACTGTCTTCCCCATTTTCAATTCTTCAAGCGAGCCCCAAGTCCCATCATGACCTCCACCGATCGCATCCCAATCCCGGGAGAGGCCCGCCTGATCTTGGGTAAAACACCATGACATGCCTCATCGTCGACAATTTTACTGATTGATTTATAGTCGAGTCAGCTACCGACGCGTCGCGCTTCGTTCTTCAGCCAACGCCCTCCAGGGATCCCAATGAGCCTCTCGTGCGTATCTCCCATCATTTATCAGGAAAAATTTAATTGACACGTTTAGAATTGGCCTACATGGCGAAAGCTCTTCAACTTTGGATTGTCCATCGCCGTCACGGTCGCTGCCTTCACCAATGTCTCCATCCAGACTGTCTTTTGGCAGCAGATGACTGTCGACATGGGCGTTAGCATTCAGCAGTTGACCAATGCCCAATCCGCCCAGCTAGCTGGTCTGGCCATGGGTTGCTTGTTCTTCATCCCCCTGGCTATCAAGTATGGACGTCGCTCTTCGTACATCGTCTCCACTGCTGTTCTTGCTGGTGTCTCGTGGTGGACAGCGAGAATGCAGAGCTATCCTGAGTTGATCATCACCATGATTATCACCGGTCTTGGTGGTGCTATCAACGAAACCGCTGTTCAGATGACTGTAAGTATCGTATCCTGCCCTTGATATTTTAGACTGTTTGCTAAATGAGTTGTAGATCTCTGACCTCTTCTTCGTTCATCATCGCGGATCTGCTAATGCTGTGTACTTCACCGCTGTCATGGTCGGTTCTTTTCTCACCCCCATGGCCGCGGGTACACAAGCTGCCAACCAAGGCTGGCGCTGGTCATACTACACCTTGTCCATTTGCCTTACAATTCTCTTCGTCGTCTTCATCTTTGCGTTTGAGGAGACAAAGTACATTCCCGTCTCGGTCGGCGAGGCAGAGAACGATGATGCTGGTTCTGAGCATAACCCCGCCATGAAAGACGTCGACTCCAAGGACAAGGTTGGCAGTGAGCTTGTCACCGTCGGCACTCATACTGATCCCACCATCCCCATGAACTCGTACCGCCAGTGCATGCGTCTTACCACCACGACAAGCGAAAACCTTCCTCGCTTGTTCATGATGCCTTTCCATGTCATCACTCTTCCCCACGTCATGTTCACTGCTCTGCAGTTTGCTTCTGGAGTCTGCTGGCTTGTCATCTTCATGCAAATCATCTCCATTGTCTTTTCTGCTCCTCCTTACAACTTCACGACCGCTGGTATTGGATACATGGCTCTTGGTCCTTTTGTTGGCAATATCTTTGGAAGTATCTATGGAGGACCTCTCGCTGATTGGACTGTCGTTCGGCTTGCACGACGCAATGGCGGTGTCTACGAGCCTGAGATGCGACTGTATCCTCTTGTCATTCCTACCTTTTTCATGGCCGGTGGAATCATCATGTTTGGCGCTACAGCTGCTCGCGCAAGTTGACCTCCTTGATCTTAGCATCTTTCGCTAACATTCTTAGGGCATGCACTGGATCTATCCCTCCCTCGGTGGAGCATTCTTTGCTTTTGGACTTGGTGCTAACGGCGACATCACCTTCACTCTCATCATCGATACTTATCGTGAGCTTGTCGCCGAAGCCTTCATCGGTATTGCGTTCATGCGAAATGCCGTCTCCGTTGGTGTCACTTTTGCCATCGTTCCTTGGCTGACATCCATGGGTCTTACCAACATGTTCATCATCAGTGGCTGCATTGCATTCGCGATTGGCTCTCTCTTTGTGCCCATGATTATCTACGGCAAGAAGATTCGCACTACTCTGGCTCCTCGCTATTGGAAGCTCGTCGAGATGCGGTCGCGTATTTGACAGGACTTTACGATGGATCAATGACTCTGGGATAGGAATATGTGGACGATATTGGGACTTGTTAGCTCGTGGTCTTAGTAGTTTAGGTGTTATCAATTTACTCATACTTTCATTCATCTCCAAACTCAAGTTTCTGTCAAGTTTCATTTGAAGTGAACGGACTTGAATTACAGTTTTACGTAGTCAAACAGCCACCGTTCTATTGGTTGCATCGTACTTGGCTAGTGCGTGTGACACCTTTAGAAACTCAGCGGCGTTTTAGACTGAGCCTCACCCAGCTCAGGGAGATCATTACGTCGTGCAGTCACATGGCGTACGAAAAGTAGTTATTCCCGGATCAATCAACCCCACATGAAGCTGCATGTCAAAGACACGATGTGGAACTCTATGTTATTATCTCAATCCTCAAACTATCTACAAGTTGGCAGCTATCTTTCCAGGAAAATTAGTCAACCGATAACAGTCAATAATCGGTCTCCCCTCTGACATGATCATGACTCCAATAGCAACAACGCTGTTCAACCAGCCGTAGGAACTATCACCAGGGGCTTCAAACTTAATATGCGTAAAATACTCCATTTCATCCTGCGTAACGGTATCCCGCTCTCCCACTTCCTCCTCAACTCCAGGTCCGGTACGATAGATGCCCTGTGCTTTAACAAGGATATGTACGTTATCATGAGTCCGCAGCGTGTACATGGCATTTAACCGAACAAGAGACTATACCCTGTCAGCTAGCTAATCGACGATAAGCTTTCTTCTTTTTCTGCATAGTATTCACCTTATTGGGGTTAATGACTTCGGCCCAGTCGGCACCGCTCTTGTCAACGATGATCCCCTTGATCTGAGGACCATTTACTTGCCCTCCTTGGATAGGCAGGACAACTCTGCTCCTGGAGGTGCCGTCGATGCCTGCAATCTCGGTAACCCCCTCTTTATCCATCTCGGCAACGATGCGGTAGATGAACTCGAGATGGGGCATACGCATGATAGGGATATCGGCCTCGGAAGGAGAGAAGTCGTTTCCGGGGGATGGAACGTGAGAAGTCATTCCGAAGGCGATGGACCGGGGAGTGGGCAGGGAGTGTTTAGATCTGAGATCTGATCTTGCTGAAACCTAGTATACTTGATATGGAAGACCAGGGCATCTTTTATCTTTACAAATCATTTTTTGTTTGATACGCTGATTGATACGGTGACTGCTACGGAAATGATACCGATGAGACTAGGATTGATACTGTAGATCAGACCCTGTTTCAATAACCGCATGAATTTGCCGTATACAGCGGCGCCTCCAACTGCCAAATTGGGGTATTACATGCGCCGCGAGCTAAAACAACCCCCCCCCAAATTTCGCGGCGACGCTATCTCGGTTTGCAGTATGGGGTAGTCTATCCGTATTGTGGGGGAGATTAAGAGGATCTAGAACCTCCGAAACTCCGTCGTCTGCTCTCTTTCCTCATTAAAACCAATGCGGAGACCAGCAGCAATTCTCTAGCAAATCTCATCATCCTCACATCATTCCACCATGCCTGCTACTACCACCAACTGGAAGACCATTGCTGCTCAGCACCGCGAGAAGCAGCGTGATGCTGTACCCGCAGAATGGCTCCTCCCAGAGAAACAACTCCAGGGACTGAAGAATACTGGAGATGGGAATGGAAGCAAGCTTATTGAGTCAAAGGCCGTTCAGAGGTCTGGACTCTTGACGGAGAAGGAAATTGTTATTACGGAGAAGTATACTGCTGCTGAGTTGTTGAGCAAGATACATTCTCAAGAGCTCTCTTCAGAGGAAGTTACTGTCGCGTTTTCTAAGCGTGCAAGTCTCGCTCAGCAATTGGTATGTTACACTGAGAAAGGGGTTGGAACATGTGCTAACAGAAGTAGACATCGTGTTTGACTGAGATCATGTTCAAGGAGGGTATCCAAAGAGCTAAGGAACTCGATGAGCAATTAAAGAAAACTGGAAAGTTGGCTGGCCCACTTCACGGATTGCCCATTAGTCTCAAGGTATGCAACAGCAACTCCAGCGTCAGAAACTCGACTAACAAACCAGGACTCATATCGCGTTAAAGGCCACCATGCCACTGTTGGATATGTCGAGTTTCTTCGTCAACCAATGCCTGATCACAACTCTGCACTCGTGGACCTGTTGCTTGATGCTGGAGCTGTTTTGTACTGCAAGACAAACCTGCCCCAGACAATGATGGTAAGCTGCACGTGTACTACAGCGATTGCACTCTCTGACACCTTGTAGACAGCAGATTCAGAGAATAACATCTTCGGAAGAACCCTCAACCCTCACAACACCAGCCTCACAGCAGGTGGTTCAACTGGTGGTGAAGGCGCTCTCGTCGCCTTTAGAGGGTCTCCCCTGGGCGTCGGCAGTGACATTGCTGGTTCTATTCGCATTCCCTCTCTATGCTGCGGTATCTACGGTTTCAAACCTACCTCTGAACGCGTCCCCTTCGGAGGACAATCAGAATATCCATTTCCCAAGGATCACCTTCCTGGTATTGCACCAGTCGGTGGACCCATGGCCAACTCTATCGAAGACCTTGAGCTCTTTATGAAGATCACTCTTGCTCAAAGGCCTTGGAACTACGACCCCACTGTTGCAGACATTCCCTGGAGAGACCTTGGTGAGGCGGATGCCAAGCTTACCATTGGTGTCATGGCTGAAGATCCTGAATATCCTGTGCACCCACCTGTCCGACGCGCTTTAGCAAAGGCTGCTTCCGCGCTCGAGAACGCAGGCCATAAGCTCGTTTATCTCTCCCAAGATCCTAAGCGTAACGCTGGCCTTGGTGGAAGAATCGGATTCCAATTGTTTAGCATCATGGGTCCTGATCTTGACACTGTCTCCCGAGAGATTGGCGAGCCACTTGTTAACTCTGTGGCTATCGCTGTTCATCCCTTTGCTAATGGCAACTTCCCTGTTCCTCCGGATCTGGACACACCTACCAAGTTGTCTCGGCTGAATGAGGTGCGCTTTGAGTACCTCAAGGCTTGGCAGGAGACGTATCGTGATAACAAACTTGATGTTATTCTTGCTCCTGGCGCTGCCACCACAGCTATCCCTCACGATACTTATGGTGTACCTATTTATACTCTTATGTGGAACGTCCTTGATGTAAGTTGACATGACCGTACTACTCAAAAGTGGACTTGCTAACAAGATGACAGTTCCCTGCTGGTATTATTCCCTTTGGCAAGTCTTCCAAGTTCGAGGATTCCGAACACGTCAAGGCCAAGGCCCCATTCGACCCTGACTGTACGTTATGTCGCATAGAAGACTATTCGGCCGAAGCTAACAGATGTCAGATATTCCCGAGGCCACAGACGGTGCACCTACCGCAATCCAAATCATTGCGCCCCGATTCAGAGACGAGGAATGTCTCCAAGCAATGAGGATAGTTGATGAGACAATTAGGAACTCCCGAGCAGAGAAACTTTAGATATCATTCCATTAGAGCGAGCTATACATAAGAAAGCCTGATTATCAATAACAATAGACCAAACCGCATCAAATCATTACCTACTCATTGCCCGTGAAGCTCAGCGTAGTCTCAACATCCTAGCAGCAGGTCTACTCTCTACCCGCCCCGATCGTTCCCGCAACAAACTCAATATCACAATTTTAAACTGCTGCGCCAAATCATCCCACTCAAACGCAGGGTTAAGCGCCTTGATAAACACCCTCATCGCAGACTCAGGAATCTTTGTTATCGCACAGACATCCTCCGCCGAAAGAGCCTTCTCCATTGTTGACACAAACGCAGGCGTTAAAGAACTCTTGTACGTTGCAAAACTCTCTTCTTCAACAACTTCCTCCTTGGCAACTTGGACTACAGCCTTGCTCTCAGCTTCAGGGCGTGTTCCGGTGAGGACTTGCTCGAGGAACTGCTCGTCAAGAGGCTCGATGTTGTTCTTGGCTGTGTCGGGGCCAACTTGCCATGGGTTACGTCTCTTCTCTGCATCGTCCATGATACGTCCGACGATCTTCTTCGTGCGGTTCTTTACGTCTTGATCTGCGTCTTCGGAAACATCTGCGTCGATGAGTTCGCGGTAGTAGTGGATGTTCTGCACCTTTAGTTGGTCTGGCTGAATCTGCCACTTGGCAGCGATCTCAGTGTGCAAATCAAGAACAGCCTGGCAATTTTCCTTTGCGACATCCCATTCCTTGTCTTGACATGCCAGTGCCACCGCGATTTTGAGATCCTTGAAGGCAGCGGAGCGCTTGGTGTATACGTTGCCGTAGACAAGATCATCTGTAGGACGTCGTGCGCCGCCTTTGGCTAGATGACCGAGATAGCGCATCATTCTCGTGTAGCCCTTGGTCTGCTTCTCAAGCTCACTTGGGACTTTCTCCTGAAGTCGTCCCGCCACAACTGCGATGTCTACGCCATCCGTGGTGAGCATTCGCTCAAAGACTGTGATGATAGTTCGGCAGTGTTCGAGCTGGATGTTTCGCAGCTGGCAGAATTGCACCATATCGTAGGCCTTGCTCTGCTTGATCTCGGCAACGTTCTCGTTCTTGGTGATGACCCGCACAATGATCTTGTCAAGAAGCTTGAGCAGATTGTCGTTGAACGTCTTTATAGGCCAGCCAGTGTAGGGATACAGTTCGACGACGTTCTCGTACCAAACCCAATCAGCATCCGTGGAGGGAACATCATACTGAGGATTCAGCCCAAAGAGCTGCCAGACCATACTCAAAGGCCTCACACCCGACCCCGCAATCGTCATCAGATTACCAAAGAGACCTCTCATCAACCTCGTAACCGTATCCTCCGCTGTATCCAACACAACAGGAGCACTCGTCCTCATCGCAGCAAGCTTCGACATAGCCGCCATAAGCAACGAACTCATCAAATGACCAATTTCAGGACTGCCCGCTTCAAAGCTATACTCCCGCGAAGCAACAGCTTGACTGAGTGTATCTCGCATCATGATTCTCAGCGCGGCAATGTGTGATTCGTTGCACTTCTCCATCCAGCGGACTGAGTATGGACTCTTGAGGTTGACGAACTCGTCCCAGCATACCCATGCTAGCATTGAGCCGATGCCGCGCTGTTGGCTGAGGTAGGGAAGTGCGAGGATGGGATGGTTGGGACCGGCTTGGCTGACGAGAGGGCCGACGTGTTGGCTTTGGGACTGTTCCATGATGATACCGGCGTCGAAGCCATCAAGATGGAGAATTCGATCGTCAAGTGCACAGCAGGGCCTATCAATGTTAGCATGAATGTCTCCAACAAGTGTGTATTGTAGACTTACTTGGCATCAATGGTAGTGCCCTTCAAATTCGCCAGCATCTCCTTGTAAGGCACCGTCTCAATGTTGAGCAACATCACCCCCATCTCCTCAGCATGATTCTCCAGCAGTCCCGTCAAGCTCTCAAAAGTCATCGACTTGGTCGCCTCAACATTATTCTGGATCTGCGTCTGTCTCATAAGTCTCTTCATATCATGCGTTCTCTTCGACGTGGTCTGAACAGAGATCATATTCGCAAGACTAGTAATAACAGGCTCAAGAACCGTCTGCACCTCCTTATTAGCCTTTCTTATATCACCAAGCATCTTGTTCTTCTTGTTGAGAATGGCTTGATCGTCGGTGCGGAGGTTAGCGGTGATGAAGGCTATGTACTCGCTTCGGAGGGGAGCCATCTTCTTGTCGATTTTGGCGGAAAGGGTGTCGACGAGGGTCTTGGAGAGTTGCTGGAGATCCTTTTGGCTGAGGAGGGTTTGGAGCTGGGGAACTGCGGCGGTGATGTCGTCGTGCATGGTGTTGATCTCGGCGATGCTGAGACCCTCAAAGGTACCGGCTAAGTCTTGAGGACGAACGACCTGGGCTGAGTAGGGAAGATAGATAGTGTTAGCGTCACTGAGATTGACAAGCCGAGGGATCTTGGGAGCCAATAGCGCTCCAACGCTGTTTGAAGTGATGACGTCGGTGATATCCGCTCCAAAGTTCAACTTTGTCGTATCCAAGATCTTGTAGTTCGCCAAACCGCGATAGAAGTAAAACTTGTCACCGATATTGCCCACGATCAAAGACTGAGGACCAGCAAGTGCTGTTACAGCATTGATGTTTGCCGAACTCAACACATTCGAGACTTGTTCTTCGGTGTCATGCTTCTCCTTGGTCTTGATCTGCACGATGAATAAGGTATTTATCCGAAGACCGGAAGCCAAGTTACGCGCGTTGTCTGTCATCCGTTCATCAACAACTACAGCTATACTCTCGAGCTGCTCGTAGTAAGCGCAAAGAGACTTCTCATCATTGAAGGGAACGTTGGAAGGAGTGCTACCGGTGGATAGAAGCATTGGACCTTGGAGTTGAGAGCCGAAGATGCAGGGAAGAACAACGGCCGACTCGTCCTGGCTGATGTTTGCACCCGAGGCTAAGAACTCAATACCAGTGCTGAAGCGAATGACCTGCGGGTCAGAAGCAGCCAAGAAAGAAGGGACGGCTGAAGCGTTGGTGGTTAATACAGCGCGCCTCTTATCCGAAACCTGTACTTCACTTTCTACCTCATCACTCGTCTCAGTCTTCTTCTCCTCTACAAATACAGCAGGCAGAGTCTCAGTGATAGTGAAGTCGGCGCTGCTGATAGCTTCAGGGAAGCAAGGGCTGATGAGCTTCTTGCTATCGCACATCATGTTCGTATCAGTCGGTGCCTTGGGAAGAATAGAGCAGATGATGGCATCTTCATCACGCTTGATGACCAAAGGGCAGCAGATGGTAGCGTCTCCAATAGTCGCCTTGTCCAAGGGAACAGGAACGATATACAGGATCTGGGCCACATTAGCTTCGTTACGTCACATTGCAACGTAGCAACTTACCTTGTCAACATTATCTGCAATCATAAGTGCTGGATTGGTTCCAAGGAATCTCGTGATCCGCGTCTTTGTATATCCAGAGACGAACACACAGATAGGCTTCTCCGTTAGTGTATCATTGTCTATCCTCACATAGTCCAGAAGATCCTGGCCATGCAGAATATCGCCGCTGTGCTTGATACCAGGAAAGGTCGTTCGCTCTAACCAGCAACAGGCGTTGCAATCGTAGTCTGCGAAGCAGAAGTCGTAGTACGTAGGAGTACGTTCCGATACCGCTAGGATGGTAATCTGTCCTGACACTATGGGGATCTTGAATGTAGCTGCTGGAGCCTGCATGATCTGAAAGTCATCAAACACGGCTATCAAATGTTAGCAACAATAAGGCTCGGGTGTTTTGTATACTTACCCAGGTGTTCTTTGAACCCCTTCATCCGTCTTAGCAAAACCTCCCCCATCTCACCCAAGTCAACAGAGTTGAAAAAGTAGTCTTGGCTGTAATTAGAGATATCAATCTCTTCAATACCATTCTTGGTTCGACATAGTAATATGCCCTCAGGGCTGTAAGGATGTGCAGAGCCAACAGGCAAAGTCTGTAATAGTTCCGCTATCCGACCCTTCGACGTAGCCAAAGGGTCGAAGAACGTCTTGCGTACCTTTTCCATGATGGATTACCGATGAAGATCTGGCAATGATTTGGGATAGATGAGCGGCTTATATAAAGAAGGAAATGCTAGCGTGAGTCACACGGTATGTAGGGCTGAGAGTTATAGGAGAGTTTGGTTGTCTACACTCTATTTGGAAGGCACCGAATATGCCTTGACATGGGAAGTGAGTCATGTCGGGGGCGCAGTCAGACCGTGGTGAGGGAATGTCTGGGGTAAACCAACAGGCGCTAAAGCTTATAGGGCTGTTGGTTCTCAATGGCTGAAGGAACTGTATTTATGATGGAGCATTCCAATTATTAATTTTTGAGGACATTCACACGAAAATTAACATTTTGGGTCATCTGAAGCGATGAATGTTGCAAGAATGGGCATTAAACAATCTGTAGAAGTCAGTCAGCCGCCGTAGAAGCGCATGAGTATAGCCTATTTTTAGCGTTCACGCCGTCAAGCGCTTGCAGTGCGCCGCGAAATGGAACCTTGCAGCGATCAGAGTCTAGAAAAGGCCGAATCAAACGTCAATAGTCTCATGCAATAGCAATTCAAACCACTCTCATTGCATGTTCAGGACCGCTCCGGCCGCTCTTTTGGTCCCTACGCCTCACGTATTCTGGCTTGCGCCTCAATTCGTCTCAAGGTTCGTAGCGCAGATAAGCTTCTGGCTGCCTCTCGTAGTGAGCTTTGATTGGGCCGATAAGCTTTTGTGAGTATGACTTGATGAGAATATTTATTCCGACTTATTTTCTGAACAAGACTTATCCAATCGACTTGACATGCTTCGTAGAAACTGAAATTTTAGTTAGACTTAGTGAGCAAATTATAGTAGTTCTCTACTGTAAAGGGTATCATCAACCTGTGAACGTCATGAGCTGGAGCAGACAATCAGTAGTGGCTGCAAAGTGGAAAACGCCGTGTACAACCTCCAGCTGAGATTTTTAACTCTATTTAATAGATGAGCTAAGGGAGGAAATAAAACTCGACCCTAAATGACAAAAGGACTTAGGTTAAATTGACATAAGTTTAGGATATCTTTGCTAGGCTTAGGGTATCTGTGCCATCAAGTTCCTTGTGGATCATGCGAGTCTATCAAGACAAGGACAGTACAATGGAGAGTCTTCATCCATTCGAGGTCCCAGTTTACGTGGAAAGTTACTCCAATACACTTTGAGCAATCGACCGGAGTCAGTCTTGTCTCATAGAAAGCCGGCCTTGCTCAGTAGAAAGTCTACTGTCACTTCATTGTTCGACTTCTTGTGATGGCTTAACACGAACGGCACAGTGAGTCCAATGCCATGCTGCGTATCGTGGCATTGGAAAGTCAAATTCGGATATTCAGCCGCTATCTTCAACACAACACTGGATATGTAGGTCAGGTAATATCTGTCGATGACTACACAGATTGTAAGCCAGGGAGAATCCAGATGCAACACCGTGCGACAATCTACAGTGCCACTTTATACTCGCATCTCGCTTGCCATACCTCTGGTGGCTGGGTCGAGAAAAGAGAGTACTATGCAAACATGATCTGATTATTACATAATGTTGGATAAACCTAGCCCCCAACACATGATGTTGGTTGCAGCAATGCTTTGATGCGCCATTTTTTATCTCTGATCGCGGCCGTCAACTCTAACTCCGCCAGGCTCTGTTCAACGAACCGTTCTATGTGCTGATTTAGTTGATAAAACATCGACAAAACCAACGCGAACAGTGAAACGACCCGACGGCATCCGACAGAGATTCTTCCAGAATCAGTTCCTCCGAGATGTCTAGTCCAGGAGGCCAGGACCTCCTTGCAGCACAGGTACGGTACCCCGCTTGAATCTGGATTCATGATCTCCTGATAGCGATATAGCCTCTTGATGAGAACGAAGTGGATGACGATGACTCGGCGCTAGGGCAAGACTTGTAAGTGCTTTGTACATCTGTTCTTTCGCCACTAATGCAACCCGCCAGTGCAAGCTCTACTGCTTCCCTCACCTCCAGTATTCTCGAATACCGAAAGTTTCAGGGTCGGACTTTTAATAGTGACAAGTACGAGACTGAATATTTCGCACCAAATGATGAGAGGCAGAAGGAATCCATTGACATCTCGTAAGGAATACTCTATGCTACCGATATCTGATCGTCCTACTGAAAGTCAGCAAGGCATCACTACTTTATGTTACTTCTCGACGGCAAGCTTTCGCTTGTCCCTTCGCCAGATGAATTGAAAGTCAGTTTTCCATGTTGCTTCTGGTGTCTTGCGTAAACTAACGACATACAGAAGGTACTTGACATCGGAACCGGGACCGGTAAGAGATGCCTCGGATAACAGCCACAACAGGAAAGTAGCTGACGATCGAATAGGTATATGGGCAATGTACGGATGAGTCTTGTATCTCAGAGCCGTTGCAAACACTGATGTCTCCCAGCGACTTTGCCGACCAATATCCCAACGCCGAGGTCATTGGAACAGACCTTTCCCCAATTCAGCCAGATTGGGTACCACCAAATGTCCGATTCGAACTCGAGGACGCAACTAGTAACTGGACTTGGTCTAACGACACCTTTGACTTTGTTCATATGCGCTACTTGATTGGCGCTATTATAGATTGGGGCGCCTTATTTAAAGAAGCATTCCGCTGTTGCAAGCCTGGAGGCTTCGTCGAATCTGTTGAGGTTAATTCAACCTTCTTCAGTGACGATGGGACAGCGAGCGATGTGGCGGCAGTGCAGACATGGAATAAGCTTTTTAGAGGGGCGAGTAAAGCGTTTGGTCGTAGCTTTTGCGAGATTGAGGGGGACGCGGAGCTTCTAGCTGCAGCTGGATTTGTAGACCTGCAAGTTACCGACTTTAAGGTATCGTCTTTTTCAAATATTGCTTTTTGTATCTAACACCACCAAGGTTCCTGTCGGCGGATGGGCCAAGGACGCCAAGTTACGTCAAGTCGGCGAGTTTCTTCGCGCAACGATGGAGAACGATCTTGAAGGTAAGTAAGTCCTCGGTTCTTCTCTTCAGTTTTCTAAAAGCATTGCAGGATATACCCTGATGGCGTGGCAACAAATCTTGGGGTGGCCAAAAGATGAATATCAGTTATTTCTGATGGACATGCGAAAGGCGCTCAGAGATAAGAAAGTGCATAGCTACATACGCGTTCGTTTTCTGAACGCCCGTAAGCCATGAGATGCGACGTCGATAGAAACTTAGGAAAGAAAGACAATAATAAGATTCAGGCGTTGGAACACCAAGGATATTTGTAAGATGTCTAAGTTAGGATGAGACTAGCTATTCCCTTACTAGTAGGCAGATAGGCTGTTGGCAAGTGTATGTCAAGCTCATTGAAAACAGGCTGTTGCAGCATTGTTTGCTCTACTTCAACAAGATCTTCCGCATTGTAACCCCCGATGCAACAAAAGTGGTAGGTCACAATCATGGCTGCTTTTAAAGTATAACTCACAGTTAAAAGAATTACCCAAATCTTGAACCAGTATCTGATGGAGGAAATGGTCTTTGCACTGCGGGGTTAAGAGAGGTAAGACTAGATAGATTCCCTAATGCGATATGTCGTGCCAGAAAACTAGTCCGCTATAGATCAAAAACGCCTTGCACAGCCACAAGTGTGCTTCTAGCTGAGGTTTTCATCTCATCTATTGGATGAGGTTCGTACACCGGCGCTAAATATCTGGGTCAAGGCTTAGAGCCGCACTTATCATTCCGCTTAAGAACCGCAGGCATTTCCCTAACAATTCTTTCTATCAAGCTTGATCTAGTAATCGCTTTCAGACTCATTTAATACTGATTCGGATCAATACATCCGGCCGAATTGAAATTGGCTTGAAAGAATGTCAGAGGCATTAAAGACTCAGCTGGCTCAGCCATATCCTGGACCTCCACTCCCCAGTCCATCGCATATCCGCCTCATCTGCCTACGCCCCGGAACAGATGAAGGGATTTATTGCGAGCTAATGGTCGTATCCATCGACTCCGCACCGAGCTATGAGGCTTTATCGTATACCTGGGGCGATCCCTCAATTACAGAGACCATCAACATGACCACGCAAGGCTCCGAGACTATGCAACAATTCTCGGTAACTTCTAACTGCTTCTCTGCTCTAAAACGCCTTCGCTATAAAGATAGAACTCGGGTTCTATGGATAGACGCCTTGGCGATTGACCAATCTAATGTCAACGAGAGAAATCACCAAGTCAGTCTCATGTCAAAGATATACTCTCAGGCTGCAGTTGTAGTCGTTTATCTCGGCGACGCAGCAGGCAACAGCGACCTGGCCATCGAGTTCATCATGGAGTGTTATGATCCGTCTCCCAATACTACATCGCTCAGTTTCCCAAAATCAGACATCTTGATGCAAGCACTTCGAAATCTCTTTCTGAGACCTTGGTTCACAATGGTCTGGGTGATTCAAGAAGTCTTTTTATCAACTGAGAAGATTATATACTGCGGAGACAAAGAACTATGTTGGTCCGCCATGGAGAACTTCAAGCATTACCTCGTGAACACGAGAATGCAATTTCGACTGCCTTACGTGGTCTCAATACCAAACCGACATTGCGAAGAGGAGACCACGGAGAAACTACTGTTGAGAACTCTCCTTGATTCCCGACACTGTCAAGCAAGTGATCCGCGTGATAAAGTCTACAGCCTACTACCGATACTGCAGTCTTATATCAAGTCATTGGACTTGGCACCGAAGTACCAGGACGGATTAGACAAGATCTACACGGATTGTGCTGTGTCTCTGTTACCAAGTTGCGGCTGGAACGTTGTGTATGCTGTACAGGGCCAATCACTTGTAGAAATCTTACCGTCTTGGGTTCCAGATTGGAGCGTCACGCCTCAACGGTATATTATCGGCACAGCTCCCTGGATGGAAATGAGCTATTTTTGGATAGACAAGGGACTCCCAGGGGTTCCAGACAAACCTCAAGTCATGATGCGTAACTCAAATGACGGACAAAAGCTCGTCCTGCGGGGATACGGATATCCTCGCGGAAGAATTGTGAGAATGGGATCAACTTACATCGCAGGTACAACTCCTTTCCCTGCTAAAGAGTGGTATACCCTCGTGCATAAGATTGGCTCATCAGCACCACCCAATAACTCTGGATCTATCTTACCTAGCCAAAAGCCTCCTCACCTGAGAGACTCCTTCTTCCAGTTCCTTCGACTTGCCCGCTACTTGTACTCATCAAGCATGGAAGATAAAGAAGAAGACCCTGTAAATGAGCTGCCGGAACCAGATTTCATCATAGGAGGTTCGCGAATCTCTTATCGAGATTACAAGTTTGGATCGAGGTGGGAACATACAGTGAGGAAATTGGCTGCTGAGAGGAAAGATGGTGTGCTGCCGTTCAGGGACATCCCCTTTCATTATGCGGCGGAGGGTTGGCCACCGAGTTATGGCAATACTATTAGTGGGAACTTGGAGGCTTGTCATCTGCGTCGGTGCTTTGTTACTGATACTGGATATTTTGGACTTGCGCCTGCGGAAGCAGAGATTGGAGATCAAGTGTTTATCTGTGTTGGGGCTTCGGTTCCGTTCGTGCTGAGAGAGATTAGTAGTGGCGGTGATGAACTTCACTTGGTTGGAGAGAGCTATCTACAAGTTCGCGCATGGGAAGAAATGACCAACAACGAAAGTCAACCTGAACCTTTGTATATCGTATAATTCTAGTTACCTTTATCTATATATCATGACTCAATCCTGATGAAGAACTCCTGCTCATCATCCTTCTTCTCAACAACCGCCCTCCTTACAAGATCATCCGCAACAGCTAATCTCAACTTCTCCGCCGTACACGGAGCATCCAGGACCAAAGGCTCATTAACACCATTCATCTCCCTCGCAGACTTGACTGCTTCTCTCAAAGCGAAGAACACCGCACAGCCCAGGAACAGGGGAGGTTCGCCTACACCTTTGCTGCTTTGGATGGAACCAAGTTTTGACCAGTTGATGGGGTTGCCTTGGGAGTCGTGTTGGAGGGTATTTACGTTGAAGACTTGAGGGATGTCGGAGAAGCCTGGTATAAGTTAGTAAACGGGGGGTTTAGGTGGATGGGAGGACGACTTACCGGGGATTTTGTATGTCCCTGGGCCTTTGGTGAAGATCTCGCCTGATTTCATCCAAAGGGATTCTTCCATTGTGAAGAGACCCTGGCCTTGGACGAAAGCACCCTCGATTTGACCGTAGTCCATTGCTGGATTGATGGATCGTCCAATATCCTACAAAAGAGTCAGCGGGGATGGCAAGTTGTTTCGCTGGCAGGCAACGTACCATCATGAGATCGGTTCTTAGTACTGTGGAGTCTCCAGTAAGAGTATCAAGCTCAACCTCTGATATGGCCCTGAACTTATCATTAGCAAAAATCCCAACAAGAATGATACGGCAAGACTTACACTCCCTGCGTAAAGTAATAGTACCTAAGCCTCAAAGTCAGTAGAGCCTCTTTATCAATAGTCGGATACACTCACATCGGCAAAGGATCCTTCCAATTTCCCCACTCATACCCAATCCTCGGCATCTTCCAAAACCCATTCGCCGCCAGGTTTACTCTATCCCTATACGCCGCATGCGCAATAACCGCCATGCTAGCATCCTTACCAAAATTTTCCCTATACGGCTTCAGCCTCTCGTTGATCTGATCACACGCATTCTTCACAGCTTGGCCGTTGATGTCACTGCCAGATGATGCAGCGGTCGGTGAAGCATTGGCGACTTGGTCGGTTTGTGATTCTTTGTTGTAGATTGAATCGACGCTCACGTTGAGCTCTTCGGCTGCGACTTGGGTCATTTTCGTGTATAGGCCTTGACCCATTTCTGTACCGCCGTGATGCAGAAGGACAGAGCCGTCTTCGTAGATCTTGACGTAGGCTGCTGCCTGATTGAGGTGGAGGGCTGTTGCGAAGCTACTTTTATCAGCAAGGTTCTGCTAAGGTGTGTTGGGAGACTTACCTTAGGCCAAACTTGGTTGGGATCCTGGAGATACCTCGCTTCTTGAATCGGTTCTTGGAGTTGAACTCTTTGATAGCAGCCTTGCGCTTATCAAACTCTGACGAAGCGCTGAGCTGATCCATCATGGTAGGAACATGGAAGTCATCTGTGATCTCCTGCAAGAAAGGTGTTCGCTGACCGACTTCGTACAAGTTCCGCATTCGAAGGTCATCAACATCCATTTTCAGAGCCTCTGCGATCTTGAACATGATAGTCTCGGTGATATACATTCCCTGCGGACCACCGAAGCCTCTGAAAGCTGTGTTACTGACTGTATTCGTCTTGCAAACGTGTCCACGGACCCAAGCGTGAGGAATGTGATAGCAGTTGTCGACGTGAGTACAAGCTCGGTCCCTGTCACTGTTAGCTCCTCATCTCATCATTTCAAGGATGTCTTACATGACTGCGCCGCTCATGTCCAACGAAGCGCCCGCGTTATTATAGATATCAATATCCAAAACCTGTATCTTACCCTTCTCATCAACACCAACCTTCCACTTTGACTGGAATGGATGTCGCTGTCCACTAAACGCAATATCCTCATCGCGATTCAGCATCATCCTCACTGGCCTCGCCGTCTTCTGCGCCGCGAGAGCAAGGTACATCGACAGGGCTGTAGTTCGCGACTCTTTACCTCCATATGCGCCTCCCATTCTCCTCACGCGCATGTTCACTCTGTTCATAGGCACGCCGAGGACCTGCGCGGTGAAGACCTGGTTCTCCATCAGGTTCTGTGTCGAGATGTAGACTTCCATTGATCCGTCTTCCATGTGTGGAATCGCAAGAGCTGCGTTGGTTTCGAGATAGAAGTGTTCTTGTCCGCCCATGCGGGTCGTGCCTTCGAGGACGTGAGCGCATTTACTAAACGCTTCGTCTAGGGAACCACTGAGAGCATCGCCCTTTCGAAGTTCTTTGCCGTGTTTGAAGAAACTCTTTGCTTTGATGGCTTCGTCGATTGTGAAGATTGGGGGTAAGCGCTTGTACGTTACCGTGACGGCATCGGCGGCAGCACGAGCTTGAAGCGCTGTCTCGGCGTAGATCATACCGATGACTTGGCCGTAGTAGTTGGAATTTCCATCTGCAAAGATGAGTTCGTCTAGGACGACAGGGCCCCAAGTATTCTGTTCTTTGGTGATGCTGTCCTTGTCGATATAGCCAACTACACCAGGCATCTCCAGGGCAGTTGAGTAATCGACGCTCAGAATCTCAGCATGGGCTGCTTTGGACATGACCAAAGCCCCGAAGAGTTCGTTGTGCTGACGTGGCATGTCATCAACGTATTCTGCTTCGCCGGTACAGTGCTTGACGGCGGAGAGATGGGGAATTGGACGGCCGACTTCTTTGGTTCCTCTGTTCAACATCGAAGAAGTGAAGTTGTCTCGATTGCCGGATGAGATACCGCGGTGAATCTCTTCAATCAGATCGGCATCGACTTCACCAAGACCGAGATCGTGAACAACTTCGTGCCAGAAGCGGAAGAACATGGAGATAGTAAGAACTGTAGCACAGTTAGAAAGATGTCAAAAATGCTGGCGGGAATAAAATGACCTTTTCGGTAGTGCGCCATGCCTCCAGGCACACCAAACGGAAGCTGGAACTGCTCTAACAGAGCTTCAATCGCAGCATCCAAGGTCTTCATATCAGACCATTTCCTCCCAACGACAGTCTTCTGCGCTTTCTCAGCCATTACAGTCGTCGGCGCCATACCACCGATTGCAAAAGCAGCATCCTCTACAACCCCATCCCCGTCCAATCTAACCCTAAACCCAGAAGTGACGATAGCAATATCGTCATCCTTCCTCTTCGCCTGCTTATAAGCCTTCGTGATCTCAATCTCATCGCTTGGAAGCGGGATCACAATCTCTGTTATGACTCCATCTTCAGGAAGTGCAGTAGTTCTGTATGACAGAAACCATGAAGACAGCGGAATCTCAGTTGTACCGGCTGTTTGAGAATGGATCTTCACTTTGGCACCTGCGGCTAAGAGGACGGGCGCGGAGTCGGAGATGGGACTTGCTGTGGCGAGACTTCCTGCTAGACTGGCTACATTGCGGATCTGTCGACCTGCAAAGTACCGAAGTTGCTTTCGAAGGGCTTCTAGCGCTGAAGCTCTTCGACCTAGCTTGGCGTACAGGTCAGTACACATCTCCTCAACCTTGGTCAAGGAAAGATTTCCGGGTATACTGATACTCTTCAGTGACTCAAGCTCAGCCTGTTTCATCTGCAGGGGATCAATGGTGAAACTGTTCAGCTCAGCGATGTCTGCTGCAAACACGGAAACGCGATAAGCTCTCTTCTTGAAGCGAACTTCGATCTGAGTCTCACTCGCACCACCGACGATTTTGGCCTCTGGGTACACGCCCTTCAAGTCGATCAACTGTTGGAGGTTTGTCGGTCGGAACCAGAGTCTTCGATCGTCGCCGTAGCAGATCGGTTGAGGTTCGTACTTTCGTAGCGCTGGAGGAAAGATGGGCTCTGTTGAGGGATCGCATGGTAAGAATGTCTCGCCAAACGCTGGTTTGTCTGGTGATCTTGGAGGTGTACTTGGTGTTTCCTGTGGTCTGGGAGCTGTGATCGGCGTTTCCATCTCCTTCGGGTTCGATTCATCAACACCTGTTGACCCGCAGCCTTTTGAATCGGGGTTATCTCGACAGCATCCACCAGGACGACCGCATGACCCAGTCTTATTAGCCTTGCGCGCAACAGTTGCATAATCGTCTTCTGTGGTCTTCTCGAGCTTTATCTCCTTTCCGTTGATCTCGGCTATCGTTCCGTTGAGGTCTTCTGTGATAAAGGTTCGTGCTGCTTCGAAGATGGGTTTGTAGCCAGTCTAACTACTGTAAGCAGATATGAAACTAGCTTCCTGGGGGTAGCTTACACAGCGACAGAGATTTCCATCGAGATGGCCCTGTAGCTCAACTTCAGAGTTGGTCAGGTGGAACTTCCCATCTCGGTATGAATTCCTGATAAGTGCATACAAACTCATGACGATTCCCGGGGTGCAGAAGCCGCATTGCGTACCACTAGCCCAATTAGTCTCATATTTTCACTCAACCCATCATTTACTTACTGCATCTTGGCAATCCTCTCCTGGAGCGGATGCGGCCTCTTCACTGTGCCCAACCCCTCAACAGTGATGAGGCTCTTGCCATCAACGCCAACAAGCGGATATAAACAAGCATTCACAGCAAGATGTCTCACGCGTCCTGCTTCGAGTGTCTGGAGAACAACAGTGCACGCTCCACAGCCTCCTTCTCCGCATCCCAATTTTGTGCCTTTCAAGGAATCTTGAGCTCGGATCCAATCGAGAAGAACCCAATCGGGATTTGGGTTCTTTACTGTGACTGGTCGACCATTGATATAGAATTTAATATCAGAGGTCCTGTAGGTTGTTTTTATCAAGGCTGCGAGAGATTCAACTGGCGTTTTTGGGGCCTTCTCGTCGGTGTCGGATAGGGGCGGTGATGGGAGAGCGTCCTGTGAAGCCTTCATTGTAGCGATGTGAATTTTGAAGTCAATTGATACAGATGAATACAGAATTAGGTTCAACAATTCATCAAACATCAAATGGGAGAAACAAAAATGTCAGCACAACTAGTCCCCTCCCCTCTAAAGTCAGCCACTCGGACTAGTTGTAGTTATCACGAACCGTCATCCCACCCTTGACCAGTCCCCATCCTTGGACAATACGCCACCCAACGAACTCCCCCCGCATTATCACGATAGCACAACGGCCCCATTTTTGCTGATTGGCTTATTTCCGACTGTAGTTATCTCCCGTTGTGTTTCCGAGCCGTTGTGAGGGGCTTGCATCGCCGAGATAACCGAATTATCTATCTAGGTCGAAAGTGGGAGGAGGAAAAGCCCACTTCTGTTACTAATATTCCCGAGTCGCTGTTTTACCCCGCGTCAGTGGTTCACATTGGGGATCTGCTTGCATGAATGTGAGCGGTTTGGGAATCTATTGGATTGGAGGGCAAGGTTCAAATATTCCCGTTCTTATAGTTTCTTATTGCGGTAGGGAATCTATTTAATTTCCCAAGAGTGGCACAGCTCTTTGGGATATGCATAGCTGACTTCAGGGCTCTGTTGAGATCATTCAATGCTCCAATCTCCATCAAACATGGGGTTAATCTTTAGCTGACCCAACCCATCCTCGCCCGCATTCGTCTTATCAACCTCTACCTCCCCGATCGTCCAGTTCTTGATATGGATACCCAGTGTCAAGTTTCCCTGCCCGGGAGCATAATTGTTCATTCCGTCCCCCGCATCCATACCAACGACGCTTCTCCCAAGCTTGAGTTCCATATCGTTATTCAACGTCTCAAAATGCACATTAGAGATCTGTAAGTCAAAGTTTTGCATCGGAGCAATCGTCATGAGCGCTGCACAAATCCCCTCGCAAACAACATCGTCAATCTTGACCTGCATGGTCCGCTGAGTATCGATCTCTTTTGGGTCACCGTAAAACGGCGCTGCGCCCAAGATAGCAGACGGAACATAGGCATCGGGCTTGATCCAACGATTGTGAATGATGCGGAGTTTACTAACCGACACGACGCTAACATTACGTGGTTTCCAACCCATCTGGATAATGGCGTTGTTGCGAGCTTTCCAGATCGTCAGACCGTGAAGTTGGGCTCCTGAGTGATATAATTTGATAGCATCATCATTGACGTGCCAGAAAACATCACGAACTGAACCTCTGTACATCTGAGTTCCGTCGGTTTGGAAGTAGTATGCTCCGACTTGTTTGTAATCTCGGATATATGCGCTGACCTTGTTGTCTTCCTCGTGCGGAGTGCTGTTCTTAGGATAAAGATCCATGGTGTTGAATGGCGGGGAAGCCAGCGTTGGACCGATGCAGTGCCATGTCTGGTTATCTGTGACGGACTGGTGCCAGAACATGCGGAGACTGTGCCGGTCGTCTTTCACTGCCGTGTAGTTCTTGACTGTGTTGGCCATGTAAACATAGTTCTCGCCGGACAGCACTCCGTACCCGACTGTATGGAAAGTGGGGTGTGTCGTTGTGTACTCCAACGCTGCTTTTACGTAGGCGCCAGGCTCGAAATATACATAGTGAGTGTCAGGGTGAAGCTTGATATGGTCCTTGCCAAGACTGCCATCCTTCTCCATCCAATGAATACCCGATTCGAAGATCATGGTGGGTTTAGACCCAAAAGTGTCTTGCGTCATCTTGCCTGGGCGGATGGCCTGCGCATTGCTTGAGGTCTTCGAGGGAATCAGATCCTGGGAAAGAGGCGGGCTGGCGAAGGTGATTAGACCATTCCTGGTTTCCTCGCTCACAACGACGCCGCCATCGTTCACATAATCGGTGCCGTTAGACCTGTACGTGAAGAGATCATCCTTGAACTCAACAGAGAATCTAGCCCCAGAAATCTGGAAGGGGACCCGAATCAAGACAGTATTATCCTTTAGACTCTTGACTGTGAAGCCAAGATCGACAGGGCGAATGACAACGTTGGAAACTGAACCAATCGAAGATCCGTCGGTAGTAACAATCCGAACATCCACATCCTTGCGGTAGATGAACTGCGTCCAAGCCATGTTGATACCCTCATCTACCTCAATGGTAATTCCGTCTCCATCCGCAAAGTCATACTCTTTCCCAGGCTGAGCTGGATCAAACATTTTGCCGTTGCCATTACGAGGAATGGATTCATAGACGAAAGAGTCATGGAACTCATCCTCACCAGCGAGGGAAACAGAGACGTTGTATCGTCGTGAACGACGGACCTCATCAGCCGCTACCGAAGTATTGGTGTTGACGACGGAGTTCTCGTGCCACCATGTCGTAATATCGGAGTCTGGCACTCTTAGTTCGCAGAGTCGGGCTGCTGCGAGGAAGCTGAAGAACTTCCAGCATGGGTGTATCATGTTTATAGCTGGGGTTCAATCTCGGGACTATGAAAATACCTATGAAAGCTGGGTTTGGTAGCAATAAATGCTCTCATTCTATCTCATTTATAGATCAAGACATATATTTGACCTCAGCACATAACCACATGTAAAGAGGCCTCATTGCGTGTCAATTGCTTGGTCTGAGATAGAAACGGACCGACAAGACGCAGTTAACCAATTGTATGCTCTTTGCCGAGACCCCATGCATATTGGCATCCACAGACTTTAACCAGTAAAGGCCAATAATTATTGCGGGTGCGGCAATTTCATGCTGATGCATGCGTCAAAACTTCCCGAGAATTATTCCGGAGTGCCAAGAAGGTTTTATGCCGTCGCATATATACCAGTCATGGTCAATGGCACAAACGCCCGATTTGGTCCTCTCGCGTGAGTATGGAACGAGGTGGCTACGGTTTAACATCTGAAGAAGCTGTCGCGGATTTTCGTCAGCTCCTGAAGACAACTCTAATCACTAGGAAATGTGTCTTCAGCCGCCCATTCTGCTATTCTAAGGCCGAAAAATTGAAGATGACGAAACGGATTGCCGTCATTCAGGCCACCCGGTCAGATTTACTTGGCATAGCTTTCGATATAATAAAACGCCGTGAGCTTTTTATCCAAACCCTTCTTTGAAGTTATAACTATCTCTCCCGATAAAGGTATGACTCGAACAACACCTAGCCTGTTACTATTAAGTTCTCTTAATTGACTTGTTTACTAAGGTGTTAAGGTGAGGGAATTCGGGCAGCCTGGCTAACGAGGCTCCGCAGGTCCGCCATATCAACATGCAGGCTGACACATACTGTTCGACCATCACAAGGTACAGCCCCTGTGCTGTACATCACGTAGGCGCACTAAATGCAAGACTCAGCCCGTAATTGATGACTGCAGTCTTATTATGAAGAATAGCAATGATCTTGCTTTCACGGTTTATCAGGGCAGGGCGACGCTAGTCGGAATAGAAATGATCCAGGCTTAAGAAAACCTTGTAGATTCTTTCCTTTCGTAAATTATTTTCTTCTCTTTTAAACTTCTTCAAGTTTTGCTTCACACAGAATCCACGATGGACAACACAATCCGTAGTAATTTCACAGATCTAATGTCGCTGAGGCGCTATTGGGATCCCACCAACACGTCTAGTCCTCCTGGAGGGCTCACATCACCAAACGTCGTGATTAATACATCTTGGGCCGAATCACTCAACCTCAAGACAATATATCATTACAACGTTGACAAGGGAACAAGAGACGTCACAAAGATTGAGAATCTAATGGACATCTTTATCAAAACTGACGACGAGCATGATGAGGATGACGACGACTATATTCCCCATCACTTTGTTCCACCTTTCAACACGGCAACTGGCAGAAAGCGGGGAAACTTTACGACTGATGCTTCAGAGGTTGAATCCTATATAAATGAAATCTCCAAGACTGTAGCGGCTATACTCTCACTCGCTATAGTGGATGGCATGTCTCGCAACGCTATTAGTCTAAAGATGCGCTTGATTACCAAGAACCTCCAGAACGGCTCATCACAGGGGATAGAAGAATTCTGGGAGCCGCATCCTGAAGAGGATGGCAAACCGGGTTCGGAAGTATTTGAGGCAACTGATGTCGATGAGCCGGTGTCTATCGACTGGGAGGTCTACAGGTATGGATGGGGGTATGGCGGTCAGAGTACAGCCGTATACTTTGCCATTACAGCTCTTTTCATCCACGTGGCATTGATACTTGTGTTTGGAATCTATATAGCCTTGTTCTGGGTAAGTGGGGAGCGGCCTGGCAAGTCTCGAGACACGATATCCGAGTTTGTAGCCTTGGCATTGGCTTCACCGTTAATATGGAATAATGCTTTAGAAGTGAGGAGACTTGCCAATGGTGAGGAGGAGGAGGGTAGGGGTAGTGAACTCGGTAGTGAACTCTTGACGGTGCGATTAAGCTTGGTATGAATGATGAGAACGAGAGAGTCTTGGTAACTTAGGCTGGTAAATGGTTCTGTATTATAAACCAAGATATTTATTACTTTACTAATTCAGCATACCAATGAGAGGATATGGTATGGAGTCCAACACTGTGGTAAGGTCATTTGATCAGTGTATTACTGCTCTTGTGTTTCTTTCTACACTTGACAGTCATCTTTTCTTACTCTTCTATGGCATATCGTAAACATCTACGTCCCCTTCGCTTCACGAAATTGAAGAGATTGTGAGCCAGAACACAACAAATTCATTTCGTCTAGAAGAGTACGACTTATAGACTCTAACACTGAAACTTCATAGACTTCCACTCGTCTCCAATGTTGAAGCAATCGTAGAGATTGAGGCCCTTCTCAGAATAACCCTGACAATTCTTCTCTCTATATCTGATCACTAAGGTGAGAGCTGGTAAGCAGACCTCGACATCGTGTTTTGAGGGCTGGATAACTCACTGTGGCAGCTGCTTTTCTTTCTCTCCGCCATGCTAACAGCATGTTCCTTCTCGCGCAGGCTTTTGATGCAATGTCCACTGTTGAAAGGTTTTCTGTCTCCTAGCGAGTTGCGGCATGTAGTGCTGTCCCAGAATCTAGCTACTACATCGGATGCGCGACTCTCGAGGTGGGACTCTAGCCCAGCGGGGAGAGTATCGATGGGATTGGCTAGAGCTGGGGCGGCGAGGAGAGCAAGGGCAATGGTGGTGAAGACGTTGAAAAGCATGTTGGGCAAGAAGGGTGGGTATAAAGGTTTGGAAGAATGTGGTGTTGGATGAGGATGAAAACGGGAAGATGAAGATTATCGACATACTTATAGTCGCCAAGTCCTGCGAAAGTGATTGGGACCAATTGTGATTCCCTTTGCTACCTGAGGCGTTTAGCATGTTGTGGCAATCAATATTACTACGCCGCTTGACTGCAAGTATGCGGTGTGCTCTGGCGTCCATTCAATGCAAGGGTATCACCATCTACAGTTTGCTAACTTCCAGATTGATACAGCCCCCAAACAAAGGTCCCAAAGCCTCAAAGCAGACCGGTTAGTAATAATGTCTGCAATCGGCGGGTCGCTTAAGGTCTTCACATAAACCCGCATGAATGGCCCCCAAGAAACAACGCCAGGACCTCAACACAGCTGATAAAGAGTTCATATATCCCTCAGCTTCATTTCTATCCGAAGGTCTATATTCAAGTCAATCTCGGCTATTTGAAAAGTTGGGTGAAAACATGCAAGTACAATAGCTTAGGCTGTTGAAAATCAGAGTTGAGGTCCGATTGACAGCAAGGACCTGGGCTCGAGTATGTGATCACATCGAGGATCCCATCGACGTTCAAGGAGTAGACAACAGCCTATCTCTAAGCATATATTCAATTTGTCCATCGTGAGGAGGCACAGACTTTCAAGGTTTTTAGCGATCATGGAATCCTGGCCATAGAGGAGCTACGAATGACAATCTCGGAGGGGCTCGTAAATTCAGCTGAAAAGGGAGCCGGAACAGGGGTCACGCAGCTTCGGAGTTCTCGCCCGATGCAAGGAAGTTTACTCCGTAGTTGGGCTCTCGTTGTATGAATTAACCGAATGGTGGTCTGAGCCAGCTGCGTGGCATTGGGGGCGGAAACGAAAGTCTAGACTGAGGACGGAGGGTGTATAGAAAAGCACACCGATAGGAGCGGCTTCAGGATATATCACGGTGCTAAACGAGAATTCATAGTTGAACTTCGCTTAGCCTTTTGGCTTATGTTGACTGAGGCTCCTGCTATGCGGATGGTCAATCGATCAAGGCAAGATTTAGGTAGCAGGTTCGCCGGCAAATAGGAATACACCTGGGACTCACTCTTGGCCCCGATGATCGCCCTTGGCAGTCTTTTTAGTCACATCTAGATCCACTGTCCTGCAGCTCGCCTGAATATTTCAACAGACTCGGTTGCGCCCGTAACAGGCGGAGAATGTGTCCCCGCGGTAGGACACACGGAGATAGCGAGGTGCAGCGGCAGATACCTTCCTGCAGCCAAGGCGGCTACATCGGGTTCTGCGCTTCGTTTAACTGCGAGCCAAAAACATATTCGGTAACTGTGGGATAAGTGCATCAAGAGGTCCAGCAAAGCGTGGTCAAGGCATTCGGATAAAGGTATGAGGGGCAGGGAAGCCGAGTTAAAGCAAATCTCGTGATATTCATTATCTAGTATTTCTAAACACATACTAAGCTCTCTTCAAATCCTCAGTCCTTGAAAGGCTGTTAGGATCAAGGTAAGGCTTCTCACCAATGCCGACAGCTCTGTGACCCGTGCGCTCACCAAGACCATCGTAATCATTTGTCGCGCTATGGAACGCACTGCGATTATCCCAGAACGCTAGACATCATTAGCATCACCCTCAACGACCATTGGAATCTAAGTACTTACCAATATCATTAGGGCTTCTCCATCGGAAGCGAACCTGTAGATCGTGGTTCTGCTCAATCCTCTTGTACAGTGACTCCAAGATCTCTCTGCTCTCACGCTCGCTCAGCTCATTAATCCTTTTGGGGAAGTTTCCAATTGCAAAGATCGACTTCCATCCCGTAACAGGGTTTGTTCGAACAACGGGATGAATAGCCTTGAGCTCATCACCGATATTGGCGGGATTTCCTCGTGGTTCCTCGTAGATCTTGTAATGATCCGGTCTCGCATCCCGCGCCCTCAAGAAACCCTCGCCAGAAAACGTAGCAGTCAACCCCTCAAAGAACTTCCTATAAGGGTCGCTGAATCGATCATAGAGCTCATATCCCGAAGCCCAAAGGGTATCACCACCTCCGGCTGGGAGCTTTGTAAGTCGCAGACTCGTGTAATCAGCGGGATACTGCTCAAACTGAATATCGCTATGCCAGCTTGCAGCGCCTTGTTTTCTATCATCACGGTCTTTGATTCTGTCCTGGAAGAACTCAACGTTTGATGAAATAACGCTGATCTCATTGTCGTCCACGCCGAATTCATTGGTGCTGTTGAGAAGAGGGTGGATGTGGAGGGTTGAGTCCTTGGGCTTGTTGGTTAGTTGGCCGAGACGGTGGACAAGTTGTTTGTGCTGGTCGTCTGTGAGGTTGTCTTGGGCGCGGAAGAAGACGACGCCGCGTTCGGAGACTGGGGTTGTTAGAAGGGAGTTTGGGGGCTGGGGACGAAAACGTACTGGTGATGGCGAGATCGCGGATCAGTTCATCTGCGTTCGGGGCGTTGATGATGTCGTCAACGAGATTGACTTTGGGATATTCGCGTCCGATGACGGGGGTTGATTCTTCGAATGTGAACTTGTCGAGAGCTCCGGATGCCTTGAGAGGCTCTGGGTACTTATTGGCCTCGACGTTGAGCGGCACGATGCGCTCAGCCTGTTGGGTGATGGTAGCAGTAGTCGACATGTTGAGCTACGTTTGGCCTGTCTTAACAAAACAGTCTTGTCTTGTGAACAAGAAGTTTCCTTCATATGGGATCATATGCTTTCCTTATATATATAACATCGATCCCCACTACGCGTTATCAGATCGCACAATCCGCCATTTCACTTACGACATCGCGATTGACCTCGCTAACCCCGCAGAAACAGGTACGCAGCAAGTATAGTGAGTCATGCCGGTTGGTCTTGCGCTTTCATCATGGTCGATGGTGTCACTTTAGCTTGTGAATCCATTGGATAGTGAGACCGGAGCTGGGCATGCGATAACGTTGTTTCACCCGCATCATCGGTCGACAACCGATTCGGAACTCGGAGTCACTCGGATCTCGTTCCATTATTGATATTATTGGATGATCGGAGACCAGGCAGCTCCTTTGAGCTCCGAGATATCGGTTGTCGCAAGCATTGGAATCGGACAACTTATCTTTACACTCGGTTATGAATGTCCTTTCATATTAGGTGACCAACGCTTACAATTTCGCCATGTCTCGTGTTTCCGACAGGCCGAGCAGATTGTATCTTTCGAGCTCATAACCATGTGATTAGGTCCGTCTTCTTCGTAACTTGGGTAGATCGATGGAAGTTCGGGATGGCGTGCTAGCTTGTCAAATCCCCGGGATTGCACGTTATCCACTTCGTCATCAGAGCCTTGGATGGTGAAATGCGGAGGTCTCCATCGAATTAGTGCAGTGATAAAATGTTAGCATGGGCAGATGGGCCAATTTCCCTGATAAGATTGACCAGCATGGCATTTCCCCGTTTGCTTTGAGCAATGCGTTCCTAATTATAGTCCATGTGTTGTGAGCAGGGAAACCAGTGAAAATGTGCAAGAACATGGGCAGATAATAGATCAGATTAAGACAACAAGATCACATCGATCACTACACGAATTAAACGTATAATTTCCCAAGACTACGTAGAAATTGAATGTATTTGCAAGCCAAGACTCAATTTTACCATAGAGTCAAGCTGAAAAAATGGGATTTGGTGTTATTTTGATCTGTGAATGGGATGAATGAATGAACAAGCTCAGGGTAGCTGGATTTGCTGGACAGAAGTTCTTCCAGTCACTTATCGATAAGATAACACGAACTGGCGTTGGATCTTTCTTATCATCGGGTTCAACTGATACGGCACAAAGTTCTTCCACCCCTCACAAAGGCGGAGGCCCAGCCGCCGACTCCGCCAGACATCCGCCCCGCGGCAAAGATTTGCCAGTGTGACACACAAAACAGGCAGGCATGGAATCTGCGAAGCGGAAGCGAGCCGCCAAAGCCTGCAATTACTGTAGAAAGAGGTGTGTCAATACTGCTAATGAAGCCTTAGACTGTTAGGGGTACTAATTGGTGCAGGAAGAGGAAATGTGATGGCAGACAGCCTGTTTGTACCCTCTGCGAAGAGGCGAATAACTCCGAGTGCGAGTATCGCGATGAAGGAAATGAGTCAAAGTGAGTTTCACAGTCCCAAGTTGCTATGTAAGGCTAATTTGGTAGACGTATTGCAATCCCTGTTGATCGCGTGGATGAGATCTTTGATCGTCTTGAATCTCTGGAGTCAACCTTTCAGTCTGCTATAGCTCGGCAGCGAGATCGGAGTCCCATTTCGACACCGTTCCCAGCATCGACTCCTTATCCAGCCTCAACACCGTATGCCACATATCCTGTAACACGACACAACGAACCCATCAGTCCTGAAGATGGAATAGTACCTGCTTCATCAGTCCACTCAACAGGACCTGGGACGCAAACATCGTTGTCTCAATTCGCTAATAACAATGTCTTCAACACGACAATGGACATTCCACTGTCTCATTCGTCCACAACAGGGAACTTACTCAGGTCTGCGCCCGCTAAAGCACTGCTTGGCCATTATCCTTCCGATCTTTTCCTCCATATTGAGTTAAGAAGGCCAATACCCGAAGGATTGAGACTGAATGCCGAACCAGCGAGTCAAATCGACCTACCGACATTATCACCCAACGAAACAGACCATCTCGTCAGAAACTACTTCCAACTCGTCCATCGCTTCCATCCAATTCTTGACCAACGATCTTTCTACGATCTATACGACAGAACCGTTGACCACGGCGCACGACCTGATCTCCCCTCCTCCCTGGTCCTCGTTGTTCTCGCCCTAGGCTCTGTCGCGGCTGAAACACCAAATCGTATGGATGCGAGTTGGAGTCCTGGGGTAAAGTTCTTCACACCCGCTGTGAGATTGCTACTCACAGAGTCGTTGTGCTCGTTTGGTGGGGATCCGCTTTTGCCGCAGGCGTTGTATCTCGCTGCGCTGTATTATAGCTATTTGTCGCGGCCGTTGCTTGCGTGGAGGTTGGTGCATATGGCATCGACTGATGTGCAGCATTATTGGATAAGGTGCGTATAGCTATAATGGGATTGAGAGGTGTACTGACATTTTAGATCTGAGAAGTTGCTGCGAGATGGTTCGCAGGACCAGTCAATTCTGCGAGTCTTTTGGGCCATTCTCGTGCTTGAATGGTTAGTCGCCGGTTCCGAACCTGATGTCAAGGTTTTGTCTAACTATCGTCAGTGATATTTTGGCAGAGCATCATCTCCCTCGCAGTGGCATCGAAAAGATCGTCGACAAACTCCCCTATCCACGGTCCGATGGTCCCTCCGAACCTTACATGCACCGCTGGCTCGCCGATCTCTCGTCCCGACGACTCTTGAATCGCATCCACTACGTCCTCTACGCAGAAGCTGAACCTGGTACGGGCGACAACCCAGCCGATAACTCTGAAGAAACGCAGTCAAGCCTCCCAAATCTAGCTCACGAGTTGAACCGTCAGCTTGGAGCATGGTATCATCTCCTCCCTCACAGCATCCGGCCAAACTTGGAGATTCCACCGATAGGCATTGATGATACCATGGTCACTATTCGATATCATACTACAGGTGATATTATCTACAGGCCTTTTCTGTATCAGGTTTGTGCTCTTGCACCAGGAACACAACCTAATCCCGCTACGCTTGAGAATGCGCGGCAATGTCTAGTACACTGTCGTAGATACCTCAATTCGGTTGAATTCGCAGTGCACGCACCAACTGCGTCCTTGGAGAATCTTTTACACGGGTATGTCGACACCACCTATATAACGACAGTTGCTAAGAGATCCAGGACCATGGCAGTAGTATTACTCCTCTCATTCGCGGCCTTCTCAAGACTAGATGCCCTCAGAGTCCCAGACCTCAACCAATTACAAGACAAGGGAATAAGGATCTGCGAAAGATGGGCGTTTCCAGGTTCGAGTATAGAGCAGATGGTTGTAATTCTACGCGCCCTCCGAACAAAATGCATCGACACGGGATGAGACTCGACTCCATAGAAAACAGCATAAATTTACCCAATTTGGTGTCATGGTCCAACTATGCATATCCGGTCCCGGAAATGGTCAATTCAAAGGGCGAGGTCCATCCATTTTTTGACATCAAGGGCGCGCGCTAGTCATCCTCGGGAGCAGGGCCGAGGACTGTGGCGAGATCTTTCCAGAAGCCACTCGTTCAGATCTGCACGGTTCAACAAAATTTGGCTCGGGGAGTTTATCTGAATTGGAACTATTCAAGTATTTTAAGCCGCCCAGCCAAGCCTAACTTTTGAGATCCGAAATCTGCAGATCCACTCACCGCCAACATCTACCCCTGCTACACGTATTTATTACTCAATCGTTATCCTTAGCTGCGTTGCGCCAATTCATCTCATCATGACTGCCAAAGATCACAAAGAAGTCATCATCAAGCCTGCAACACTCACTGATGCCCCTCGCATCGCAGAGCTAGGCGCACACGTCTTCTCAATAACATTCGGCCATTCCGTGGAACCCCACGAACTCGATGCTTTCCTTGGAGACTCTTACACAGAAACCTCAATCGTCAACGACCTCAATGACCCCAACAAAGACATTATCATCGCCACAAACTTCGACGATGATTTCCTCGGCTTCGCATATCTCACCCGGGGAAGCAGTGAGCCCTGTGTAGAAAACATGGAAAAGACCGTCGAACTGCAACGGATCTACGTACATCCTATTTCTCATGGCGCTGGTGTCGGAAAGGCTTTGGAGAAGGCTATTGAGAGCATGGCAAAGGAGCAGGGGTTTAAGAATTTGTGGCTTGGTGTTTGGGAGGAGAATCCCAGGGCGATAAGGGCGTATGAGAAATGGGGTTATAAGCAGGTCGGAGATCACGACTTTACTATTGGATCTATTGTTCAAACTGATCATATCATGGTCAAGAGCTTATAGATGCAAAATGCACGGGATGATGAATCATGGATAAGTTGAAATTGGCGTTGGATCGTAGACATAGCAATGAGATAGACAGGCGAATGACAGACTAATTGACTTCTTTCTAATCTTTAACCTACAGAACATGTCTCTCAACCCTGCTCGGCTGTGAACACCGAGATAATCAGACTTAATTGATGAAACTCGCATCTAGGAGTTTTTGACCTTCGGAAGCAGGTCCGATAACGCTAGGTGAATGGCCAATGACAAACTCCTCGCTCTAGACCTTGCTTAGATTGACTGTGCCTGTGATTCGCCAATCCAGACCGGCCCGGTTGATGTGAGCGACGCCCTCTCACAGTGGCGGGCCGCCTCCTCCGCCAAACCTTTATTACTTGCGATGTCCGTTCATTCTACGTGGGCATAAAGACTTTAATTACTCTCTTTCAAAAGAAATTACTGCAGTAATACATAACACCCAACACTGTACACATCAACCATGTATATCCGCGCCGCCCATGCTGAAGCAGACCTCCGTGTCCTTCGCCGCCTCATCCACGAAAACCCCCTCGGAATGCTCACAACCGGCATAAAATCCCAAACCCACTCCTTCCTCCAAAGCAGTCACATCCCCTTCCTTCTCGACGTAAAAGATGAATCCAGTGAAACAGAACTCGGTCGTCTCCGCGGTCACCTGGCTCGTCAAAACCCTCAAAGCAAAGCCATGATCGAACACTGCACCTCCAACCCCTCTCTAAAAAGCTATCTCGAAGACGAAGTCCTAGTAATCTTCACAAAGCCAGCTCACCACTACGTCACCCCCAAGTTCTACACCGAGACGAAACCAGCGAATGGAAAGGTGGTGCCGACGTGGAATTACGCCGCGGCGCAGGTTTATGGAAAAGCGAGGATTTACTATGAGAATAACGAGGAGACGTCTTCGTTTCTGGGGAGGGCGATTAGTGATCTTACGGATCATAATGAGAGGGGCGCGATGGGGTATACGGCTGAGAGCCAGTGGAAGGTTTCTGATGCACCGGAGAAGTATGTTGAGCTGTTGAAGAGGAATATTATCGGGATCGAGATTGAAGTTACTAAGTTGGAGGGCAAGTTTAAGATGAGTCAGGAGATGGGGCAGAGGGATAGGGAGGGTGTTATTCAGGGGTTTAAAGGGTTAGGGACAGAGGTTGGTGATGAGGTCGCACGGGTTGTTAAGGAGCGTGGGGAGTTTAAGGATCAGAAGAAGTGATCCCAAGGGACGTGGAAAGCTAATGAGCGTCTCTAAACGTAACGTCAATGCAGCAATACTTGACTCGAGCTTTTTATATACTCGGGATGAAGTACTGATCAATACCTTGGTAGCTTGTTCGGGCGAGAATGTTAATAGTTTTATTGCAGGACTAATCATTGCCTTCGGATTATCAAACCATATACACATTCCATGTAAGTAAATCAACTAGGAGAAGAGTAGCATCAAGGCAACATAAGTCATAACTCCATCCTGAGAAAAAAGGAACATTGAATGCAAGCAAGGCTTAGTTACATAAATACTTGTAATCAGCCAGCGGAGTTTTACTGGCCAAGGATACCATTGCTGCATATTCATCTTGCGAACCTATAGAAACCGACCACGTCGTTACCCCTCTTCTCATTATCATACCATGGGTCACTCTCACGGTCTCACCTAATTCTGACATCTATAATCTTTTTATAACTAATCTAAACTAGCATAGCTACTGACTAGGGGATATAAACTCTTCAAGATGTCGTATTGTGGGGTTTGTCAGCGCTCTATTTTATACTTCTTCCTGGATGCCGACGCTCGTCGGGATCTAAAAGGCGCCTTGAACTTGGACCCTTACTCTTCTTTGGAATATGAAAAGGTTTGGGACTATGATAAACTAATTTTACACAGGTTTCAGCATTACGACTCCATTTCTGAGCTACAAAAATCTGCACTTTCTTGCGAGCTATGCTCATTGATGCTTCCCATCCTTCGCGAAAATTCGATCATCGACTACGCTGAAGACCATTTCGACACCAGTTTTGCCATGAGGCGTCGAGGTGCTACTCGTCTCCTTCCATGGGCAGAGCATACGTCGAATTGGGAAAACGCAGAAACACTCCCACTGCCTGTTTACAACAGGAACAGCGACTTCTACCTTTTTGACAACATGTATAAATCAGGCCAATATGGGCACTATGATTCATTCAACACAAGTCTAGCTCGCCTAGTTCCTTTGTCAAAATTTGAATACCACCACCCATCCAGCAGGCGTGGGAATGATCCTAGGTGGTCGCCTTGGATTGTCTTTGCTCAGCCACACGGCAAGTTCCTGGCACAGCACTATTGACTGGCGCACTAACGCAATATGACCTCAGCGTGGATTGCAGAACGAGCTATCTGGGCTACGGATCACATCAAATTCAAGGCAAGAGTTGAGACAATTAAGGACTGGCTTGGCACTTGCTTGACTGTTCATGGACAGTGTCATGTGCCAGAAGTTCTGCGTCCAGCACGGTTTCTTGCGCTTCATACGGGTGCAGACAATGGAGATCTCAGACTAGTCAGTACAGCCAGCCTTCCCCAGTTGGAACACATCAAATACACAGCTTTGAGCCATTGCTGGGGCTCAAGTACCAATCACGCAGCTCGCACTACTCGGGAGAACGTCCACCAGAAGATGACACATATCTCGTTTCATTCTCTTCCAAAAACCTTCCAAGACGCCATTACAGTAACCAGAGCGATTGGTATAGGATTTATTTGGATTGACTCTCTCTGCATTATACAGGATGATGATCATGATTGGGCGACTGAGGCATCCAAAATGGCCGATGTCTACAGAGGAAGCCATCTCACTATAGCGGCTTCCTCGTCACCGGACGCAAATGGAGGGTTGTTTCTGGACTCCCAAACCCCCGCGAAAGTTGTGCACTTATCCCCTGAGTTATTCCCACCGGAATTCGAGAAAAGGCTCCCTAAGAGCTGCTTGGTTCGTCATCCAGTAGCTTCAAGAGCAGCGATACTTGACGGACCACTCAGCAAGAGAGCATGGGTCCTTCAAGAGCAGATTCTATCGACTCGACTCATTCATTTTACCAATACCCAGATGTTCTATCAATGTACGGATGGACTGTCCTCAGAGGATGGCAACATCCATGATAAAGGGGCGAGGCTCCCTACCCGAGTGGAACGTGTGAGTGAATGGCGCTCTTCTTATGCACCTAAGAGGCCATTCCCTTGGTCTAGGTGGGTGACTGAATTTAGCGCCCGTCCCCTCAGTTTCGATAGTGATAGGATAACTGCTATGGCTGGCTTGATCGGCCACTATGAGCACATATCGCTTCAACGGCCCATGCTAGGTCTTTGGGAAGGGACTCTTTGGATTGATCTAGCCTGGTACAGCTACACCCCGAGGGAAAAGAAGCATTGCTATGACAATGATAATTTCAAAGGGTAAGTCGGATATACAAGATTTTCATGTCGTTGTCAAAGCTAACAAGCCTGTAAGCATCCCAAGCTGGACCTGGTTCTCATCCAAGAACAAGCACATCCGTAACTTGTACGACGACCTGGCTGATGATACAATTGGGCTGGAAGAGGACAACGAAGTCCAGCTTGTTCACTTTGATTGTGACTGGAAGGGACTTCCTTATGCTTCGTCATTGAAAAGAGCGGAGCTTACAGTATCAGGTTCGCTTAAAGGTGTTAAGCTCCGGTCTCCTACAAATCCCAGTTTGCCTTTCCTTGATGGTGACAACACATTCGATACCAGACAAGGCTCTGAAAATGGGGAGCCACCTGGGTTGTTGTTGTATCTCGACAACACGCAAATCGACTATGGTCAAGATCGATTATTTCTGCTCCGGCTTTTTGCCGTCAACGTTAATGATAGCATTGCAGACATGGATGATTTTGTCTTGTTACTGCGGGAAGAGCGTCATAAGGACGATACCGTATTTCGTCGACTGGGAGCAGGCTATATGGCTAGACCACGGTCCGAGCCATTCATTCCTTTTGGTACTACTCATCTGAGCTGTTTAGATGAGCCAATGGATGAAGAAAGCCTCAAAGAGTTATTCAAGCCCACAGAGGCTCCGCCTGCATTTTTTGACGACGCACATGTACAAGAAGTTACATTAGTATAGTGGTAGAAGTGGCCAATGAATATCTTAGTGATAACATACAGGCGAGTAAACTTTCAGGGCGTTAATATGCTGATGATGCCTCGACTATCAGTCCCTACATGGTAAGTGGGCGGCCAAATTGAAGGGATTTACGTGTCGAGCTCCTCTGGCTTCGGCAGGGTGAGATGGTCATGAGTCTGTTGCAGAGTTTGCATGTTCGACTCAAAAAACTGACAAAAGGTTGAGTCGCGATGGGAACATAATTGAAAAGAGATTTGCGATGTTGAGATATCATATTTGTGTTTCATTTGTTGCCAAACCTCGACTCCAATTTTTCCGATCGTGATGGGCACTTCCAGCATCATCGACTTTATCTAATCACCGAACAACCCGGCAACTTACCTCGGCACTGTCAAAGAGCACAAGATAAGCTTGTCACGAATGCAAACCTCAATAACCGTATATTTCCGACTATGGGGCCCCATGGGCTCCCAACCGCTCCAATAACATCCCCATTCTGTTGGTATCGTGAAGCCGACCGTGGACTTTCGATGTTACGCGTCGCTGTCGGCCCTTTTATCATACCATGAAAAACGCAGATCGTCAAGTGATACACTCTTCAACCTCTCATTGAAGAATTCTTCATAAAGCTGACAGCCCTACGGATGGCTCGGCATTCAGGTACACCACGATGCGAACACGAAGTGAATTTGTGTAGGGTAAGAAAAGCGGCATACCGCGCTAGCAAATTAAATTCCCCGACAATGACATGACGCAGTATGTATACCAGAACAATGGGTTATTGACTCGAGGGAAATGAATGCAAACGGTTGCTTAGATAAACGTGCTGTGGATTGGGGAAGCACGTGGAATTAAGTTACGCTTTAGGTAAATAACCAGCATAAAACTGGTTTTCTGGGGAAATTCTTTACAGTTCTTTAACACTGTTGACAGGACAAGATTGCCTATGACGCAGTGGCGCTGGGAATACCGGATATCCGGACGCGGCTGAAGGAAACATGCATCCCACATCCCATGACAGTTTAACAGATACAGTTGACCATGGAGAAATGGGGGAACACGGGGTATGGAGAAATAAGAAAAAGATAAAAGTGCTTTCGGCCGAGGCAGGGCCGGTCGGAGACGAAGAGCGGGTAATGTTTGAGGTACAGTATCTAGAAGTTCTTGGAAGTGTCGTGGTACCTGGGCATTCTACGGTCAGAATGGATGAGATCGTCGGGGAAAGAGATTGGCGTCATTGCTTCGCATGCCAAGATTCGTATGGGAGATCGGCAAACGGGGCTTGGCAGGCAAGACAAGAGATTTTGACGGCTGGGCGATTCTTCAATGTCTTACAGAGGAGTTTAACGGCGAGATCTGAGTGTAGAGATGTGTTGTATTACAAGTGGATTGACTTTGAGCCAGAGTCAATCTTGACTGCGAATGTCATGAACTGATGCTCATTGAATCAAATCTCATGAGTCTCTCCGGATCCCTCGGGTGTCGTCATGTTTTGATGGTCAACCAAATCCAGAATAGTACTGAACAGGGGTTAGCCTCACTAACGCTTCCAACCAAAACTGTCATCCAAGCCATCACGGGGACATTTCCCCCAATCAGAAGTACTGAGAGTAATTGCATTACAGGCCGTTTCAGTTAATTTTGCAGCCACTACAAAATCCCCAAAAGCCATATCGTCATACCAAACAATCACCGTTCCTTCGATGCCATGAGGTGAAGGTCTCGGGCTTTCCCCAGCTTTACAACCCCGTGGAGGTGGTACCCCGTTACCCAGTATTCACCCCATTACCCAATTATTGTGCCATTCCCCTTGTTTAACCCCACAGAACTGGTAGAAGCAAAATAAATGGGACGGACCGATTTCGTGGTCTCGAGACCATGACAGTCTAGGATTGGGCATCGGAGTGCGGCTCATTGGACGCCTGTTTTTCAGGCCTGACATCACGAAGTATCGCACTTTTGGTTTATAACGTCATTCTTGAGCAGTGTGTATTTAAATCCTCGACACCCTCTGTTATGTCGAGTAACTCAATCACCAATTGACTTTGGATCATCACTACTACATACTATTATATACACTGTAGAGATACAGTTTGACTGCCCATCATGGCGCCGTCCTTCCTCACTGTTCATTTCGATGACCAGAATCCAAACTCTGAAAAGGGAAAAGAGGCTGGTGCGAGGAGATCTCTCGCTGGTCTTGATTACTCGCCTTTGCCTCGCATCACGCCCCGATCTTTTCTCCTAGCTACATTTGTCTCTATGGGTGGTCTTCTGTAAGTCGTCTTCCCCAGATCCCAAATATCACTTTAACTAACGGGAACAGCTTTGGCTATGATACAGGTCAAATCTCAGGCTTCCTCGAGATGCCAGACTTTCTCGACCGTTTCGCCCAGACAAACAGCAAGGGAGAAAAAGCATTTAGCACCGTCCGCTCGGGTCTCATCGTCGCGCTCCTCTCCATCGGCACGCTCATGGGCGCACTCATCGCAGCGCCTGTGGCAGACCGCATTGGTAGAAAGTACAGTATCTCCGGCTGGACGTGGATGATTGCTATTGGCTTCGTCATCCAGATTTCCTCAGACAGGGATTGGGTACAGATCATGATGGGCCGATGGGTCGCTGGTCTCGGAGTCGGCGCTTTGTCTCTGCTCGTTCCTATGTTCCAGGGCGAGACTGCACCGCCGTGGATTCGAGGCGCAATGGTTTGCTGCTATCAGCTCTTTATTGTAAGTGACATATTCTTGGCATGCCAAGTTTCCTGTTCCGACGATCTGTGGAGAAAAGTTGTCAAGGATTGCACTGACAATTTTGCTAGACGATGGGTATTTTCTTGGCTGCGTGCTTCAACTACGGCACTGTAACGCACCATCCCAACAGCTCAGCCTGCTGGCGCATCGTCATCGGCGTCGGCTGGGTCTTCACCCTCATTCTCGGCATTGGAATCCTCTTCCTCCCCGACACGCCCCGTTTCGACTACCGCAACGGCAGAGTCGATCGTGCGCGCGACACGCTCTGCAAAGTCTACGGCGCGACGCCAAATCACTGGGCGATCCATACCCAAATGGAAGAGATCGAGTCCAAGCTCCGCGCCGAGAGCCACGTCAAGCAGAACCCCGTGCAGGAATTCGTCGGCATGTTTAAGGCGCCCCGCATGGCTTATCGTATCTTTATCGGAATGTCGCTTCAGATGTTTCAGCAGCTCACTGGTGCGAATTACTTCTTTTATTACGGAACTACAATCTTTCAGTCTGTGTCTATCAACAGCTACAAGACGCAGATTATTCTGAACACGATTAATTTCCTGGTTACGTTTATTGGATTGTATATCGTTGAGCACTATGGTCGGCGCAAGTCGCTTATTGCGGGAAGTACTTGGATGTTTATCTGCTTCCTTGTCTTTGCATCTGTTGGTCATTTCTCTCTTAATCGTGATGATCCTACCAAGACGCAGGGTGCGGGTATTGCTATGATTGTCTTTGCATGTCTCTTCATTCTGGGCTTCGCTACCACTTGGGGTCCTATGATTTGGACCATCATGGCTGAGATCTTCCCCTCGCGATATCGCGCCAAGGGCATGGCTCTCTCGACAGCTAGCAACTGGCTCTGGAATTTCCTCCTCGCTTTCTTCACGCCTTTCATCACGAAAGACATCGACTTCCGCTACGGATACGTCTTTGCGGGATGTAACGTCCTCGGTGGTCTGCTCGTCTACTTCTTCGTCATCGAAGGACAGGGACGTACTCTTGAGGAGATTGATACCATGTATCTGGAGAAGGTGAACCCTATCAAGAGTGCCAAGTGGGTTCCTCCCCCTCCTGAGGAGATGGCAAGGATTAGGAAGCAGGCTGGTACGGATCTCGAGACTGCTGTTCCTGCGGCGTCGAGTGATGATGAGACGCTTGCCAGGCCATCGGGTGTCACTGATGGTGGATTGGGACATTATAAGGAGGAGCATGCTGGAACTACGCACCGAGAGTAAGAAATGGTGATGGTTGAGCTGTGATGGGGATGTTTATGAGTGATGTTGGAGACGAGATTGCATGATACCTACGACCTGTTCTTATTGTCCATAGTCAAACTTACCGTACTTATACTTGATCAATTAATTGGGATGTGCACCGAAGATTGGCAGTGATTAATGACACCCGAATTGTGATGAGGCCACATGCTTCAGGTCTTACGAGGAGATTTACTCGTCATGTAGGTAATTGATTCTTTGCCTTCGTGCCATCGAGTCTGGCTGTTGTGTGATTCAAAGCTCCTGGCAGTCGCAGTCTTCGCGGTACCTGAATGATACACCTTCCTTCATCCAACGCACTCACCTATTGCGACTTCCATCACCCGCCGGTCACCCTCAGTTGAAAAAGACAATGTTCTCCCCCCGTCTCCATTTAATTCATACATCCATTAAATCCATCATCACCATATGCACAGATTCTGCCACCGCTATAAAATATCCATCTTCGTCACCAGCGACACTTTCACTATTGACTGAGCGCGCGACACTTACGCCTTGGACTGCATCCTCAACGCCGACTCAAGAACCTTCTCCATCATTCCCTGCTGCAACCAAACATCCACAGCACCGCTTGCGACCAACATCATCAACGATCTGTACCCCGAACTCGATCAATATGTGTCAGAAGTCAAGCTACGAAAAGCGGTGCGAAGACTGCAACTCGAGAGTCATCATCCACGTGGTGACCCATCAAGTATGCAACGGCAAGCCCCCAGTATGTATGACCAAGGACGAAAAGGCGGACCGCAAGAAAAGAGGCCGTCAAATACCCTATCCCAAGGACGGCTTCATATGTCAGCGCAGAGTCCGGCCTTACAACAGATACTGGTCCTGGGTCGGATCGCACGCCTGCTGGTATTGCAGTCTCCGCAAGCAAAAGAAAAAGGCCGACAATGAACTCGAAACCCTCCTTGCGGACAAAGGTCGAACAGAGACAGAAGTACAGCTTAAACGAAAGAGGGTACAAAAGCTGAGGGAGCAAATAATGAACACGGGGGTTCCAGAAGAGGATTACACGACGACACTACCCAAGAGAGCCCAAGTCGATATGAAGGGCTAGTTGCCTGATTCACTAGCCAGAGCGGATGAGAGTGTCTGGGAAAGTCTCGAGTACTTGCCCAAGCGAAGTTTTGAAGACGATGAACTGCCATATGACTCACCCGAGTCGACCGATTCACCTGCTTCCAGCGATAGCGAGCCTTATTCCCTTCCAGTGTTAAATAAGGGGAAGGGTAAAGCGGTCGCGACAATCGAAATGGAGGATGTACCATCTGAGGCTACTAGGTCCTCACCGTTCCTTGGAGCGTCAGAACCTACCAGGTCTTCTCCGTTTCTTGGAGCTTCAGAATTTACAAGCTCTCCTCCGCTCCCTGCAGCGGATCGATGGGGGACCCAAGATACAGATTCTGATGTTGAGATAGAGGATAGGGAGAGCAGTGAGGTGCGGGACGCGCAAACGAGCGCTGGCGTGCCGACTGCAAGAGGCTTGACTCTTGTACCATTATCTCGATTCTACGCCTGGAGTGACCGACTGTGATTGGGGGCCTAAGCTGGCGGCGTGAGTCAAGGTTTGGGTACTGGCTTTGAGCGATACTGCTGTTGCAGGCTGTCCTTGGATCAGAGTAGTCTCACAGTGGAGGATGGGTGAATGCTGAACGGCGACGTTGAATGGAACATAGGTTATTGAAGTAATCGGGTATAAAAAGATTGTGAAGAGGGCGCCTGATACAGAACAATGGTTGATAGGGAATATGTCCATCGTTTCGTTTCGTTGCAAGTATTCGCCCACCGCGAAGAGTCTACCGATAGCGTCTTCACATGTGAAAATCTCTCGTGCCTACAGGCTACAAGAGTCCAATAGAAGAATGATGCGATAAAAATCGGTGATGCATGCTAAACCAGTCGAACGTGATGCACTCAGATACATCGCCTGCCATGTCAATATTACGCAGCATAATGGGGCATGATGTATGCTACGCCAGTATGTGAGGATTAAAAGTTCAAGCAGGGAAGTCAGTGATGCCAACTTCTAGTTCATGAGAAGACGTCTCTGATTGGCCTCGATCGTGCTATGCGAGTTTAGGCGAGAAGACAAAGAAGCGACAGATTTGCTACGTGCTTTTGGCAGTGAACAACAGACTGGTGACGCCTTGGGTCAGTGAACATGCGAATTTACCAAGACGTAATAAAGAATGCAATTCTTTCAGTGCATCCAAAGACAGTGATAATAACAGCTTTCGTCCCAAGACACAGACAGCATCACCGTCCCTCCAAAAGTATAAATACATCCTCTCCTCCCTCTCAATTCCTCCAAACCCTTTATTGAACCTCGGATTAAAGCCTGAAAGGAATTAAACCAACTTCTTCGCTAACGTATCCTATCGCGATTAGTAACACTAAATCTCCTCAAAATGTGTCAAGAAAGACAAGAGACCTGGCTGTGCAAGACCTGCCAGCGGTTAATCATGACGCAAACTTACAAGATATGGCTATGCGACGGATTCAAACGGAACGGGGTCTGCACTGAGGTCAAGAAAACACTGCCGACGACTGTTTACCAGCATGATCCGGATTGTAAAATTTGTAATGCGCCGAGGAAGTGGCCTGACGATGAGGGTTTTGCGGCGTGGATGAAGAATCAGAATGGCTCATCGGAATGGTAAAGATGAGAGAACACGGGAGGTTTGAGAATTAGTACGGCTGGTTTGCTTCTCCATAGCAGACTACAGCTCACAGATGATTAATCGAATTGAGGCGCTGTAGTCGTTGATACTGCAATCTTATCTGTTGACCGGCTCACAAACCCGGTCTTAGTCCGCATCGGTATCCATCCCGATCAAGTGACACGGCATAAATACTCCACATTCTCCATTCGGCCATCTTATCTCTCTGCCATTTTCCGACCGACGAATCACACCGATTCCCAGTGATACTTTGTGGGGTTTCCATTCTCCGATCTTCATGACGCCGGCCGAAGCTTTTCTCCTCCATCACTTTTAGTCTGCCCCCGGAATTTGAGCTTAAGATACTCAAAGCCTACCCCAGAAAACTGAGCTGACCGGAATTCCGAACATTTGCGCGTAGCGAGTTTTGGTCAAATGCCGAGAACTACAGGTGAACCGCGTGTAAGGCGCTCTTGTGAGCGCTGTCGGTACGTTAATGACCAGTCGCGATAAAGATGTGATACTGACGATGGGATAGGGAGAAGAAGATTAAATGTCCTGCTGAGAAACCGGGCTGTTCGCATTGCCGAATGGCGAATCAGACGTGTACCTATCTCCCTAGGATTCATGTCAGCAGTAATCGAAGATCCTTCGCTCGGACCTTGTTAGTCACTGTGCGGAAGGCTCAGATGGCCGAGAGAGCTGATATAGAAAAGCAGACCTCTCAAAGCGCAGCATGCTAGTGTATCTCCGACTGCATCGAGTCATGAGTTAGAGTAAGTTCTTGGATCGAGTTACTCTCCTAGCTAATTGAGTCGAAGTCAAAGCTTTGGGAATAGGCATCAAAGCCAAGATGTCAACGCATGGAATATTCATGCAAATTCACCACGTATACATCCGCAATTACCTCCGATAACAGCTATCCTCTCCGCAACCTCCTCATGGTGCGCCATATCTCCCGGGTCTGTAGGGATTACTGACAAGAATAGGTCACCAGCAAACCCTGAACCACCGCCAGACCTCCTAACAGACTTTGTGAACGCCTACCGCGAGAAGCTCTACTTTCAACCACTTCCGCTGTTTGATCCGAAGCGTCTCCTGTTGAAGATCGGGACATTACCTCAGTACCTCCGGTGGAGCTTCCTTGCTTTGTCACTTCATTACACAAGTCATAATTTCTACTATGGATTGGAAGGGAAGGCTATTGAGTATTATACCACGTCGGCGAGGAGTGTAATCGTTGATATGGCGGCCGAAGGGCTTGTGCATTTGGAGGTGATGCAGGCTTTGTGTCTGCTTGCTTTGTGTGACCATATCGGTACGTTTGTTCCCATGTTAATTGCTTTTCGCTAAACAAGGTCAGCTGGAAAGTCTTCTCGGGCCTGGATGATGATAGGTATGGCTGCAAAGCTAGAGTCGCTTCGTCTCTCAGACTCAAAGGTCAGCGGATCGCGACAGTCTGATGATGCGATCTCAAGGTGTCACTGGAGCATCGCCATTCTAGAAAGCACCTTTACTCCCCACTGTAACACTCTCTTCGAAGTAGCCCACGCACCGAATTATCCCAAGAGCGTACCGCGACCAACGACTCTGCATGGCATGAAGACATATTGCGCCGACTTGACGGATGCATACGAAGCAAACGTCCAAGACGTAGGAATTGTCGCAACCTGTCTCGGCTACATCTCCGTCTGGGGCAGTATCATTTCTTACCTCCGCGACATCCGCAACGGAGCAAACGAATATCCATGGCTAGCAACCTCAAGACACAATCAACTCACCGTCAAGCTATACGAACTCGAAAACATCACCTCCCACCGCCATCTCATCCGCAACGCCCCTTTCCCTGACCAACCCCCCTCTGAGCTCAGCGAAAACAGAGAATACTGGGCCCCATGGGTACTATTCCAAGTGATGATGCACGCTACCCAAGCCATCCTCAACAACCCCTTCGTCCAACTCGTCGCTCTTCGTCGCGCAGGTCGGAATTTTCAACCACGCTCTTTTCTTCAGAATACCGTTGATCAGGCTTTGTTCCATGCTGAGTGGGTTTCCAAACTTGTGAGCATGTGTGCGGATAGACAGTTTGAGGTCAATGATCCTTTGGTTGGACAGGCTGTTGCGGGATGTGTTTCGATACTGTGGATATTTCAGTTTGCGAGGGATAGGAAGGTTTCGGAGAAGGCGAAGGAGAATTTGAGTATTTGCGAGACGTTTTTGGAGCATTTATCGCGGAAGTGGCCTCATATTGCTGAAAAGGTGAGTTTCCCAAAACCCAAGCACTGGGCTATACTAACAGCGTTGTAGGTCGAGATTCTACGCACGCTCAACATTAAAGCGAAAAAGAAGCGACAATCGCCACAAGATGATGAGTCCAGTAGCGCAACTATTCAGTTTGAACCGGATATGATGTGGGAGCTTCTTGATCCCGCCATGTCAGGCCGAGACTGGGCTGGCTTATGCAAAGCTGGCGGGACTTATGCTGCGACGAGCGCTACGATCAAGGTCGCGACCAAGTTTATACATCCGATTAACAGCGATGAGGATAACGAGCCGATGGAGAATTCTTCGCATAATTTATTTGATCTGGAGGATATTTATGGAGAGCCGTTTCTAGATCAGTTCTTTTCTGATTCTTTGCTTGTCAATATCTCAGACACATAGCACAGCGTCATTTCACGCTGGATTTTAATACGAAGCTTAACTACTGAGGTTCTCTGCTATTTCTAAAAGAGCTATTAAGATATTGTGAGTAAGATCTCTCAATTGACGCTTGTGCAGCGCCAATTTCGATCCCACTAAGAAGCCGAGTTTGCCTTAAGAACCTCGTCGTCCAATCATCGTGATACACAAAACGCGCGGACAAAAAGCCACAGCTACGTCGCAACCAATACGAGATGACCAGTTTGTAACATGTCTGAGATGAGACGAATCAAAACATGAAGTGGCTTCAGCTGTAGTTTGGCGGTGACACCAGCGGTACCAACATATAAATACACAGGCTAGGTGGTGAAGTTTACTGGCGCATTCGTCAATCTTCGAAATGCTTGTCTCACAATCTCTCCTCTCACTTGGGTCTATCTTTAGCTCCGTGACGACCCTACCAGGATGCGGGGAAGTTAATGTTTTCTACACGTGAGTGCATCCAGATTATTGATGAGATATTTACTAACAATGCGTGAAGCGGCTTGCCTGGTCGGCATACGTATGTTACGCAGCAAGGCTATGATGCTGCGCTTGTTGAGGCCCAGATCTTCAACCACACGCGCCAGCTAAGGGAGGCGGGATACAACGTGAGAGGTACGATCATCGTGATAAGTAGCCCGTTTGCGTTACTGAGCAGTGAACAGCGGTCTGGAGAGGTCCCGAGATACCTGGCACCGAAATGAGTAAGCATATGAAAGACGTCCACTGGAACGTTGCCGGAGTTGGCTTTGGGGTCAGAGGATCTCAGATTTCAGAAGTCATCACGCTTTTTGAAGGTCAGTAATACTCCTTGCCTATCAAAGTGAAGAGTAGTTGCTAAAAATAGCCAGAAACCCTGGATATATACCGCCAAGAAGCGCCAGATGCTAAACTCGTGTTCAACTATAATCCAGTGACCTTTTTATGGTCTGTGAAACGGTACTTTCCGCTTGCGAGTGACTGTAGAGACCACCCGGGAAAGGATTTGGTATGTTTACGAGTATTGAAGCAGTTGGGCCGAGCTGAATGTGCATTCTAGGGATATATCACGATTTGCGATAGCGCGTGTACCTAAGTGGCATAGCAGCATAGGAGCAAGTGACGATCGATTGAGTTTCCAATGTGTTGAGAGTTAAATCCCGATACACAGATGATCTTGGGGTAAACTTTGTCGGCAGTGTAGTTCCAACCTATTTGATCAGTTGAAGAGCGTTTCTTAACGGTGGCTTGGTCCTTGAGCCCGACGTCATGCTAACCGCCCTCAGAGACAGGGGAGAGTAATAAATACTTCCTCAGTTGTAGCAGAGAATTCTCGTTCTAAATGGGAATATTAAGGTAAAACCCAGTGACCACAAAGCGCAGTTTTCGTAGTTTACTTAGTATGTGCAAACCAGACAGCGTCTTTGAATGCAGCGATTGCTTAGGATTCTAACTTTCAAACCAATTTGTGTTGCCACATGAGCTCTAAAAACCCTTTCTATTTCCTAATAACATATTTGTAGTCGACGACCCTTAGTATTGGCTGTCCAAACCTTGTTCAACTATTCGTGGCAAGATATCAAAAACATGAGCTGCGGGCCGTTCCAAGCCGTGTAATACATAACAAATAAGTCTAATGAAAGAACAGTGGCATCAATTTAAGATATGAGGTATAGGTTAATCGATACATAAGTACTATGCAAGCATGTGAAAGAGATAAGAGTATGAAACGTAGTTGTGTCGACTAAGCACCAAGACAGTGCCACTTTCACATAACAAGCCAGTCATACCGAGAAGGGAGATTCTGAGGAAGATTCTAGAAGGACCTGGGGTATGGCAGACAGTATACCATGGCACAGTGCCAAAATGCTACGGCACAGAAACGTCGCGATGCCTCGCAGGTGACAGATCGCACAGACTCACCCAGCCACGTGGACAAGGGGCCATCCCTCAACGACGCTAGAACTGCCGTGACAGCTCAAGCAAAACGGGATGCAACCATACTATGAGCACCAAGGATCTGGAAAACAGCCACCGGGTACCAGGAGTGCATCGCGGCGAGAGGGTGTACGGGATGCAGATCAAGCATTGCCCCCTGGCCTAATATCCGGGGGAACACATGACATGCAGAGCGTCGACGTTTTGGGACACAGCCTAAATCATGGGGGATGGTCTGTGAACACCTGGGCTGGGCTGGGATTTCACGATAGGGATACCACTCTGGCGTGTATATACACCTGGCTTATCAGATGGTGGGGTGTTGATCCCTGCGTCCGGATTTGGGGTGACATTGGCGGGAAAGCAAGAGTAGAGGTTTGCCTGTTGCTACAAATGGGTTTATTACAAGGAAATACGTTAAAAGATAATTCGTGAGTTGGTTATTGTCCAAGGTTATGGTTCATAATAGCGTCGAGTTGCGTGCAGAAAGGCAACACTTGAGGCACGGTGACGTAGCGCAATGAACTATACGTATCGCGCATGGCTATGGTGCTAGATTACATGTGCACACATTTCTCATACATAAAGCTTCATATCTCTATTTAACTACCTACGCTATCACTAGTCATTCATCATACCTTCATAGCCAAGTAAACCGCAGCCCCGCACGTTCATATACGCTTCAACAGCAACACATCTTTGCAACAACCTAACCCTTGAACGCCTTTCCAGTACTGACATTGACCTTTGTCCACACAGTGCCCGTCGACATGTACCAACCAAACTGAACAGGCCAATAAACATGCATCATCCACAGCCAAGGAAGAGGATCCCAAGACTCAAAGGTCCCATCTTTCCAGTAGATGATATGCTGTACAAAAGCCCGAATGGACTTTTGGATATCTGACAGACTCATTGTGCCTCGAAAGAGAGTGAGATAGAAGGGATACAGAACAAGTTCGACAAAATCCTGACCGACCCAGTAGTACTGCTGGGGATTGGTAGGCGACACAGGTGGCTTTGTCAAAGGCCTTGGTGCAGATGGGGTAAGAATGGAGAGATACTCATCAACGATCTCGGGTGTGTTGTTGAACAGAACAGTAGCGGTGTGAACCCTCGGATTGCACTCAATGGGATATATCGTCACCTCTTTCTCAACACCGGACTTGACAGCATCTTCATCTTCCTCATTGATCAAAAAGTCAAAGCTCATATGACCCGTGAAGTTTTCACCACCCTCTTCAGCTTGCTTCAGTGTAAAGTCAAGCATAGCCCTGCTCAGCGGTGAATCAAGAGGAAGAGCTGAGTAATGCATGAGAACATCAGCAGAACGACATGCGACAAACGCGCAGACGCGACCGCGAATGATGAGCGCGTGAGTACAAAACTCGGGACCTGTGATGTACTCTTGTATGATAAAGCTGCATTGGGCGGTGTCGAAAGGAATAGAGTCGATGCGTGCGAGGGTAGCTTCCTCGGAGGGAAGAGGAAGTAGAGGCATTGCAAAGCGCGCGACATCATCTACGCCAACAGGTTTGACAAGATATTGTCTCGCGCCATGCTTATGTTCCAAACCACAGTTTCTTTGAAGGAAATTAATAACATCTTCTTTATCCTCAACAGCCTCCGTCAACGGAACTGTCAGACCAAGGGTCTTGGTATGCTCGATAAAAGCATCCTTCTCATGAAGTCTCCGAATATCCTCAACACCAAACTGAATCGCCTTAGCATTCGTACGAGCTTCGATGATCTCCCGAACCGCAGCGTCTTCTACAGCCGCATTGACGTCCGAGACAGAAACCCAAAGATCAACGTCTTCATGGTGAATGATCTCGACAATACGATTGAGATACGGATCATTCATGCTCGTTTTTGAAGGGTCTGAAGGTGGTGGCAGACGATAGTACGCGTCGATTGCGAAGGATACGCGACCGGGTGAAAGGGAATGAGAATCTGCGCCTATGACGCGATGGCCTCGGCGATGAAACATTCGTGCGAGAGAGAGGCCCTTCGCCATGTTCACGCCTGTAACCAAGACGGTCACTTTGTCCAGATTATTGCCATCATTTTGAGGTTGAGGTTGTGAGGATTTGGAAGTGAACCGGTCCAAGAGATAAGCACCCAATGCAAAGAGGGCGTTTGTTGGTAGGAATATGAAGCTGAGGAGGAAGAGAGCCAGGTTCTTGGCGAATTCAATCGCTCGAGAGCTCTCCAGAGCATGATTTGACTTCCCCATTATGAATGGGATGTAAACTCTCACAATTGAATCGTAGCAATATCCAATTGACAATCATGAGCTTCACAAAGCTATAGAGCTATAGCTATCGAGGATACAGCTCGAAAACGCGTTGTGAAAAAAAGTCAATTGGAAGACGTCATGACTTGGGCGTGGCTGCGGAGAATGGTCTCACTAGCACGTCGGTGCAGCTCCGGCCGGAGCAGCGCATTCCGATCACAATCCCATCCCCTCACTACTGAGACCAATCTAACTCATCTGACATTAGTCCTAGATCCCTTGGAGAGGGGAAATCGCTTTAGGCTTCTTCGCCAGGAAGATTAGGTCCGATGGTTTCACACCACGAATATCTCATGCATATGCAGCTTTTCACACCGGTCCCTTCCACAACCAATTACAGATTCAGCGTGTTCCTCATGTATGACAAGAAAAACACACCATGTGCGGAATTGTCACTGTGTGTATAGGGTCGAGACTCTCGTTCTCTGTTCATCAGCCCACTATACTGCTACACCGAGACGCTGTGCTAGGAGTCTGCTTACATCTATGACGTGCTAGACTCTTGAGAAGGTGGGTATAAAGTGCTGCAGAAAAAAAGCAATTCGGAAAAATAAGAGCGGTCAGGGAATAACGGTGCCCGTAAGGCGCAAGGGTAGATATCGTAGATCTGCAGTGCAACATTCCCATTGTCCCTTTTCCCGATCTCACTTCAGGGTCTAGGCATTTCACATGTATTTGTGGCCAAGGGATATCCCGCTAGGTTTAAACGTGGGGAAAACCTAATGAATGACGCGCACATGCGAGATGGTAGTGTAATCGACGCCCTCGCGCTAACATCGCCCCGTCTTTACGACAATACAGTATTCTTTACCTTCTCCTAGGACATAAGATCTAGGTACAATCTTGCCCCACGCGGGGCCTCAGATCCTACCCCTGAACGACAAATTTACGGTACATCCCGTTGCTGTATGACACCTCGAGGAAGAGAGATTCGCAATACACCGTACCAAACAGGCTAGAGAGAACATATGTCGTGCTCAACTGCTCGTTTTCTATGGGCTATGTTGTATGCACTGCTACAGAAGCGTAGGAACTAATGCTTCAGACCCATCATAAGCTTGACCATCATGACACCAACATTAGATACATGCATCTGCGCGCAAACATGCACCTGTAGCCAAGTCTCGGGCCTCAAACCACGCACCCAATGAAAACAGTCCTCATGTCTCTGTACTTGGGCCCCAACCACTCGTTTACCGACGACTCATGTAGTGTTAACTTGCTCTCGTGAAAAGAACCCCGGCTTGAAAGCTTGTCGGCAGTTGAATATCCCTCGGAAGGGGGGTGGTATTCACACATAAAAAGCTCTCCCCATCACCATCACTTCCAAACTACACACATCCTCTACACCCTTCCATCCCTATTGTACTATTCCAAATCTACCACCCACCATGTCTGATATGAGTGCTACCGTCGAGCCCACCGCCAAGGGCTTCGCTGTCTGTGGCTACGAGAAGATCGAGTATGACTTTGAGTTTCTCGATGGTGTTTTCAACACTGCCAATCCTCAGCTCTACCAGCTGTACTCCCCCTGGGGACGATGTCTGGCTGTGATGGACCTCAACATCTTTAACCTTTATGGTAACGAGATGCAGAGGTACTTTGATCATTATGGCATTCCTCTTACCATTCACAAGACTATGATTGGCGAGAAGGCAAAGAGCATGGATACGCTGTTGTCGATTGTTGATTCTATGACCGATTTCGGCATTTACCGAAAGGAGCCTGTTCTTGTTGTTGGTGGCGGTCTCGTCACTGACGTTGCTGGGTAAGTCTCCTCATTTACCGCTGTGAACAACTTGACTGACCATACAGCTTCGCTTGTGCTGCATATCGCCGTAACACCAACTACATCCGCATCCCAACCACAGTCATTGGACTCATCGATGCCTCAGTCTCCATCAAAGTCGCCGTGAACTACGGCCGCTACAAGAACCGTCTTGGAGCTTACCACGCCCCATCTCACACATTCCTTGACTTCACTTTCCTCCGCAGTCTCCCCGTAGCACAGATCCGCAACGGTTTTGCGGAGCTGATCAAGATCTCCACTTGTGCTCATAAGGATACTTATGATCTTCTTGAGAAGTACTGCGAGCAGCTTATCAACACTGGCTTTGGGCGATCTGATGATGCTTCTCCTGAGATTAAGGAGGTTGCTGATAAGATCTGCCGTGCGGGTATCCATGAGATGCTGAAGCTTGAGACACCGAACTTGCATGAGATTATGCTTGATCGTGTTATTGCTTACGGCCATACTTGGTCTCCTCTTCACGAGCTTGTCCCTGAGACGCCTCTTCGTCATGGTCATGCTATCTCCATTGACATGGCATACTCTGCTACCCTCGCTCACATCCGTGGTCTCCTCTCATCAGAGGAACATACCCGTCTCTTGAACCTCTTCTCCCGAGCTGGTCTCTCCATGGACCATCCTCAGTTCGATGCTTCTCTTCTCGAGAAGGCCACAGCTGCTATTCTCAAGACCCGTGACGGCAAGCTTCGCGCTGCTGTTCCCATCAACCCAATGGGCGATTGTGTCTTCTTGAACGACGTCAGCCACGACGAGATGGTCGCTGCTCTTGAGGAGCACAAGAAGATCATGAAGTCTTACCCTCGTCAGGGCGCTGGTCTCGAAGCCTTCGTTGACGCTAGCGACACTGGTTACACCATGAACGGTGCCCCAGTTGAGAATGGCAATGCTCAGAACATTCCCCTCAACGGCGTCGAGAACGCTAAGCTTCATGTCTCTGGTCCCGAGGGTGTTGATGGCCTTCAGCAAGACTCTAGTAGTGACGATGACTATGTCGTCAGCTCTTCCAAGACCAAGGGCCACCAGGACAAGGGGATCCTCAGTGACCTGAAGGAGAAGGCGAATGGTATTCAGAACCAGATCGCCAAGGCTGTCACTGTTGAGAGTCAATGATTGCATCAAAACAAAAACAAAAATCACTGCATCGGAAAATGCGTATACGATTGTTGGGCACTTGGGTTAGTTGACTGGGATTACTTTACATCCTGGTCCTTTTAGCATTATGATACCGGGTCTGAGAACGAGATGATAAATCACTCAGCATCCACGGTTTTACTTTCAATTCAATATACAACAAAGGATTCTATTCCATATGAGGCTTCGATTACGGTGTGACTGTATGCTCTGTACTGTGCTCTTCATTTTCAACCTTTGCTGATCTGTAGAATCAGTACTCTTGCTTGACTTCCTCCTGTCCATAACCCATCACCCCGTTGATGATATTAATGAGGCCAACCGCCGCGCTCTCCGCGAAGAACTCCCTTCTTGTGCCATGCAACGTCTTTTATAGTCCTGGCAACGTACATTCATCTTCCGCCGGTATTCTTGAAGGCCTTCTTCCGATCAATCTTCCTCAGTATCCGCACCACCGACATGCTGATAGTAATTGATTATGGTCTCCTCCAGAACCAGAGCATTGAACCTCGCCATAGAACGGCGGTATGATACAAAAGATATCAAAACATATATGTTAAGAATGCTTAGGTAGAACTAGATATTGGGCTGTCCGCTTTGATGTTGTGTGCGTAACTAGCCATCTCCAAGACCTGCGGTCTGTCTATGTTAGACCTTTGCTTGACCTCTTTCCGAGGTCCAACTACAATAGTCAGCAAGTATTCATCGGCCATCACCGCTCGGTGTTGGACTTACATATGCTCAGACAGACAAACTTGATCATCACTGGGAACCAGATAGCCACGGCGACGAGCTGTCCAAAGCCCCATGTCGACAGGCCACCATCAGATGAATGCATATCAAGAAGTTCAAACAACTCGTGTAGACTAATGAAGATCATGGTAACGGTTAGGAGTTCAATACCAGCCCAGAAGACTCCCAATAAGAGCTTTGCGCCTTTGGTCTCTGCGAATGAGAAGATCGTCCGGGAGTCACCGCCAATCTTTGTATACTTGATCTTATCTCCCGTCATTCGTGTCTTGGCGAAATGTACAGCCCAGTCGATGATAAGACACGATACAATGACGTGAACAGCAAAACTACAAGCAAGTGTAACGTTGAAGAAATCATAGCTGTTCTTCTCCTTGATTCCCTGACAAAAGCTCATCGGCCCGGGGTTACCTCCGCAAGCATCCACAGTCGAGACCTGTTTCAAGTGTTCTTCAAATGCGTCGGCGTTGAAGTCCTGGAACTCTGTGATGACAGTCATGAGGACCCAAGATAAGACAACGAAGAATAGGGTATAGAATCGACGCTCTCCAGCTCTGTGCATGACAAGCTGTGCGATTAGAACACAGTACATGCCTGCTGTGATGAGTCCTTGCAGGATGCGGTGATTGAAAATCCACGAGAATAACGTGAGCATGTTGGCTAAACCGGCTCTATTTCCACCGTCGAAAGTGATGATAGCTGTGATCGAGATGGTAGCAGCGAACAACGCTTGTGATTCTTGAAAGTCGATCATGGCAGAGGATGAAGCTTTCGCGAAGCGTGTTTCGGACAGTGTTGTTTGCCACCTTTGGCATGTGTCTCGAAATGCAGAGTGTTTTCGAAATGAACTACTCACGCGGCCAAAGGTTCGGACCCAGGAGGTTGTGAGTTTGAAGCACAGGCTGAGGAACAGAACGAGCACCAGCTGGATAACATATGCTGTGACGATCTACAAGAGTTCGTTAGATCGTTCCGTGAGGGGCAGGGTTAGGGTACCTACACCTTGTCCAGCGATGTCCAAGTCAATTCCAGCACTCGCAGCCTGACAGTAATGCTTTGCCATGACCCTTCCAAACTTGGCGACATTATCCGGTGAAACGGGACCGCACTTGAAGCCTTGAAGACTGCTCGTACAACTGCCGTACGTAGAGTCAGAACAAGAAGCCCAAGCGCAGTCTCTCACTTTCCGGAAGACGTTCAAGGAATTGAACTTCTCAACAGTCTCAAAATGAAACTGCTCATCCATCTTCTTCTCGCTCTCCCTGTCAATCGTATCGTTCCCAGGGCCGACTAGCATTCCCAGCGTCGCGAGCGTGATACAGTTCCAGAGGTTCTCAGGCAATCTGTACATGAGCGTTGCGTTGGAACATGTCGTCGTACAGTTGAGTGAACTACCGTCCCCATTATCGCAGCCATAGGAAATAAGCCGCACGCCGACTGTCGGATTCTCAATGATGGACCTGACGCGAAAGAAGTGCGCAGTCTCCCAGGCTTGCCACTGTTCGGATATCTCAATACCGTGATATGCTCTGTTAAAGTCATATTTGTCAATGATCTGGAACTTTCGTTCAACCATTTTAACAAAAGATGAACAAGAGAGAGAGAGGAGAGGATGAAAAAGTCAAGGTACCTAGGTAATCTCATTTGAGGCTGATATAGGACCCCTGAAGCCTACAGATTTAGCCCTATGAGATGCGCTAGCAGGGTTCCACAGTAAGCACTGCCTCTATATTGATTTATGATTTGGTGAGATTCGGTTGCCAAGACGCGGGCTGATAAATCATCCTGCGATAACATTTGGGGGCCGTTGTAGAATTACTTTGCCACCAACGATACCCGAGCCTCGGGGGCAAGAAAACACAGAACCTTGATATATGTAGGGTGTCGAAATAAAGTAAGTAAAGAGGCCCCTAAATTTAGGGTAAATTTACCTAAATACTCTTATCACTTAGGGTTAAGGTCCTGAGTTTTCTTTCCTCCCCTTGCCGAGTCACAAGATGGTTTTATCCCCCAATCAGTGTTGGCCTTTGAAACAAACTCAAGCGGCCACTGTATATACGCTCCATAACTTGCTGGGACCTGTCTCTTGACTCGTAGTATCCAGGCTGTGATGATAGTCTTGCGGAATGGGAAGGATGGCGATACTGGTGCTAGAGCGATCGAAGCAAGCACATACTCAATGGCGAAGAAATGGGCCATTATTATTTGGGCGACGCAATTGTCAGCATCGGAAATTGTGAGGAAGTCAGAATCACTGGCCGCTCCGAATAATTGGTAGGCGCGGCAAACGGCACCAAAGGCTATCAAGAAGTCAGCAAATGCTTATCCAGAACGATATAGATGTAGCATCTTACCACCGACGCATGTAGTCCGCGACATATCGAGGATACTCTGAAGAGCTGCGACCAGATTGATTTCAAGCGTGCTTTTACTCAGAGGCGCAATAGCCTTCAAGGATGCAATGCCATCGTCAATGACTTCATCATCGGATAGGCCGATGTCGAATCCGTTGTTGATATCTTCAACACGCTGTACGTGCCCTTCTGTTGTGAACATTCGAAACGCGGAGTCCTCGAATTGGAAGACGGAGCATTTAGAAACAATAGTACAGCCACGAAGCATGGACAAGAACTCTTGCATCCCATCAGGCATGTAGGAGGACTGCCACGTTAAAGCCATGAGGGTGGCGTAACGAGCATCGCCCTCTTCCTTGTTTTGACAAGGGGTACTGAGAGCAGAATTAAGCGACTTGATGGCCTTGACGCGATGCGATATGGCGTCTGAGTTATAGTCAGTGCCATTGCAGAGGCCTAGATGCGAAGCACCGACGGCCAGCATGGCGTGAGCCAGGAAGTCGAACTGCTTTCGTCAGTAAATATCTCGAAGATCCTGCAGTATGTTTGTGCTTACGCCGTGAGAATACTTTGCAACTTCTTTCCATACCTCTTCGCCCTGGATAGGAAGACCAGGGTACGCATGGAGAAGAAAGTGGTGAAAGAATCGTAAATCAACCATGGAAAGTTGCGCTTGAGATAGTGCTTGGGTAGGTTGAGGTGAAGGTAGGGTTATTATCCCTTTGCCTGAAGTCTGAGGATACTCGCATTGAAGGCCAAGACGATCGCAGTTATCACAAGAGGGTGTTGTTTCCTGACATTTGACACGGCGACGCTTGCAATGGAAGCATCCCCGCCTTGATTTGGTGTGACCCTTGCGAGGAATCGGTCTGCGACGAGGACGACCAATTAGCAGCGACGAGGGAGAGCTTGATGAGGTAGACGTCGATGCATCAGCAGGGAGTGATTGTCTGAGTGATGGACTATCGGAAGGTAGCCTGTTGTTGATAACCTGCGAAAGCTCGCCATCAACGTACAAGGTTCGGGACTCTGAGGACGACAGAGCACTATCCATTTTGTAAAGTCTCTAAGCGACGGAAGCGAGCGTGTATCAGCATATATTAGAGCGATGAATGATGCATCCAGATGTTACTGAGGCTGAGGTTGGGTTGCATGGCCAGGGCCTGGGGGCGGAAACAGGTGTAAGCACGGGTTAATATAAGCCGATTGGTCCTAGGTATAGTTAGGTTAGCATTCCAGTGCTATCATAACTATAATAAGGGAAAATAAAGTAGTTAGTGCTAAAGAGGTTAGGTACAAACTAAATTACTCAACTGGAGGTTCCTTAACCTGGCATTCTTGGGTCGCAAATCCTCAAATCCATTTGCTGTTCCGATACATGGCACAATGTATCAGGAGAAGGTAGATTCATCCAACAGGCGGAGCCAGTTCTTGAGATCTTCCGGGAAGAGTTAACCTCTGCCTATCTTCATCGAACCAAGTTGACACTGATGTTGGTGCATGCATCGCGTCTGCGGACGGGAAACTCGATGCTAAGAACATTAACGTAGTGAGATAAATTTCTCCAATGTACTTCCCAATGCTGGCCATGCGATGAATAAAGCGTTTCCAATTGGACCAACAACCGATGGATGGATAGTTGAAGCCGAAGCTATACCGATCACTATGAGTTTGACCTGGCCGATATCCCTGCAATTGAGAAGCCACAGGTGCTCGGTCGTATTTTTAACCTTTTTCTAGCAAATTCTCGTATGTTTTATCTATGATCTACTCTCACAAACAAGGTCAGAAATTGTGTCCTCCTCAATTCATTACGAGGGTGCTCCGGCTGTGCTTAGATGGGTAAGCGAACTCTGCAGGTTAGACTTTTATGTACCATTAGAAGCACATGAATAAGATAATATTACGCATAATCCTTTAATAGCCAATTGAATCAAGAGATTTGATGACTTCACAAGTTCTCGTATAAAGAAATACGTTGTACCTTGGTGCTTGTTTAAATCAGTACTGGTAGCGAGGGCTATTGTGCCCATAGCCAACCCTGAAGGATTTATGAATAATTCACCAGTGGCTTTCTATACGAGACTATAGAACCCGCGCCACAAAGCTAAACGAAACGTAGCGCTCTTCTCGTTCTCGCTTCTGATCTCGCTTATATCCCCTGCGATACGGAGGGAACCCAATGTTAGTCAGCGCCCCTGTCAAAAGTGGCGGTAAGTCAACGTCCGTGTCAACTCCTTCACTCAAATTTTACAACTGAAGTTCAACCCATCAAGCCTTTGAAAGATGGGCGATATACCATACGATGTAGGTATGTTCCATCTCGATCGTTGTCCAAAGCTAACCCAGTTTGCAGTACCGTTGGAAAGGTTTAATAGCTAGCACTCATCTCCCAGTAATTACTGGTTGCTAACCGATATCAGTGATTCTCCTGGGCGACTCAACTGTTGGAAAGTCAAATATCGCGAGTCAATTCATACAAGGCGAATTCCAGCCTGACTCCACACCAACGATCGGCGTGAAGCCCACCACCAAGATCGTGCAATGCAACTCCAAGGCCGTCAAAGTCAATATCTGGGACACAGCTGGCCTAGAAAAATACCGTGCGCCGGTACGATATTACGATGATGCGGTAGCTGTAATGGTGGTCTACGATATAACCAGACGCCAGAGTTTTGAGAACGCAGCGCGCTGGTTGGAAGAGGTTCGGAAGCACGGTGAACCTGGGGTCGTTATTATGCTCGTGGGGAATAAAACGGATCTGGAGCGGAGAAGGTCTGTGACAACAGAGGAGGGGAGGAAATTTGCGAGTAGGTTGATGTGTCCTTGCTGACATGTTCAAGAGTACTGATGGAGTCCAGAACTCAACAAACTTCGGTTTATCGAAACATCCGCTTGCGAAAACGGTCAAGTTGAGCGTGCTTTCCAGACCATTCTAAACGGTATGTCTGGCCCATTCTGATATATCTCATGAAGTCACTTGCTGATCACGTTGTATGTACTAGGCGTCTATAAGTCACATTGTCAAGAGAAATGATGATCTAAATGAGATGGAGGGTTGACTCTAACTTTCTCATCTTTTTGTATTATTTTGACGTGGTGATAACGATCAATCTGAGACGATATGACGAGAACCTTTGTGCCATCCCAAACTCTAACAACACGTGAAATCCAGTTGCAGGAATCGCGACATCTCGTATCGGATGCAAATCGACATATTCTTCCAGATATATGCTTGTGACACGAGACACTCTTACTCTGTGACAAACGAATCTTCGCTCCATCCATAAGCCCGATTCAGACGTCTCGCCAAAATCAGAATCAAATATCCCTCGATTTGCGACTGATGAGGTCGGTGAATGCTAAAAGGCCGCTTGATATCCATATCCTCAGAGGGTCTGAACGTGTACACAGATCCAAATCGGGGCAACACCGAAAAACCCAGCTCATACATGGCCGCCTCGAAGGAAGACCAACTGACGGATCCGCGTGATTGAGTTTTGTCGAAGAGAGTCGCAAAGACCTCGGCTGTTGATGGGCTGACCTTTACTGGCTGGGCTGCCTTTACAGGTTCCTTTTCATCAAGCGAGACTGTGATTGGGGTATTCGCGTAGACGGAGGAATGTTCTGGGCGTGTCTTTGCCTTTTGTTTTAGAGTCGTGATTCGATTCTTGACGTCCAGGGTAGTAGTGTCAATGGGTACAAATTCCGCTTCGGTATCTTTCTTCGACTTTTGCTTGACCTGCTGGTACTGTTTTTCGATATCCCGGAATGTCTTGTTCAGTTCATCATGGTACAAAGATCTCATCGTCGTGCTTGTTCTACCCTTGACGAACGTATTGAGCGCCTCCAGTGTCTTGGGGGATACGCCAGGTTCAAGCAAGTTGTCAATAGGTGCAGCATAGTCGCAAAGATCAACTTCCCTCTTTATCAGATCAAGATCGGCGCCAACTTCCTGCAGGGCAGAAACTAGTACAGTACCCTTCTTGCGCGACGGAGAGGGAAGCACATACACAGCAGAAAGATCCTGGACGAATGCGATGATGGCAGCCATATTGTACAGCGTACGAGACTCCCTCTCCTGAAGCCTTTCTCGTTCCAAGGGGTGCGCTTTGTAGAGGCCACTAAGCTTTTGCATCCAGTCCACAGCTTTCGTGACGGTCGTTTCTGGCTGGCATAGTCGCAATAAGTAATGGAGCTGAGGATCAGAGCGCGTGAGCTCCTCCGGTTTGCCTTTCATCGAGACTTTGACATTGCCTGAATGACCGAACACTTTAGACAGTCTTCTGAACCACTTCGATCCAGTTCCTGTCGACACTTGTCGCTTGAACAGTGCTTGAGTGCGGGTGTACTCGAAATGGCACATGTTGGAGAGCTCTTGGAGGATCGTCGACTTGTACAGCTTATCGGTGGATGGTTGCTCCAGTAGGTTAAGCAGATCAGTGATGGATTCCCAGATAGCGATTCCTTGGACTGCGTGATGGATTGTGTCGAAGACAGCAGGCCCAACGTACTTGTCTGTATGGACTGGTAGCGATCGGCCCTTCTCGTCCGGCACGAGCTCGGGACGGCTGAAGAACTGCACTTTGACGTCGGCACAAAGAACTGTGGGCTCTGTGCAAAGAAGCGACAGATATTCTTCAAGGGATGATTCCTGGTCGGAAGCAACGACGAAAAGCTCCTTGGGATTGAGCTTGACGGTCGCTTGCTTGGCGGCAGAATCGGATAGAGGAGCGGTCGGCGGCTTGGAATTCTTGGCCGGTAGGCTCCGATCTCTGGTTCTGGAGCCTTGGTGCAGAATTTCCACAATCATGATGTTAAGAACCTGCAACAGATGAAGTTGCCGCTTAAGAATGAGCTGTCCTAGAGACTCTGGAGTGATGTATCGTAGTTGAATGGCAGACTTTAACTCGGGAAGGACTACCATATCGTTGTAGACTGGAGGTATAAGGAAACGGGATCCATACTGCCACTCATGTAAGACTGTAAAGCAGTTCGTGCACTCATCTACAAGGCTCAAGTCTCGGGACCGCGTCATCTCATCGATGATATCGAGATCTCCAGCGGTTCCGTTGTGACCACTGCGGACCTGCACTGACATGGATGTCGAAGCGCGGTGCTTGAGAATATCGAGGAACAAGTTCGAGTCGGGGTCTGTAATATCATCAATATTCCACTCTGGTATAAACTTACTGAGGTTGCCTAGCAAGGGATCCCGAGAATGCTTCAAGGGTTGTCCCTTGAGTTCCGTAGCCTTGATGCATCTCGCTCGCTGCGCTTTGTTGAATGATCGCCAGGCGGTTTCGACTTTGGAGCCATGAACTCTCCATTTGCGCTGCAAGTCGCCGTGTATCTCGCGCAGCATTTCTGAAAAGGTAACCCCCATCTCAGATGATATTAGCGATTGCGACAGGTTGCAGGGTATAGATGCATATACCGACGCCGTTCGAGCAGAGCGTGGAGCCAAACGGGGCGGGCTTGGGATAGCTCGCGCCACGATTTGACTGGGCGTGGCGTTGTGGCGGATGAATCACCAAATGAAGATGGAAGTGCGAAGCACTGCATGGTAAGCTTTTGCTTTGCAGAGACAGCGTCTTGGGAGATGTTTGCTTAATATATTTCGAAGCCTGGCGGATGCTCAGCAAATTTACCCGAGCAAGGAGCGCAAGAGGCTGAAACAGAATAACGTGTCTTGGCTACTTATTGAATCTTGTTTGTAGCGGCTTGGGATTTCAAAAGCTGTCTTAAGAACCGATCTTTAATTACGAGAAGCAAAAGACTCAACATATCTTCTCATTCAGTCAAGGTAACCTATCAACACCTTGACCCCACTAGAGCTTTAAGCAGAGACCTCTAAAGAGACACCACTAAATCACGGAGTGGGTTTGATGTAGTCAATCAGAGAGCGCTATGACTCCTAGTGCACTGAGTCAAGATAATGGCCAGCGGGTACGGCCTGCAAACTTTAGCTTAGGTATTTGTAGTACAGTGCTAAGCTTTTTGTAGCAAGAATCTTCAGATAAGGATTAAGCGAAGACCTTGCGTATCTGAGGTTTGGCTGGAATGATAACGAGCGGCAGAGAGGGGACTCCCATGCACATTGCTAAGCTTCCCCAGGTTCGTAACATCCCCGCAAAAGCTCATCCTGACTCTACGGCGTTGCTCCAACACAGAATACGCGTGGCCAGGGCATATTATGCAATCAAGGTTAGAGTAATGCTGGTAATAGGCTGCAATCACTTAACTAATCGGGGATCCTTCCAGGGGATACATACCCGAAGTCGGCAGCGATGGATCAAGAGCCCTACGAGTACAGACTGAAGCGGACACGACAGGCATGTGCCAATTGCAGGTATGAAGCATGCAGTGCCTCCCCCTATTTTCTCACGGAATTACTTGGAGAAGCTGACTATTTCAAGGCGCAAAAAGGTTCGCTGCTCTGGCGAGCGTCCGACATGCACATACTGCGCACGCCTCAAGCAGGAATGCTGCTATGAAGAAGCACCCAAAAGCGAGGATCAAAATGACTCTAATAGGGCCCCGCGCCTATTACTGATGGCGGGAACAAAAGACGAAGGGATATCATCTTCACTTTCCCTCGAGTCCCGAATAACTTCGCTTGAAACGAGTGTGCAAAGGCAAGGCTTTTGAGGTTGTGTACAGCTAAAATTTCCCTCGGCTGACCAAGTAATTGGGTAGTCTCATAACTCTTCTCACCAACGAACGTGGCATGGCAGACAGAAACAACTCCCGTATGGGCCACAAAGAGAATATTGCTGGAGATGCCAAGTGGCTGGCTGTTACGTCCGACATGACGCTTTCTGCTGCGGCAGACCTGTACTTTCAGTTCTGCCACAACCAACCATACTCCCTCTTCCACGAGGAAAGCTTTCGCCGTCGCTTGGTAGCTCAGACGCTCCCCGACTACCTTTGCCTGGCCTTGTTGGCCACAGCCAGTCGATTTTCTCATTCCAGTAGACCATTGCTACTCTGTGCAGACCAGGCGTGGGAGATTGCCATCAAGCGCTCGACGGCCAACATTGACTCTGCGGAGAGTCTAACGATTGCCCAGACGATTCACCTTCTTTGCGTCATTGACTACTCCGGTATGCGATCCCTCTTTTATAAGCATATTATCTGTAGAACTGATCTTTCCCAGATGGCCGATGTCGCGCTGCATGGATCAAGCTTGGCTTGGCTGTTCGCATAGCGCAGTGCTACCGATTCAACACTGAGCCCGATCCGCGTCTTCGTCCTGAAGTTCAGGAGGAATACCGACGCACATTCTGGTCTATCTACCTACTTGACAGGCTGATGTCCTGCGGGCGAGAAAGACCACCTGCGCTTCAAGACAAGGATTGCCTATTACGTCTTCCGTCCAACGAACAGGCCTTCCGAGACTGCTGTGAGAATCGGGGTCCAGTACTTGAACAACTCGTTGGAGACGCACCAGCAGTTACCGAGCTTCCTGAACACAGCCATTTCTCTGTAATCATATTGATGGCAGCGACACTGATCCGGGTGGTGAATTACGTGCTGCGAGAGGACTCACGGGTTCACGATGATGTTCCCTGGTCTGCTGCTTCACAGTACTCAGCGCTCGAGTCAACTCTATGGCGGCTGGAACTCAATTACGGACTGCTAGATCCATTGAATGCTGTATGGGAGCAAACACTGACTTCAGGTGGCGTGGTAGACCCACGAGCCGCGGGGCCCCTCATATATGGCCGCGCTTTGTTCCACCTTGCGGGCTGTCTGCTGCACCACCCATTCCTTCTCCAGCATCGATTAGCAGAGTCGGCCAGCAGGACACCTCCAGGATTCTTGAGCAAAGCTTGGACGTCAGCTAGAAGCCACGCCACTGCACTCACGATGCTGCAAGAGACGGAAAATCTCGGCTGCGTCACAGTTTCTTGCTTCAGAGGGTACTGCGCCATGGTTGCCGGTTCGGTCCACCTTCTTTTTGCGTCGGACAGTAACAGTGAGATACGCGAGGCGTCAGTTCGACGATATGAGGAGTGTCGAGGTCTACTTCTGAAGTTATGCCGTTACTGGGAAAGTTCGAGGCTAATGGTGAGTTTCCCTCTGCATACTGCCTGTGCCAGATCTAGGTTATGACAAGTGATAGTTCATGAAGCTTGAGCGTCTGTATGAGGATAGAGGCCGTTACCGCCAATTCTTTGAGTATACACTAGCTATGGGCGCAAAGCCCAAGCTCGCAGCATTCTGGGACAGTATGGACAACTGGGTTCCATCAAGCCGATCCCCGAGCCCCGAGCATGGCCCTCCTGAGCCAGTACAGCCAATTCATTTCCCCACGTCTATGGACTTTTTCGATCTCGCGCCGGCGGATCCTTGGGGAAACGGAAATTCGATATTCGAAATGGACTTTGCGGGTGGCAATAACTTTATGTAAATTGGCCATATCAAAGACAGTGCAATGCATGTTTGAGTGCATAGGCAGATGGACAATACGACGTAAATTGAGTTCTCTATTACCGGCTTCTATTTAACCTATGGCATCTTTAACTAGTCCTAACCCTTTTCAGTCCGATCCTCTAGGCATGTATGTGAATGAGAGTGACCCTCAGCCTTAGCCGACAGACTTGTCGCTTGTGAGAACATAATAAGTTTTGACAAAAGGCGCCTCAGATGTCCATGTAACCTTCAGACCAGAGGGCAGTGCAATTATATCTCCGCTTTGAAACTTGAGCGTCTTGCCAGTGTCATGCTCGGTAATGGTGACCAACCCTTCAAGAAGCATGATGGTTTCATCGCCATGAGATGCACTGTATTCAAAGGATGCAGATCCATCGGGGTTACACCCAGGTATCCCGCGGCCCGTCCTCCAAAGTCCGACCTCAAGACTCCCTGTCGAGCCTGTATCTCTAATTGGGTAAAACTCGCCAGCGTGCTGTTGGCCCTTGCCTGGCTCGTCCCAAGCATAACAAGTCCAAGCTTGTGGGTTGTCGTTAATATTGCCAATTATGAGATCTTCCTTTGCGGTTCCGGGTGTAGGTCCGTCCCACATGACCCAGAACTTCTTAAGAAAAGGGGCGTTGGTGTGCCACGAAAGTTGGACATATTTTGGGTGGCAGATAATGTCGCCTGCGTTGAGTTTATACTTCTTGCCGGTGGATTTGATGGTAACCTCTGTCGAGCCCTCCAGCAGCAGCATAGTTTCATCGCCGAGGGGAGCTGAATACACGACGTCGCAGGTGCCGTCTTCATTGCAGCCCACGATTCCTGGACCCGTGCGCCACAGGCCTGCACTCAGAGATCCAGAAGTTCCTCCGCTTCGAATAACCACGACCTCTCCCTTGGATTGTTGTCCAAAGACTGGATCTTCCCACTCAAAGGGGACCCAGGTCCCAGTTGTGCTGCGGGAGCCATGCTCAAGCTGATGAACGGAGCCCATGTTGAAAATCTTGTGTTTTGAAGTTGCGGTAAGGTCAAAGGGAACGACGTATCGAGACGACAGTGAATGCGACTATGATGACGATTATCAATTGACCTGTGGCATGTTGTCTTTCTTAATAGCCCCAAAGCTATCATAACTCTGTAGCTTATCTTCATCTCTCCGATTAGCATATCAGTCTGGGTTACTCAGACTTCGGAGGTGTGAGTGGGTACGGGCCGACGCAAAGAACTACAAGGGCTCTAAAGTAGCACTAAGTCGACTTAGTGGCTGCTATAGTCTGGAGCTATACTTAACCGAGCCTTATCTACAGACCAAACGAAAGGTAGATCATATCAGAGATACAGCGTACCAGATAAGCGATATTTCTCAGTCTGACCTCCCCGAGGCACTGTCAAGTGGTATGGGGAGATGGAACTGGCTCTCATTGCCCGGACCGTGTTCCCCAGTTGATTCCGAGACTAACTAGCTTTGTTATAGTTCCTCGAATAGCAGCTCAAAACACTATCTTATCATCGAAGTCCGTGAGCTTCTCGCGAATGTAGATCAGCCATATCAGTAGAGTGAAGATGGGCGTAAACGGCAATTATACTCTCGATAGTGAATCTGAGGCATTAGCAACCTTCAAAAGGAGACTTATGGACAGATAAAGGACACCGAAACATCACCGAGTAGAGGGAGCTGATAACAGTAATACTTGAGCAGAGAGTTGTGATCTATATAGACCCTGGGATGTCAGACGGCTCTACAGAGTCGATGGAAATCACAACTTGACCTCATCACACTCTGATCAGATCTTTGGCATTCTGTTATTTCCCTTAGTTGCATCTAACTTCTCTTCAAGGAAGAAACGGATATCTTCAATCGCCATGACAGACCACGAGGTGCAAGCAGTATTGGGCATGCAGCACTCCGAGAAGCGACAATGGAAGCCCTATTTGCTCGTCGTTGTTAGTACCATGCTTTTTAGTTATGTCTCTCTGGTCCTTGTGACTGACTCTTCCTTACTTAGATGATGAGCATTAGTCTTGGAGCCATGTCATTTGGGTATTCCTCTGGTGTTATTGGAGCAACCGTTGGTAAGAAACCGCCAAATCCATATAGCCTGCTTTGCTCATGTTGTTGATCATCTCCAGCGCAACCCTCTTTCGTCGAGTATTTCGGACTTGCGACTCGATCGAACGCAACTAGTCTCATCTCAGCTATGAATGTGAGAAACTCTCGGCTCCGTCTCCCAAATTATTCACTGACAGAGACTTTCACTTCTAGTCGCTCTTCTTTGCTGGCGCAGCCATCTTCATCTTGACAGTTCCCTTCTTTGCAGATAAATGGGGACGAAAAGCAGCCGTGGCAGTGGTGAGTACCATCCTTTCACTTTCGAAGAGATGATGGCTGACTTTGCATTCATCCAGTCGGCCGCTATCATCATCATAGCAGGGGCTGTTCTGGCCGGATCTGTGCACGTCGCCCAATTCATTGTTTTCCGATTTGTATCCGGGGCTGGGTAGGTTTAACCATGAACGACTTGACCTAAGATCATGCTCTGACCTGACAACCAGGACGTATATGATGATCTCGTCAGTGACGCTATGGATGACAGAGATAGCACCCCCTTCAATCCGTGGCATTCTCGTTGGTCTTGTCGGAGCAAGCTTACTCTTTGGATACGCATCATCGATTTGGGTGGGCTACGGCTTTTATTTCTTCCAGAGCTCAAATGCATGGAGAGTCCCGTTCGGTAGGTACCAAGAGAACAACCCTTCACTTGACTGGGAGCTGATCTAAGCTTTTCATAGTGTTCCAGGGCTTTCCAGCACTCTTGTTGCTTGGTCTTCTTTACTGGCTGCCCGAGTCTCCCCGCTGGCTGATGCTACAAGGCCGCCATGATCAGGCAAGGGAGAATCTACTAAAGCTTCATACTCCAGAAGAAGTGGATGTCGAATTCTTGCAGATCCGCACACAGGTTGAAGTCGACAAGGCTCTCCCTAGCTCATACTGGGCTATGTTTACGAACAGAAACTACCGAAAGCGAACCCTTATCGGCATGGGGACCTTTGCGAGTATCCAAACATCTGGAATTCTTGTAATCAACAGTCAGTATCCCAAAATACTCTGTTCGCTCACTTACTAACCGCCTACTGTTAATAGATTACGGTCCTATGGTCAGACACTACACCCCGAAGAACTCAACAACGATCCTGAATACTAACCTTGTTTAGATTTACGGCGCACTCGGTTTCGGAGTCGAGACACAGCTCATCTATGCAGCTGCTTGGCTCACCTTGGGCTGGGGCGGTGGCTGTCTGGCACTTTTCGTCGTCGACAAGATTCCGAGGCCTAAGTTCATCGGCTACGGTCTCCTTACTTGCCAAGCCTGCCTGATAATCGAAGCAGCGTTGGTAGCCAACTTTGCGGGCTCAGACAACAAGACAGCCCTCCGAGCTTGTGTCGCGATGCTCTTTTTGTTTGTCTTCATCTACGAGTTTGCGTTGGACAGTGCCCAGTTTGTTTACTTGGGTGAACTGTTTCCAACTCATATACGAGCAAAGGGTGTCTCGCTGGGCTGTGGAACACTGGCACTGATGAACGTCATCTGGCTATCTGCTGCACCCACTGCTTTCGCGTAAGTACCTGTTACATCTGTGAGCAGAAGACTCGAAACTGACTGCTGCAGCTCGATTGGCTGGAAGTTCTACCTATGCTTTATCATTCCAGGATGCTTTTGTGCCGCTATGATTCTGTATTATTTCCCTGACACGCTGGGTTTGCCGCTTGAAGAAATCAATGCTATTTTTGAGGACGACGTAAGTTTTATGATTCTTGGTACACAGTTCTCAGAGAACTAACAGTTGTGCAGTATAGAGATAGCATTGTTGGCATTGAAGAGGGAAATGTAAAGGGGTCGTTCTCAGACAAGAGCCCTAAGGAAGTGGGTAGCAGTGAGTGATAATATGGTGATATTGTTAAGAAGTGACATAGACTCTATTCCTGTGTCATCTAAAAACGGCAGTTTCCGCTTTCAGGCCGTCGGTCTAGGTGTCCGATCATTACAGATATATAGCCTATAAAATTACATTTATATAGTCAATTATATCACAAATATTTATAAATAATTCTGAAGATACTCTTTTTACACCGCCTTATCATTAACTGTCCTCAAGATCTCTCAGCAAAAACGTCCAATAACGAGGGCTAACCAGAGACAGCATAGCAGGTGTTGGGTTTGTCGCGTCCGACAGTCGCACGTCCTTATTGCGGTGCTGTTGCAGAGTTCGCGAAATCACTGGTAGTTTGCCTCGCCATATCATCCTTGCAGAAAATCCCATTGCATTCAATTGGCCGACGGGGATGAAAATCCTTGGTCCGCGTCCGTCGCAGAAACGAGTGGCTGGCTTGTCTGCCTGTCTGCCTAGCGTAAATCGGTCAATGCAGCTCTGGTGCCAAGTGCTACACTTCAGGGGGGCTCGGCGGCTATTGTGAAGATACCACCAAATAGATCCCTGTTGGGACATTGTGGCTTGTAATTCCGAGACAAAATGTACAAATTTCGCCCGTGCAGTCCGATTACAGCCCAACAAGGCTGTGCTCCGTGAAGTCCACACCGCATGTATCTACCCCAACCCCAGCATCACAAGATCCAATCCATTTCTTACCCTCTCATCGCTACCCAACGATACTTGTTCGCGTAAGATTGCACACGTTGAGTTCTTCGAGATGTCTGACCCAAGCGATCCAAATTCCTAAACGGTTGGATGGGTTTGTGCTCTGTCGACAGAGTTCACCGCTGCCCAGGAACAATTCCACGAGGAGTATGAGCCTCATGAAGGACCTGAGCACAGATAAGCAAATGACTTCAATGTGTACAGTTTCGGCAAGATCAAAGGCCACATGGTGGTCATCGCTGTACTGCCAAATGGACAATACGGGACAGCATCTGCCGCCACTGTGGCCAAGGACATGATACGCAGCTTTCGTAACATTCGATTCGGTCTTATGGTCGGGATTGGCGGCGGGGCCCCTACTAAAGACCATGATATTCGCTTGGGAGATGTTGTGGTCAGCTCACCTACGGCGGGCCAAAGTGGTATCTTTCAACACGACTTCGGGAAAGCTACAAAAGAAGGGTTCCAGCACACGGCGTCTCACAATAAACCACCACCTTTATTACTCGCTGCAGTAGCGGGGCTCAAGACCCAATACGAGAGAAAGGGCCTTCAGATCCATGACAAGGTCAGCACCATCATCTCAAACAACAAGAGATTGAGTGCCAAGTATGGACGTCCAGAGGTTCCAGATTCTCTTTTTTCACCTTCAGTTGGTCATAAGAGTGCACCATGTCATGAGTCTTGTGTAACGGCCCCGACTGATCTCATAGATCGCACCCCACGACAAGAACCTCTGGAAAATGTTGAAGTCCACTACGGTACCATTGCTTCGGGCGATACTCTAATGAAAAATGCTGCTAAGCGAGATGAGCTTGCTTCCAAGGCAGACATTCTATGTTTCGAAATGGAAGCTGCTGGACTGATGGATGGATTTCGATGTCTCATCATTCGCGGAATCTGCGACTATTGTGACTCTCATAAGAATGATGAATGGCAAGGCTATGCAGCTATGACAGCGGCTGTATATGCTAAATTGATTCTTGGCCGAATACGCCCAGAGGCTGTTGCAAGGGAACAGATTATGATCTCAAAGGTTGATGAAGGTCAGTAGTCTTATATGTTTTTGGAATAGTGCATCTCAATAATAATACTCAATCCAGTTATTTCCAGCGTGGAGGATCTGAAACGATCCATTGCAGAACAGGAGGTACTGGACTGGCTGTCAGATGAAGACTACGGCACTTATCAGCTCGACGAACGCAGTAAAAGGGCTCCGGGAACGTGCCAATGGTTTCTGGACTTGCCGGAATATCAGTCTTGGGTCCAACAGAAGGGCAAAGTCCTTTTCTGCCCGGGCATCGCCGGGGCTGGAAAGACGATCCTTGCATCTGCCGTCATCGAAAGCCTTTATTCCTGCTTTGAGAAAGATACAAATACTGCCATTGCTTATGTTTACTGCCTATATAACCGTGTCGATCAGCAAAACTTCAACAAATTGCGGGCAAGTTTGCTGCGACAGCTTTGTGAGCGACTGTCTCCTCTGCCCGAGGGCATCATGCAGCTTTACCACGAATATAAGCCTCGACGGGTGGAGCTCCCTCCTGAAAGGATTACTTCAGAGCTCAAAGTCGTATCAGGCCTGTTTTCAAAAGTCTTTATGGTTGTTGATGCGTTAGATGAGTGGGCAGTGGAACACGGCGACCTCTACTCACTACCAGCCGAGCTTCTCCTCCTTCAACGGAAATTGGCCATAAATCTACTGGCCACCTCCCGGCCAATCCCCCTCATTTCTAATCAGTTCAACGACTACCCTTCGGTTTCCATCACTGCTCAACAACAAGATATTTACGCTTACGTTGACAGCTTTCGGTGGCCAGAGTCGAGCTGCATTGGTAAAATAGCAGAATTACAAGGCTTGGTAAAACAGGTCATATCACAAATTGTTAGGGGGATGTAGGCCTATCTTAACATCGTCATTTCAGATATCTCTTTCTAACAACTAAATCAGGTTTCTTCTGGCAAGGCTATATCTCCATTCACTGGTAAACGAGACCTCTGAAAGAGATGTTAAGGATGCTCTACAGCGATTCGAATACCGAGCAAAGGACAACGATATCGATCCAAAGTTCAATATCGTGGACCAGGCATATAGTGATACGGTCAAACGGCTCAGAGAGCAACATCAAAACTCTAGTGACCTAGCTTTCCGGGTCCTTGCCTGGATATGTTGCACTGGCTGGAAGCTACCAATTTACGCAATCCGAGATGGCCTTGCCTTACGAGAAGGAGACACAGCTTTACGTGCGGATGCCATAGTTGACGAACAGTTATTGCTCTCTGTATGCTGTGGCTTGGTCGAGATTACAAAGACAAGCAGAAAAAGAAAGAGGGAACTACGGCTCGCTCACTACACCACCGAAACCATTTTCCGGCGTAATCGGCATTTGATTGATGAGTATTTCCTCGCCCGCTATTCACTTGATAGTCGATTACCTTCAAACGCCGATGCCTATCTTGCAAGGCAGTGTATCACTTGTTTGTCTATCGGCCTGCCGGACCTACGAGTTCCGGACCATGGAGTTGTTGGCGATGAAAGACGGCGGTGTTACATTATGTTCGACTCTTCCATCTTTTCACAGCTCCGCGAAAATTATTCTCCTAAGAAGTGCGAGGAAAGGCTTTGGCGGCACAAACTAGAAGCGTATCCACTATATGAATATAGCATATTCAACTGGGGCTACCACGTGCGACGGATCTCGCCCTTGGACCAAGTCTTTAAGACATCCATCGACTTCCTCCAAGCATGTGGGATAGCGGGCCAGGCTGTCATTAGGATTCTGACTGATGCAAAGTGGAGCCAAGCAATACAAGTATCCCGAGATATGATTGATTTGCACCTGGCTGCGCTTTTCGGGGTTAGCGAAGTGGTAGAGTCGGTGAGGGAGAATCTTGACATCAATGCAAGAGATAGTTGTGGCCGGACTGCACTCGTTTGGGTACTAGAGTGTTTGGCATTCGAATTTGAGTTCAACTCTGACTACAGGAGGTCAGAAGAACTAAATCTCGACATATACGACGGAATTGGAAATTCTCATCGTCGTGTTGTCAAGGCTTTATTGAGTTCGGGTGCTGACCCACACATACCTGGATATAATGGAGACACTGCCCTACACATGGCCGCCATCCTAGGAGATGTCGAGATCGTTCAAAACCTTCTCGACTATGGAGTAGAAACTCACACATCGAATGAATATGGCTATATCCCTCTTGTATTAGCGGTGCGGTATGGTAAGGAGTCGACTTACATGAAGCTCTTGGAGCGTGGTGCGGTCGACGCCTGTGGAGAAAACAGCCGCACAGCCCTCATGGAGGCTGCCTTTGTTGGAGACTTGGCCCTATTGGAACAGATTATTGGGAAAGGTGCTAATGTGGATCACCAAGATCACAATGGTGACACCGCTCTCATGATAGCGTGCATTCGTGACCATACCAAGGTCATTGAGTCGCTACTTGCAGTAAACGCTCGACTAGACATCACAAATCACTCGGGGAAAGCTGCTCTTGACTATGGAGGTGAGTATTGTGGAGAGGATAGCATCATGCGACTCCTCCACCATAGTACAGATCTTGCCATTCGCGACCAATCTTCCGGCATCGTTCTTATTTCCGCAAGCAGGTCTGGACGTCTAGATATTGTCTCCTTGTTACTAGAAGACGCGGCATTGAGAATTTCTCTAGAACATCTCGACCTTGCCTTGTCACGGTCGTTCTCAAGGGGAAACGACAAAGTTGTGAAACTTTTGATCAATCATAGAGCGAAGTGTAGTACGAACTTCGATGAGATGCCGAAACCACTTCTGTCACATGCTATTCGGGAGTTTGGCGATGATGTCGTCTTGCTGTTGCTAGATACGGGCATCAACATGGAAGACGAGGACGGCAGCGGAATAGGGCCCATTCATGCGGCTGCATCGACAGGCACAAAATTAATGGTGAAGAGTCTAATAGACAAAGGCGTTTCTGTTAATCGTCGTGCCTCAATGGGGCGATTGCCTTTGGACTTTGCAATAAGGCGTGAAGACAAGGACAATTCTATCGCCAACTTTCTCCAAGAACGCGGTGCAATCACTGAGGGAGAGCGACTAATTCGCTCTTGGCGAAATAAAAGGAGCAAGATTAACTAAGTTAGTTTATGAGGTTTATATATTCTTGTTTACCTTTATATAATTAGAGTCTTATTAGCTGTTGGACCTAATTAAGGTTTATTCCCTGTATATTTTTAATCTAATCTAATTATTATTTCCTTCGCTTGACCAAGCGAGGCTAAATTCCTCTTAGTGAGCAATTCCTCATAATGGCATAAGCTAATATATACATTATGCCTTAATACTTCCCTCGCAAGCGCATAGAAAGGCTATTGTATAACGGTTATAAGTCTAACTATATTAAACTAAGCCGTGCTAGGTTTATTATTAATAGATTATATA